AGTATTCATTTTATGAAAATTCTATAACACATTTACCCATTCACTATTGATGAGCCTCTGGGATGTTTCCAATTATAGGCTCTTATGTATAAAGCTTCTAGAATATTCCCTAGGACATCTCTTTGTGGATATATGATTTCATTTGTTTTGAGTGAATAGCTTGGAATGGTGTTGCTACGGTGGGTGTGTTGCAGAAAAACCAGTATCAAACTGCATGGAAGACTTTGCACCGAGGAGTTAGAAGGCCACTTTTATTATGCTAGTGGGCTGGTGGGAATCAGTTGCAAACTACCAGCCATGAGTCAGCTTAGAGTCCAGTTTAAACACAATCCGTAAGCAGGAAGTACAATGGAAGGTTATTACGTGACGGGTTACACGAATTAAGTCATATGTTGTCAAGCAAGTTAGTTCTAAATAGATTTATTTAAAAGGAATTGTTTTAAAGTGAGAACATCCTGGGAAGGAGGGGAGGGGTTCTGAGCAGAGCCAGTGAAGTTAAATGTGTCTTCCTGTGGGCCAGTCTGTCCAAACATGAAGTCTTGGAAGCAAGCTGGAAAACAATATGTATTCTTCAAGCTGGGAAAAAACACAAATCTTCCAGCTGACACAGTCAAGTGGACCCAGCACATTGTCAGGGAGAAGCAGCTGGATGCAGACAGTCAAGGCTGACTTTGTGACGGGCAGCAGGGCAGAGTCACAGGCCATTAAGTGAGTTTTATCTTTTACAATAAAATATCTGTAAGTTTGCTATTCTATAACTGAGCTCTTACAGCTATATATTTACCATATATGAAAATGCCAGGGCATTCCCCCAAAGGGTCATAGGAACACTTTTTTAATATCTTAACTAAGTATAACCGCAAAATGAGCTACAGAAAACTCTACCCACCTTATACTTATTGCTGGCATTATTGTTATTCCTATATACACGTGACACTCCCATTGAGATGGGGTATGTATGGTTCTCATGCAGGTAGACAAATGCATCTATCAAAATTCCTCTTTGTTTGTTTATTTATTTACTTACTTTTCAAACAGGTCCTCACTCTGTATTTCAGGCTGGCTTTTGAACTCACTATGTAGCCCAGGCTGGCCTTGAATTTATGCTCACTGATCCTCCTGCCTCAGCCTCCTGGGCCCTGGGATTACAGCCACTGCACCACCCTGCTCAGCCCCTTTTGTTTATTGAAAAGCAAGTTTTGTGTTGTTACCTGTTTGTTTCTTGTTTGTAGAATCTTTTTGGCTTATGTCTTGTATTCTAAATAAGTACTCTGATAATAATGATACACAGTGTAATAATTATTGTTATTCTCTGATTATTTGGTTTAGAAAGTTTGCTTTATTTTTCCATAAAAAGGTGCCTCTATCTTCTGGGGCAGTCTTCAAAGTGATCTTCAAAGATGCTCCCTCTTTTGGCCTGTGCAATCTGTCTGGCTAACTCTGGAAAGTGAAGGGTTAAATCTCAGTGTTTCCGCCTCAGGCTGCTTAATAGGGGCCTGACAGCTCTTCTCTATAATTAAAGAGAGGAGCCTAAGCAGAGGCTTTATCAAAGAGGTGGGTGTGAGCTGCCCTCAGGTGAGGAGGTAGGAGCGTTCCTCCTCCCATGGTTTTTCTGAACTCCTGGAACCCAATCTCAGAGCCAGACCTGCTCAGGAACACATCTAGGAACCCACGGGTACAAGGAGCAGGAGTCCTTTCATGCCTGCAGCCCAGCTCTTGGCCAGGACTCTGCCTTCCTGACCGCCTCTCCCATCTTTAACATTTTTTCTAAAGCAGAGAAAGTTTAGACAAAGGATGCTTCTGACTGGAGTTGTAGGGAAGGCTGGGAGTCTCTGCCATTCTGAAACTGGTACTCAATCTGTATTTTTCATTCTGGATCCTTGGCCAGCGCTCCTGAGAAAGCCAGAAAATAAATGGTGGTGGGTCTCAAGGCTCCTTTCTTCCCCTTCCTCCTCCATTTTTCCTTTTAATGGTTCTGGGAAAGTAATTCCCCTCTAAGGAGAACCTTTGGGCACACACACACACACACACACACACACACACACGTCTGTGTGTGTGTGTGTGTGTGTGCATGTGCTGCTGTGTTTACTGGTTTATCGTAAAGGATATTACAAAGGGCACAGGGGAAGCTGCAATGCACAGGGCAGGCATGTGGGAAGGGTACCCCCTTTCTGGTGAGCTGTCAGATCATAAATTAGCCATCCCCAACTGAGATGTTAGTCAGGACGGAGTCCTCACTCCTCAGATGACCAGTGAGGGGATTGAACCCAGGGCTCTGGGCATGCTAGGCAAATCCTCTACTTCATTGCCTTCTCCAGTTGCTGCCTCCCAGTTTTGATCAAAGTCCTGCTACCTGGCATCTGGGGAACTCTGAAGGACAATTGTCTTCTTTATTTAGCATTTTCTCTTAACCGGTTCAGCCCTTGGCCTCCTTCCTCGCCCTGGGAGGGGAACAGGTGACTCGGAGCCTCGTGTGCTAACTGGAAGGAACTGGGCGTTGCTGAGTACAGAGCCAGGAACTTGGCCTCTCTGAGGAATGGGATACGGGCAGCTATGCCTCTCCTAGCAGGGCTGGCAGCCAGCCCCGGGGAGGCTGGGTACGGGGAGGGATTCTTCTGCCCCTACAACAGGCCGTCTGTTCAGCTCTTCCTTACTTAACTCCTCTCCTGCTGTGATTACTGTGTCCCTGAGCTCTTTGGTAACTTACCTCTCACCAAATTTTGCAATTTGCTGTAGACTTTTAAACCCTAGGCTCCTCTCTCCTTCTTTTAGGGTTTCATTTCCTTCCAAAGCTGTGAGCCAACCAAAAAGATCAAATTTCCTTCAACCCTTTTTCTTTCGGGCTCTTGGAGCTGACCTCTTCTGACTTACATACCACAAAGGCTGTATCTTACTGATCACTATGCTGAAGGTTCCCAGCGTCCCAGCACGCTGAGTTTGGGTTGCTCGGAATAACCTAGAAACTGACACAGGAGCTGGACACAGCTTTTTCCAGAAACACCTTCACATTAACATGTTCTTACAAGTGCACAGCTGATCTCCACCTGGGAAATTCACATTATCTTTCTGCTGGGCTTTTCTTCTTCTTTTTCTTAAAGCTTCTATAATTTGCCTGTGTTTTGGTGGAATGTTTCCTTTTTTATTTTGTTTTTTGTCATACTGGGATTGAAGCCAGGATCTTCACACTGAGCTATATGTTCAGGCCCTTTATCTATTTATTTGTTATACCAAGAGTTGAACTCAGGACCTTGTGCTTGCCAGGCAGGCACTTGTGCCACTGAGCTACATCCCCAATCCTTATTTTTTATTTTGAGACAAAGTCTTGCTAAATTGCCCAGGCTGGGCTCAAATTATGACCCTCCTGCCTCAGCCTCCCCGTGTCTGAGGTTATAGACACATACCAGGACAGCGGGCTTCTTCTCTTTCTAGCATGTTTTTCTTTTCTTTCTTCCTCCTTTTTGCAGCGTTGCATGGAACCCAGGTCCAGGAGCACGTGAGGCAAGTGCTCTACTCCTGAGCCACACACCCAGTCTAATGTTTTTTTTTTTTTTTTAACTCGGCCAACTCCTTGCTCTCTGGCTTCTGTTCTCCAGGGTTCAGCTAGGAGACCATGAATCACTGCGAGTTCGTGGACTGCTACCTGGGGATTAGGGCAAAGGCTTTCTGTGTGGGCTTCCATCCGATCCACCTACTTTTTCACCAGGCTTCTAAGCCTTTGTTCCCCGCCCACCACCTCTAACGGCTGCTTCATTAACCTGTGCCTCTTTCCAGACAGGGAAGCCTTTATCTCTTGCTTAAATTTCTCAGCTCTTCAGACTTCCTTGACGGATGGCTGACCTAAAGTTGGCAGATAAAATTGAGGCACAAACTTGGTATAAAGTCCTTTCTCTTGAGGGTCCTCTGCATTAATCATATCAACTGCTAATTTATCCAAAGAGCACAGCCCCTGAGAGTCAGAAGAGTTTGTTTTGCCACCTCTTGGCTGTGCAGCCTTGGGCACCTTGGGCGAATCATTCACCTCCCCTGGGCTCTCAGGTCCTCACGGGTGAAAAGGCCGCTACCCCGGAGTTGTGGGCACGAAAGCACACGCAGGAAAGCACTCTGCAAACTGCATCGAGAGGGAGGTAGGGGAGCAAGAAGGCCAGGATGCGGCTTGCAGCGGTGGGAGACTGGGAGGTGGAACCAAGGGACTCTTATCTTGAGGTCACCTTCCCTGCCCCAGGCAATTTACCTGTGGCCAGAAATGAATTCCAATGGGCTACCTGTGCATCAGTAATGCCCCTTAGGCACCACCCCAAACTTAAGCTATATGTATGCCCCCCCCCCCCCCAAACAAGTGCCTAGCAGAGAGAAAAGCCAGACCTCGGTGGTCAGGGGTTCTCTCTCCGCGTTCTTAAAATAAAGGCCACTTTTATTTCATATTTCTTTTTAGCCGGGCTGCCTCAGCACTCTGGGATTTGGTTTGGGGCTTACATCAGCTGCACCCCAGGGAAAGTCTCAGCGAGGAAAAGGTGCAGAACCCCCTGGGCCCCACACCTGGCCGAGACTGAGGGTATCAGCAGGACAGCTCTGGCGCCCGGGCCCTGAGGAATTTGGACCTGGGTCTGGAAGGGAGGCTGCTGGAATCCGGCCTCAGCTAAGGCCGCCCGCCCGGGGCGATGTTCGGGAATGTGGAACAGCACTGCAAGGTGGCTCCAGCGTCCCGACCCAGGCTGGCCCGGAGCCTGTTTTAAAAGGGCGTGTGTGGCCCGGCCCAGCGCAGCCTGGGACTCTGCAGCCTGGCACCAGCTCCGCGTGTTCCGAGGGCATCCAGAGGCCAGGGCTCTGTCGGTCGAGCAGAAAAGCAAAGAGCGGGCCGGGGCGCTCGGGACCTTTGGCAGCCCGCCGCGCGGGCGGAGGAGGGGACGGGGCGCGGCGCGGAGGCCCCACCTCCATCCTGTCCCGCCGGGTGAGTCAGCCTGCCTCGCCCGGGCGCGCGGCTCCCCAGGCGCGCACGGCGCACCGGCTGGGGAGGGAGGAGGGCGCCGCGCCGCGCTGCGCACTGGCCTCGCGGCTGCCCCGTCCTGCTGCTGCCGCCCGGTCTGGCCCCCGGGCCGGGGCCGCGCTGCCCCGATGCACGGCCCGAGCGGTCCGCGCGCGCTGCTGCTGCTGCTGCTCGGCTGGCAGCTCGCAGGTGAGACGGGGACGCGTGCGCCCCCAGCTGGGCGCGCGCCCTGGGGGTCCGGGTGGGGTCCCGAGCCCCAGCTGCAGTTCGCTTCAGTTCGGACCTCGCTGGAGCTGCTGGTACCGGGCTGACTGTGGTGGACGAACAGGTTTCGGAGGAGTGTTGGGCTGTGACTCGGCACAGAGAGGGCTTTCTGATCTCGGGTTACACACCATTTTTCTGTGGCCGCGCGCAACCCCCGCCGCTGGGCAGGACCTGGCACTTGGTTTTCTGGGTGAGTCTTGCCTGGGACTCTCTCCCAGCATCGGGAAAGCTGCGATTATTAGAGAGACCCACCGTGGTTTTGAAACTGCCCCAGCACACACATTTCGAATGCAAATATGGTTAAATACGCCACGTGGTGTAGAGGTTCCAGGAGTGCAGGCAAGCACAAGGTGTCTGGAATTGATTAACCCAATTTCTGCAGGAGAGTCGTAACAGTGCGAAACGTATGTATCAAAAGTCCTTTCTGGAAAACCAACCTGCTAGGAGAACATTCTACATATAGTATGTAATGCTTCCTCTAATATGTGATGTGTAATCCAAGATTTGCTTTAGTTCTGTGTTTCTGTCCTCAATTTAATTTGACAATATTTGGAGTTTCTTTCCTTTTTTTTAAGACAGAGTCTTGCTATGTAGCTCAGGCTGGCCTTGAACTCCCTTTGTAGCCCAGGCCGGCCTCAGACTCCTCCTGCCTCAGTCTTCCTGAGTGATGAGATGACAAGCACAGCCCACCACACCTGGCTGTTACTGTATTTTGAAGCTGAGACTATGGAGAAGTAAACGCACCAGGACGGTCACCGTCTGGCATTGTCAGTCACCATGTGAGACAGGAGGGTCACCAAGTGTGTGGGGGAGGAGTAACCAGGTCAACGGTGGGTGACCAAGTTGGAGAGCCCTGCACCTCGGCGCTGTCTTACGTCCTCCACACGCGTTATTTTGAAAATCTCAGCAGTTCTCTCCGTGCTACCCCTGTGGTAACCGTCCTGCCTCCTTCCCCTCTGCGCAGCTCTTTGGCCCACAGAGGCCGTGGAAATTTACACCTCGGGGGCGCTGGAGGCTGTGAATGGGACAGACGTTCGGCTGAAGTGCACCTTTTCCAGCTTTGCCCCTGTGGGAAGTGCACTGACAGTGACCTGGAATTTCCGCCCTCGAGATGGGGGCCACGAACAGTTCGTAAGTAGATGACTGGCGTTTTCTAGGGGAGCCTTGGCTAGGAACATGTTAAGCCCACCCATTGCTCCTTGCCCTTCCTGGACAAGCACAGGGCTAAGCTGGGAAATCCTTTCTGGACAGAGACCGATGGAACTGAGAGGCTGGCGAAGGACAATCAAGAGACAGAAAGCTGTGAACTGGATAGTTAGGGTGGCTGTTCTTTCCTGCTCCTTGCCCCGCACCCAGTGAAAAGGCCTTTTGACATTTCTCCTTTGTAGGTTTTCTACTACCACATGGAGCCCTTCAAACCCATGAGCGGGCGCTTCAAAGACCGGGTGGTCTGGGACGGGAACCTTGACCGCAAGGATGTCTCCATTCTCCTCTGGAAGCTGCAGTTCGATGACAATGGGACGTACACCTGTCAGGTGAAAAACCCCCCAGATGTGGACGGGCTGGTTGGGACGATCCGGCTCAGCGTTGTGCAGACTGGTAGGTTCCACGGGGGAAAATGGGTGTGGGGAGTGTGAGGGCCAGTAGGAAACAGAGGGGCAATCTTGTGTGATGGCTCCCAGGGTAGAAAGGGCCTGGTGCTTCAGAGCTGAGACCTGCAGGGGAAGACTGAAGAATCCAGGGGTCAAAACGGCTTGGTCTGGTTGTGGAAAAACAGAAAGTTAAGCAAAGGGATCCGGGGAAGGTGTCACAAAAAATGGCTTTGGGCTGGTGAAAGGGAGAGGGGGCAGCTCTGATAAAAGGCTAACAATAGGCCTGTTCAGTCTCTTATTTATTCAAGACATGTAGTGAGTACCTGCTCCGTGCCAGGAACTCTCCATGGCTCTCTCTTGTCTTTTTGAGACAGTCTCACTGTGCAGTTCAGGCTGGCCTTGAGCTCACTTTGTAGCCCAGGCTGGTCTCAAACTCCCAATGATCCTCTTGCCTCAGCCTCCCGAGTGTTGGGATTACAGGCGTGAGCCACCACGCCCTGCATGTCTATCTTCTAATCTTCAAGCCACCGGAGGAGGCAGATAGTATTTATGGCAGCTAACATTTATTAACTACTTCCCCACACCAGGGATTTGAAGTGATACACTTTGTCTGTTCTTTAAGTACTTTGCCAGTTTTTCATGCTCACAGACGTTGAGTCACTTGTAGCTGGTAAGTGGAGTAGCTTTGGACTCAAACCCAATCAATCATCTTTGACTAATATTCTGTCCCACATTAGTGTATTTTACTGCTACCCCTCTGCAAAGGGCAATCTGGAAAATGGCTCTAGGGAACAAAGACAAAGACCACAAGCTATGTATCTGGGTTTAAGACATGGCTAATATTTACCAACTGTATTAACTTGTGGGAGCACAATCTGAGATAAATGAAAATTTCCCAGACTCTGAACTGTGCTAAAAATTACAGCATCCACATATTGACTGCTTCTTAGCGGTAGGCACTGGATGGAACAGTTTGCAGTGTTTTCTCTAAGGTCTCAGGAGATGGATATTGTTGTCACCACCCATGGAGGAAACTGAGGCTCAACAATGTTAATTACCGCAGATCACAGAATTAATAAATAGTGCAGATGGTGTTTTAACTTTGCTGTCTCTGGTGTGAGCTCTTAACCCACACGACAGAGCTACCCCAAATGCATGGGCAGTGTGGAAAGCAGAGCGGCTTCCTCCTTTCATTCCCAGCACAGTTCAAAACGACTCCCTCGAGACCCTCCAACAGAGAGCAGAGTGACCTGGAGAAGCCATCCGAGCTCTGAAAGAAGTAATGTGATGCCTCCGCATCTCAGTCCCTCCAGTTAGACAAGAAATCAGTGGGTTTTAAACGCGTCGAAATCTCTGCTCTTTGAGAGGATAATTGAACCCGGGGCTCTGTTTCCCACACACGAAAAATGCACACATGCAACAAGACACGAGTTTTGTGGGCTTGTGGGTCGGATCTCACTCCTCCCTGCTCCCCCGTTCTCGATGGACGTCGGGCTGGAAACTTCCGGGCTGGACACCCTCTAAGGTCTTTCTGGCTCTGAGGGCTTGGTGGAGTGTAATTTTGAAATCAAGTCAAAGGACAGGAGAAGTGGGTTTCACGGGCTCTCGTCTGGCTTAGGGGCTTCTCTGGGCCCCTCCTTTACCATTTTCCACTGGATCAGTTACTGATTGACTCCCGATCTTCCCGGGGGGGCAAGAGCTCCTTTGCAGTAGGGTCTGTTTTGGTTTTCCATTACTTGCACAGTGCCTGGGAAGCTGAATAAATGTCTGAGCTGCAGAGGTGAGACGCAATCAGGAGACATGGCTGGGCCTGGGTGTGAGTGACCAGGTCACCACACTGGGCGGTTTACCTGACTCAGTGGCTTTCAAAGCTTCAGCGGGCATCCAGCATCTGCAGGACGTGTTAAAACACAGACTGCCCAGTGCTTCATTTCAAAGTTCCCCAGCACTGCGCTGCTACCCTGTCGGTCACTAATGCAGCTTGTGTGGCTTTCCTGCTGCTACTGGGCTTTACCAGGCACACGGCATTCTGGGCACAGAAGTAAAAGAGAGGAAGATGCCATTTAACAGTGGCCGTGTTTGTCTCTTCGGAATTTCAACCCGACCCTTTCCCTCCCCGCAGTACGGTTCTCTGAGATGTACTTCCTGGCTCTGGCCATTGGCTCTGCCTGTGCCTTGATGGTCATCATTGTAATCATCGTGGTCCTCGTCCAGCATTTCCGGAGAAAGCGGTGGACAGAAAGAGCGCACCGGGTGGTGGAGATAAAACCGTAAGGCCGGTGGTGGCGGTGGGCAGGCGCCCTCCTGCTGCTTTCTGTGATGACTCTGGTGTTTGGCAATGGGCTGAATAATTGTTGGGCGCAGCTGTTTCCCGCTGAGTAAACACCACGTAAAAGAATTGTGCTTCACTGGGTAGACGAATTAGGGTGTGGGAAGTAACTTTATCACACATTTCTTAATTTTACAAAAGATTTCATCATAGGATTTCTTAGCTGCGTGGGATTTGATGCTATAAAAACGTGCTATGTAAAACTTTTCTAAAATATCCCTGATTATTTTTTTTTAAGTACCAAGGCATGTAATGCCTTAAATGCTGTACAATTACATCTCCAGCATATTTTATTTTATTTTATTTTGAGACAGGGTCTTACTAATTTGCTGAGCTGCCTGGGCTGGGCTAGAATTTGTTTTGTTTTTCTGAGAGAGGCTCTTTCTAGGTATCCCAGGCTGGCCTCGAACTTGTGGCAATTCTCCTGCCTCAGTCTCCCCCGTGGTAAGATTACAGGTATATGCCGCCATGCCCAGCTAGGTGATCCTTGTGATCCTGCCTCAGCTTCCCAGAGTGCTGGGAGGACAGGTGTATGTCACCACACCCAGCTGAAATGCCTCTGTAAGAACAATTAGGCTGGGCAGTCAGCAGGGGCGCGATGAATCAGTGCATTAGAGTCTGTTGTGCTGATCATAGGTGCTCAATAAAAGCATTTTAAAATTGAGATAAAATTTATATATCTCAAAATTCGCCCTTTTAATATGCACAAAGTTTCCAGAAGCATTTTAACACCCACCCTCAAGAAAATTCCTTGCCCTTCCTTTAACCATTGGCCCCGACACCCACCCAATCATGTTCTATGAGGGTCTGCTCACTGTGTGCGTTTCCTATAAGTGAGCTAAGGAAGTTTGCAGCTTTTATGTTCAGCTTCTTTCATTACTATAATGTCAAAGTTCATCAGTGTTGTAGCATATGTTAGTACTGCATTCCGTTTCGTGTGTGTGTAGTATTCCAGGGAGGGTTTACCATATACTATTTATACTTTTATCAACTGATGGGCGTTTAGGGTTTAAATACTTTGTGGTTATTATGACTAATGCTGCTATGAATATTCATCTGCAAGTTTTTGTATGGACAGGCGTTCAATTCTTCTACTCGAAGTTAGTGGAGCTGCTGAGTATATGGCAGCTCTGTTTAGTTTTTGGAGGGACTGTCAGTCTGCCTCTCCAAGCAGCTTATTTCACATTTTATCAGCAATACGCCAGGTTCTTTTTCCGCATCCTCACCGACACTTATGATCGTCTCTTTTATTGTGGCCATCTAGTGGACACGAAGAGTACTTCACTATATTTGATTTGCAACTTTCCAACTACTTAATGGCTATTTGTATATTTATCTCAAGATAAACCTGTTCCGATAGTTTGCCTGCCTTAAAATTGGGGTGGTTACTTGTCCTTTAACTGTTTAGTTCTAGGAGTTCTTCGTATATTTTGGATCCTAGTCCCTATCAGGACCATACAGACTCGCAATTATTCTCTCCCATCTTGTGGGCTGGCGTTTCACTTGCTTGATACTGTCCTCTAAGGCACAAAGGTTTTACTTTTGATGGAGTCTAATTTATCTATTCCTTCTTTTATTGCTAGTGCTTTTGTGTTATATCTAAGAAACCACTGCTTAATTCTACATTATGAAGTTTACCCTGTATTTTTTCCTAGGAATGTTACTTTGATCCATTTTGTGTTAATTTGTAGATATATTGATGCAGGAATCCTAACTTACTCTTTTGCATGTGGATATACAGTTATTCCAACACTATTTCTTTTCCTCAGTAAATCCTTAATGAAATGAATATAATTGATTTTTTTTCTTTTGAAGAGAATAAACCAAATGAGACAAAACAAGATAGTCAATCAAAACAAAAGGCTGAAATGGTACATGACTTAAAAAAGAATACAAGGAGATCAATAATGGCTACCACAATGCTTCTTGTTATCTTCAGAAGAGTTGCCCATATCATCAGGCACAATAAAATTGAACAAAACAGTATAGAACACAACCAATAAAACAAAATATTGGAGGCATTATAGGACTTCAAAAGAAGATACTAGTCAAACCAGATCGTCGTGTATCTTCTTGTTTTCAAAGTAGTTGCCTATACCATCAGACCTGATACTATCAAACAAAACAGAATAAAATCAGTCAAAACAAAACAGTGAATGCAATACAGGGCTTCATATATCCTGCTATCTTTGGAATAACTGCCATCAAATCTAACACAAGTAGACAAACTAAAACAGAATAAAACCAAACTAAACAGAACAATGAAAACAACATGGATTTCAAATCATGATAATAAATTAGCAAAGGCTACTGCCTTCCATTTTTAATTGATTTTTCAAACCTAAGAACTCCATCTCTGAGGGTCTGGTTGTGAACAGACATATAATTGGTAAAGACCTTCTAGACCAACACAAAACTTTGTTTTTGAACAAGATTAGAAATCAGAGCTAGGGGCTGGGGATTTAGCTCAGCGGCATAAGCACCTGCCTTGCAAGCAGGCGGTCATGTGTTTGATTCCTGGTACTGATAAAAAAATGAAAAAGAAAAAGAAAAAAAAAGAAATCAGAGCTAGGATTCTAATGGTAAAGTGAGGTGTATTCTTTAAACTTTGGGAGTTCTCAAACTAGATCCCAAGTTGTAGTCCCAGAAGTTTTACATTCTGAAAAACATCTGAGATCACAGGCGCAGGTCATGTGGAGACGTGCAATAGGTCACCTGTCTGTAAACTGTATCTACTCCCCAGTAAAAGTAATTCTTCCTAAACCTGGGTGAGGGGGTGGTGGATACCCTACCTGACATTTCTCTAGATTGATTTCCTTTGCTTCTTATTCACCCGACGCTTGATTTCTGTTTGTTACAGAAGGGAAGAGGAGAAGCTCAATGAAGAAAAAAAGATTTCTGTTTCTCTAGAAGACACAGACTAATCCCGTTAGATGGTAAGGCTCCTAAGCAGCGCTGATCTCTTTCCTCAGCTTTCTGACCTGTCTGACCCATCTCTCAAGTGGGTCTCCCTGATTATTTTATGGGTCATAGGTGGTTCCTGCATGAAATTACTTAGAGTCAGAGAGATGAGTCTTCTGTTGGTCCCAACGATTCTTCTTTGAGTGTATTTTGTGCTAGACTTGATCGCTATTACAACTAAGAGAAATCTATATAAGTATGTACGCATGACTGGTGGTACTGGGGATCTAGCCCTGGACCTCGTGCATGCTAGGCAAGGGCTCAAGTGCTGAACTACATCCCCACCCCAATAAATCTTTTTATGAAAAAAATTAATGTCATGATTAAAAAATTATAAACCAGACATAATATTGATACAATAGATATGCCTGACACTTGTTGGATCCCTTTTTTTGTTTGCTTTTTTGAGACAAAATCTCGCTATGTAGTTCAGGCTGGCTTTGATTTGTAGTGATTCTCCTGCCTCAGCCTCCCAAGTGCTGGAATGACAAGTGTGTGCCACCACACTCAGCTGTTAGGTCTTCTATACTATTTGGAATTGATTTCCACTGCTCCTCTCACTTAGTTATTAAGCTATGAATTTAGTTTTAGTAGTGTATGTAGTTTTGTTTATCCAGTTTTCAGGTTTTTGAGGATTTTAGACAGGATGCTAAAAATTTTTTCTATTTTCTGAAGTAGGTCCACAGTGTTAATTTTTAGAGGTTATAAATCAAGAAATACAAACTGAATTTATACTCCTAATGTAATATGCTTGGACATTAATAACTTTATCTTGTCAAACTCTGACTTTCTTGAGAGAAAATTTTTACAGGCTATTATATTAATGCAAAGAGTCACATTTTTATACTTACACTTCAATGAAAGGTCTCAAGTATTTGTAAAGTAGGACATGAAGAAAAGTGATTGTGTTGTGAAAACAACAATGAAAGTTAGTGTATACAAGAGTTCTTAGTAAAGTTTTTTTGTCTTTTTGAGGCAAGGTCTCACTATGCAGTCTGGACTTGAGCTCGTTTGGAGCCCAGGTTGGTCTCCAATTTGCAACAATCCTCCTTCCTCAGCCTCCCGAGTGCTGGGATTATTACAGGTGTGCACCACCACACCCAGCTTAGTAAAGGCTTCTATTTTGTTTTTTTAAATCAAACAGATTCTCTGTCTTTCTTTTTTTTTTTTTTTGGGTCTTTTTATCGGTACCAGGGATCGAACTCACGACTCCCTGCTTGCAAGGCAGGCGCTTATGCCGCTGAGCTAAATCCCCAGCCCCTGTCTTTCTTAGAAGCTTTCTCTCAATAAATTCTTCCTACTCAAAAAAAAAAAAAAAAAAAAAAAAAAAAAAAAAATCAAGCAGATTCTCTAATTAGTCAAAGTCATGTAAAATTATAGGGACTATTAGAGTAAAAGAATCTAAGAGACACAATCAGGTGCAGTGCGTGTGATGCCTGAATGTATGCACAAAAGTTTGAACAAACCCGATGTAAAAAGATGAGATACTGTTTAAAAAAGTGAAGCCTTCACTATGAAAATATTGAACACGAACACTATTAGTTAATTATTGTTATTTTCTATTAGGTGTCATAATGCTATTGTGGCTACAAAGCCCTGTTTTAGAACTGCACACTAGAGCCAGATATGGAGGTGCAAGTGTAGATTTCTGGCACTCAGGGAGACTGAGGCAGAAAGATTTTAAATTTGAGCCCAAGTTGGGTAATTTAATTTACAAGACCGTCTCTCAGAATTAGAAAGGGCTGGGGCTGTAGTCAGTGTGAAAGCTCTCAGTGCAGTCCCTGGTACTTCTCCCCACCCCCCAAAACATACAGGAGTATCTGGGGGTGTCAGTAATTTGATTTAAAAAGTTCAACCAAAAAAAAGCAAGATCAAAAGTTCTTTAAAAGTCGGTGATGGGCGAATTCCATACGCATCTGCTCCACTAGTCTACACGTCTGATTTTGTTTGTAAGGGGAGCACGCGGAGGTGAGAGGCTCTGGGTCATCAGGTGTCCACGCAGGGCACTTACCGGCTACGCATAAAGGATGCTGACTCGGAGAATCCTGTAACAAGGTTCAGGAGCCTGCTTTTACTAAAATTAAGTTCAAGAGGGAACAAAAATATTTTCCTTCTGTGATGGCCAGCAGACTGTTTATGTAATTCATGATGTAAGCTCCTCTAATGTTTTTTCTCAAATGTATTATCAACTTAAAATTTCTGTTTATATTTTAGGAAGCTGAAGATTTCCAAGAACGAGAACTATAGTACTGCAGTTGATGGGAACCTTTCTTTGGTATTTCCAGTTCTGGCCTGTCTTCTGACAAATCTGCAGAACACACCCAGCAGGATAAACACCACCACCCCTCTGCAGGCAGCACAGCTCCTGAGCGATGCCCGCAGCTCACACACAGTCTCATTATTAAGGTTTTATTTAATTTCAGACTACCAGTATTTTTCAAATCCTCATTAGTTTTTATAAACTAAGAAGCTACATTTTTGCCCTCACACACCCCCTGTAGGGCATGACGTATATTGGCAACAAATGGGATACAGACATTTGCTTTCACACATTCCTTTCTTTAGAGCATCACTCTTGCTACTAAAGTTAATGTTTGCTTTCTTTCCTTTTCGCATTTCCATTAAAGGGTGAGTTAAGCCTCCCAGACATTTTTCCACTAACAGGAAATTCCCAGGACAAACTGTTAAGTGGTTTTTATGGCTCTCTTAAGCATGGGACACGCCTTATTTAATTGAAGTTTTTTCAGTATCCCAGGTGATAGGGTTTTTTTTTTTTTTTGTTTGTTCATTTTTGTCAGTTAATCCAAGATTTAAAGTAGCCCAAGTCCAAATCACAGGGCAACTGCAAAAGGTTGCATAGACACCACTATATTGGCAAATGCCACTTTAGGATGTGTTATTTGGTATCTTTTTTTCTTTATTGTGAAAAATAATTAACTGAAGGTCTTTCCTGAGCTGTTACTGTATATTTCTGCTCTGTGCTTCCACTGAATTATAGAGCAAACTGTGCTCATGTGCAGACTGGAAGCAGTAAGTAGTTTAATATATGAGGTATGAAATAGTATTTAACATTTTAAAAACTTAGGTCTGGTGAAAAAAGACCAACTCTAAATGATGATAATTTTGTACAGTATTATACAAAAGTTTGAGAACTGGAAGAGAGTATGTAAAGTTTTTTCTTTTTCTTTGTTTTTTGATTGTAATTCACTTGTTTAATGGACAGAGAGTTTGGTACAGAGCCAAGAAATACCAAAACTACTTTAACTGAATGAAACTGTTCTTTTCCCCCCTTATATTGGTAGATACATTTTGTAAGCGGGCTATGGAAAGAAGAGAGCTTTTACAAAGTGTCTCATTACCCAGTATCTTTCCAAACTTATGCATTTTTTAAAGGACAGAAAACATCTTCAAGTGAGGCTTGGGTGGTGCACACCTGTAATCCCAGCTCTTGGGAGGCTGAGGCAGGAGGACTGTTGCAAGTTCGAGACCAGCCTGGGCTAGAGTGAGCTCAAGGCCAGCCTGAACTGCATAGTGAGACCCTGTCTCAAAAAGACAAAACAAACAAACAAACAAAAAAAAACCCACAAAGAAAACATCTTCACATTTAGGTCAGATCTATATAATGTGGTATTTTCAATTTTCATTGACTAAGCTGCTGATACTATTTTATTTTTAACAAACTGAATTTTCAAATAGATTATCTATATTTAAAGATACTGGATGTTGATATTTTTTTCAATATTATTTCTTTAATTGCTTGTTGGACTTTTGGCCAAGATAAAGCATATTTCTTTAAAATTAGTATAATTTTACCTATGAACCTTGATTCTAAAACTTATTCAATACCTATATCATTCTGCCTTTTAAAAAGTAAACTCTCAATACCTAGTTTTGAAACTAAAAAGTAGATTTGAAACCTTTATTCCACATATTATATTTTTGTTTGTAGTTTAACCTGTCAAAATATAACTGGATATTTCTTCAAACAGATATCTTGATGATGTTCCATAAGTGAAACAAAGTAATAGTTAAAACCTCATCGTTTTTCCAGCAGTCTTATAGCTTGTGTCTTGGGGTAATAGAGCCTTGTTGTTTAGTGTCTCCTCCCTGAAGAGCATTTTTGTACTGTAATTTATTTTTTATTATACTTCAAACACTATGTAAATACATCTTTAGTAATAAAGAATTATCAATTATATAATTTTCCTATATGCATGTGTGAAAATTTTACATAGCAGGTTAATAGAAAACAGTTGCATGAGGTATGATTTGAAAATAGAATGAATGAAAAAAAAATACAATGAATGGGCTGTGGATGTAGCTTAGCAGCACAGCGCCTGCCTGGCAAGTGTGAGGCCATGAGTTCGATTCTGGTACCAAGAAAAGAAAACAGAAGAAAAAAAAAAAAAAAAAGACCTCACAAAAAACCCCTCTTAAAAAAAAGCTTTAAAAAATTCATTGAATGTTTAAATTAAAAAATTATTACAATAAAAAATGTTGCTTTTAAGCCCTTTCAGAATATCCCCCCTTGCTCCCAACATATGTATCACATTGTTCTTGCTACTTTCTTAAGTAGTGAAAGTTCTGAAAGTTCTCTTTTGTGAAGGTCTTTCCTTGCACTGTGCTGGCTGCCTCAATGTCCTGAATTAATTCAAAATATTCACTGCTTATGGTCATTTTGACTCTGGGAAAGAGACATGTTGTATGTGGTCAGACCCAGTGAATAAGATGAAGTCTTGCTGTGATGTTTTCTTTTCTGCCTTTACGCTGGATGGCATGTGGCAGCAGTATTCACTATATTTTTGATCACGTCATAAAGACACTCATGAAAGATGACTTCCAGAAATGCTTCAGAAAGGGGCAAGAATGATTCGTGTGTCTGAAGCTGGGGGCAGTATTCTGAGGGGGATTAAGAGCAATGTACTTTTTATTGTAATAAATTTTCCTTAAATATTCAACTATTTTTCAATCACCCTTTGTATATATTTTAATATTCTCTGGAGAATTTTCATAGTAGATACAATCTGGAAGTCAATAATGGATAGAATTACCTGGGTGTGGTGGTGCATACGTATAACCCCAATTTTCTGGCAGGGTGATGCAGCAGGACTGCAAATTCTAGCCCAGCCTGGGTAACTTGGTGACTTGAGACATTGTCTCAAAATTGAAAATGAAAAAGTGCTGCGAATCTATATTGCTGGAAAGGCCCTAGGTTCAATCTCCAATTACCCCCGCCCACACCAGTTTCTATTAGATTAAAAAAAAAAAAAACATGGATTTCTATAGAATTTTCACATTGCTTTGGATAGCTGGAAACTGGGCATAACAGCACTGCTTAGATGGGGCTCTTGGAAGACTGTCACCTATTGTTTGGTACTCCTGCATTACTTTCTCAATTGAGCTTTCAAGTCTAATAAGGAGATGAAAGTTGAGAAATGGGAAGTTATTAAATTTTCCCCAAAGCTGACGCATATCATTATTCCCTTTCTGCTTTCATTAACCACAGGGCAATTCCAGAATAGGTTAAGGACTAAAGCACTATCCTGTACCATCTTTTTCAGAAGAATGTGACACTGTTTCAGTTAACTCCCAAGTACTTTGATAACATAACTTATTTTTGCAACCAAAACATGTAGACTCAAGTTACCCTTCACTTCTAATATACGACCGTAATGATTTCAGCATTGTTGTTGTCAATAGTAAATTAATTCCAATTCTGTGTTAGCTTAATAGTTACATTAAGAAGGACAAGAACCAAACAGACTTGAGGCACACATTGGCCACAAGGGCCAAATACATATTTATATGTTGACTGGTCGACCCAGTATACTCTTTTAGGTCTTTTAGGCTCTAAATTTATGAAAATCTTTTTGAATTCAACTGAAATAACCCTAGGGGCATAAACATATCGGGAATATAGATAATTAAGATTTTTTAGTCCTGCAGAATTCTACAAGAATAAAATGCCAGATTTCCCAGAGTCTGTAATCTACTTAGTTTTAAAGAAGGCAACCAGCTTTAAACTGAGCTTCAAAGAAACGCAGCTCAGGGACACCTGGAACGGTACCGGAAAGAAGCCGCGTCTCTATGGCAACGCAGGGCCGCCATTTTTAAGTGTTCCAGCTGCCGCCCACTCCGACGTCACTTCCGGTGTTACCTGTGCCGTGCGGGGAGCTGTAAACAAGGGGTGCAAGGATCTGAAGAACTGTCAGGATGCAGCGGAGCAGAGCGGCTGGAGGCCGCGGCTGCGCTCTCTTGCCACTGCTGGGCATCTTGATTTTTCAGGGTGAGTGCGGCCGCCGGCGGGGCTCCACTTCCGGCCGGGGGGTTTCGGGAGGAGGGTGGCTTTTCCGGTTCCGGGTGGGGGTTCTCAGGAAAGCCCCTGGCAGGCTTCTGGGCAGGAAGGCAGGGAGGGTGTGGCAGAAGAGTTTTTATTCTGGTTAACACCTGCCGCTGTGGAGAGCTGCTGTCTTGCCAGACTTTCCTGAGCTGTGGGAGCACAGCTGGTCACCTTGTGTGATTTGTCACTGTCTTGGTGATGACCGACTCAGAAACCCTGGAAGCTCCTGACGCTGTCTTGTATGAGACAGTAGTGATTGTCTGCTGGGGTCTTGAGTGCTTTGTACCCTGATTAGGGGAAGGCAATTCTAATGGTCAGGAGGTCTGACCCAGTACATTTGAGAAATAAAATCATGACGTTTGATAATTGCACGTGTTTGTAAATGAATAGCAGGAGTATAAAATAAAGTGTGTATTTGTGACAGGAGTGTGGTTTCATTGTAATAGAGAAGCTATTGAAGAAAAAGTAGTCTTAGTGTTTTTGAAACATTTAAAATATGAAAAAAACATGGACTCTTGAAATTTTAATCTTTTAACTAATACCAGAACTACAGTATTGACAAGATAACATTGCACTAAATTTTGGACACATTTGGCTTTTATGCAGTTTTCCAATTACAAACTTTTCAACCTAATTAACTTCACTTTGAAAAGCAGTTATTTCCTGGATTTTGGTGTATGTGGCTTTTTTGAAAATTAGGTATTAGTGTAGCTAACTAGTATTAGAATGAATTATTAGCCTCACAAAATTTCCCTGTAAGTAATGGGGATTTCTAACAGGGACCTTTAATATTTTATAAATGTAAAGATCTCAGGTGCTTTAAATCTCATCAATAGGCCTCCAAAGTTTTTATCTACCTGATGACTAGTGCTTTTGCTGCCAACATACTCCCCGATACCTCCCAGCTGCCCGTGTTATCACAAGTGTCCAACTTTTTCAGCTAAATTCTTTGTATAATATAGTATTTAGGCTATCATATTGTCAATTATGTAAACTATCTACCCTCATCATGGGAAATGTTCAAATATTGTCCCATTGAAGAAGAAAATTCTAGAAATAAGTGTATCTTGTTTTTTTATTTTGAAATGGAGTCTCACTATGTAGTTTAGGCTGGCCTTGAACTCACTGTGTAGCCCAAGCTGGCCTCAAATTTATGGCAGCCCTCCTGCTTCAGCCTTCCAAGTGCTGGACCTACGAGCATGATGAGTGTTTTCTTAAACCTAATGTCATGTTACATTAAAGAGTTCCTTGAAATCCAGTGTACCAAGTAGTTCAAACACTAAAACTGGTTTTATGATCTGTGTACTTGTTGAGTAGATTTATTTTGCTTTTTTGGAGTAATAAGTTTCAGACATAATTCACAATTTACCCATTTAAAGATGTTCAATTCAGTAGTTTTTAGGATTCACAGAGTTACATGAATCCGTTTTAGAACATTTTCATCACCCCAGGAAGAATCCTGGTATTCATTCTTACGTTCCCCAGCCCGTGACAACCCCAGTCTACTCTCTGTTTCTAGAGACTTGCCTGTTCTAGACACTTCCTATAAATGGGATCATGCTTTTTTCTTTCACTTAGCATGTTTTCAATGTTTCATCTATTTTTGGTGGTCTTATTTTTAAATCTGTTAGGTGGTAGACCCTGGTTTTGTACCAGTATTTATTTGCCCCCTGTCCTCAAAGATAAGACCCCTTAAATTACTACCTTGGTTGAATTCTCCTTAAATTACACATCTGGTCTTACTGTAACAGTTGTTATAGTGCATAGAAATGATAGACTAGGGAGCCTAGTGTTATATATTTATTTTTCCATGTAAATGTGCAATTATATGAATTAAGGATTGACCAATTAATATTTGGAAAATGGTCTATAAAATTGGAATCTTGGTGGTACACACCTGTAATCCCAGCACTTGAGAGGCTGAGACAGGAGGATTGCCATGAGTTTGAGGCCAACCTGGGCAATATAAGTGAGTTCAAGTCTAGTCTTCACTACTTAAAAAATGTCTCAAAAAAAAAAATTGGAATATTTGTTTCATCATATTTATTTAATTTCTTCCATGTATAAAATTACTTATGTTAAAAATGCAGTTCTTTTCCTCAGATGGATTTTTATGAATTTTTAACGGATATATTTGTAGTTAGCATGTTCACTTAATCAGAATGCTTTTCGACTTAGGTTAAAAGATAAATTTCTGTAAGGACATTAGACAAAGATAGAAATTCCTGAATGACTGTAACACTGGGTTACAAAATGGAAGGTTTTGAAAGGAATTTGATAGGAACTGCCAGAGCTGTGGAGGGGAGAGAGAATCGAACTCACGACCCTGCACTTGCCAGGCAGATGCTTATGCTGCCGAGCTGTATCCCCAGCCCAATATTTTAGGTTTTGCAGGCACGTGGTCTCTGTTGGAATTATTCAGTTCTGGAAAAAGTGCAAAAGCATCCATAGACAATGTGTAAACAAATGAACCTAGATGGCTTTTTTATTCTAATAAAATTTTGTTTATGTAAAGGTGCTGAAAGCACTTTTTGCTCTTAGCTGACAGTGTGGCTGGGTGTCAGCTGTTCTTGGTTTGCCCTGTCCCGTGAGATCAGTTTGCTTCCGTGTGGTCCATGGCCATAGCTTGCTGACCCTTTCCCTAAACGACAATCCCTCTGATATTATCCCTTGGGCATCTCCATCTCAATGACATTTAAATTCATCCAGAATCCAACCCGGGTTCTCTTGCCAAGCCTGGTACATTTCCAGTCTTCTCTCAGTGATCAGCAGCCCGGAGACCTGGGAGTCATTGCCGGCTCCACCCTTCTCGCACATTAATTTCCCCATCGTAACTGCAGTTGTGTAAGTTTTTTCCTCTTCGTGTGACACCAGCCCAGTGCAGAAGAGGTCATCAAGAGCAGAGCTTTTCCTGAATGAGCGTAGTGGAAAGATAGAGGCGAAGGGAGTTAAGGGCCTTGAAAATGCTGGAAGGGAGGTGATAGAGAGGGACTGGTTGGTTAATGAGCACATTTTATTCCCCTAGTAAAATTTAGAGCAGCCTATCTGTCTCTTTCCAGTCTTCCTATGCCTCTGAATCTCTCTGAATTTTTGCTCTGGAAGTGCTTGCATTTAATGGAGGAAATAGATGTTATAAATTAGGTGCGGTCAGGCCGGGTGTGGTGGCGCATGCCTGTAATCCCAGCACTTGGGAGGCTGAGGCAGGAGGATCGTTGCAAGTTTGAGACCCTCCTTGGGCTACAAAGTGAGCTGAAGGCCAGCCTGAACTGCATAGGGAGACCCTGTCTCAAAAAGAAAAAGAATCAGGTGCAATCAATGGCGTATTGCTGGAGTAGCATGATATAGAAGTATTATAAGATCATGGAAGGAAAACTGAGCTTCATGAGGGAATTGGGCAGGAGCTGCAAAATATGTCAATATTTGAGCAGGTTTTGAAGGGATGTGTGTGTGTGTGTGTTTTGGGGTTATGGTGTGGTGGAGAACAGCCCAGGTAGGGTGAGAAGAGATGGGAACATCCTTCCAAAGATTTATTTAAAGGAAGGCACAGGTGCTGGGGACATGGTCCATTTGGGACATGTCAGGACGTTGCAGGCATAGTGAGCGGGGCTGAATGGTAAGCAGCAGAATGGCAGAAGTTTGAGGACAGATTGTTCCTGTCTGGATATGTGTGATGTTTTTAAAAAAAAAACAGTAATAGCTAACATTTATTGAACATTTTTATTCTAGGTGCTATGGTAAACATTTTTATGCTGTTTTTTCCGTACCAGCACTGAAAATTGAACTCAGGATTTTCATACTGAGAAATATCCCCAACATTTAAAAAAAATATATTTTTTTTGAGACAAGGTCTTGCTAAGTTCCAGATTTGCCCAGGCTGGACTTTAACTTGAAACGCTCCTGCCTCAGCCTCCCAGAGTGCTGAGATTACAGCTGTGGGCCATGATACCCAACTCATATGCTATCTTTTAAAATTGTGTTGGGTCTTCAGAATGATCCAGAGAAATAAGTTTGGTTATTGTTCCCACTGATCAAGCATAGAAATTGAAGCTTGAAGAGGTTAGGCACTGTGATCAAGGTCTAATAGCCAGAACATAGCTAAAGCAGAACCCAAGTTCAAATCTGGCTAATCGTAAATACTTTGAGCCTCTGTACTATACTTTTGTTTTAGTGTAAGGGGCGGGGATGAAAAGACAGTGTAGGTCAGTGGTGGCAAATGCATGGTAATTGTGTCTCAGCGGGCTGTTTGTTGTCATTGAAAGCTCTAAAGGATTTGCCCTGTTTGGTGTAGATTATCTGTTCATTTCTTTTTTTTTTTTGTCTTTTTCGTTTTTATCGGTACCGGGGATCGAACTCACGACTGCCTGCTTGCAAGGCAGGCGCTTATGCCGCTGAGCTAAATCCCCAGCCCCTATCTGTTCATTTCTTTATTCCAGTTTTTAGACTGAGTCTTGAGCCATGAATAAAGATGTTTTTCACACTGATGAATCAGGCGTGAGGGCTTACTGGGGACAGAGGGATGGGGGTTTTGCAGGGAGAGGAAAGAGCATCTGCAGAAACAGAAGAAACAACAAACTTAGCACAGGTAGAGACAAAGGACGCCGTGGAAGAAGCAGCATAATCCTGTCTGTGGGATGGGCTGATTCTTGGGAGAGTTCTTATTAGTGCAGTCAGTCTCGGTCTCCTCCATTTGAGAGGAATGTGGCCGGACTAGCTTGTCTAGAGAGGAACAGAAATGATTCAGAGCAGGCAGAGTAGAGCGGAGGAGCTGGTGACTCGGGGCTGCCTGTGGCAGGAAGGGTGAAGCGAGTGTAGACCTGGGGAAGTGAGTTATAGTGCTGGGTGTTTCCTCGGGCTTGGGAGGGCTTCTCCTTAATCCTTTACCCTTCACAGTGAGCCTCTGAGGTGAGAGCTCCCGTCAGCCTGCAGTCAGGAGGGAGAGGGTTGGGGTAACTTGCTGAGGTTGCAGAGGCAGCCAGGGCTGGACGCAGGGGTGTAGGAGTCTGGACCCAGGCTGGACCCAGGGGTGTGGGAGTCTGGACCCAGGCTGGACCCAGGGGTGTAGGAGTCTGCGTACTTAATCACCGCACCAGCTGTTGCCAGGGCGCTACTGGGGACGAGCGCTTTTACAGAGGAGGTCACTAGAAGCTTTTAAAAATGTCACCTTATTTTTACATTTTGTTTTCCTTCCCATAATAAAATTTTTTTCTTTTGTGTTACCGATGATTAAACCCAGGACCTTCACACTGAGCTACGTCCCCAGCTCCTTTTTAGAATTTTTTTTATTTTTTAAATTTTGAAACGTGACCTTGCTAAGTCACGAAGTTGCCCAGCCTAGGCTGAAATCTGTGATCCTCCCACCTCAGCCTTCCCGAGTGCTGTGATTACAGGCAGCCAGGGCTGCCACACCCAGCTCATAATTCACTTGTTACGTGATTCATTACCAGCTTTAAGAAATACAAGGGAAACTAAGAACATTAGGGCAGTGAATCAAAAACAGAAGCAATTTTTGTTCTCTGTTCTTACTTTGCTGACGCTTGAGGCAGTGGTAGCTTCACGCCGCATCGTGTACTTGCTGTAAGGGCCTCCAGCCCCACGAAAGCTGCTGTGTTCCTGGAGCCTGTGTGTGTGTGTTTGGGGGGGTGTATGGGGAGATTGAGAGTGAGGATGATGCTGCCTTTCAGTTTGCTGTGGGCACCCCCACCTGTTTGTACTTAGTTTGGCTACAAGCCTGGTTTAGAATTTTACCCAAGTATTCCATCTATGATTTAAGATTGCAAAAGGTGAAAATGCTCTCCTAGATTACTGCAGACATTGGCTCTTTGTCTGTGTGACCTTGCCTGGGAAGATGTGGGATGCTCTGGCTTTTTGCTGAGACCCCTAAGCATGATAAATGACATGCCTGTATTGTGCACTCATATCACGAAAACAAATACACTTAGGTGTTTGGTCATCCTTTGATTAGGTGTTCCTATCGTCATTTCCCTGGAGATTAAAGCAGATGCTCACGTACGAGGTTACATTGGAGAAAAGATCAAGTTGAGATGCACCTTCAAGTCAACCTCTCCAGTTACTGAAAAACTGACCATAGATTGGACATACCGCCCTCCCAGCAGCAGTCGCACAGAGACTGTAAGTGGTTCTTTTCAAAAAGTTTCCTGGAAGGCCAGGGATGTAGCTTAGCAGCCTGCCTTGCATGCACAAGACCCTGAGTTCGATTCCTGATACCAACATAAAAAAAGTTTCCTTGAGTCTTGTGGCTGAGCAGTGTTTGAATTCTTTTATTACAACTCACATGCACACCCAAGGACCTCTCAGAGCAGAAATGAGCTTCTGTGTAAATGGAAAGGGGTGAGCTGCTGCCGTCTATGACACTGGTTTGATCATGTAAGACTTTTTATGCTTCTACATAAGAAGTTTACACTTGACCTGTAGGAAAAAACTGTCAGAAACCAAGAGAAAATGTGGTTTAATTTTGTTTCCGTTTTTTCTTGTGTGTGATATTATAATTTCATCTCTAGATTTGATGTATTGAAAAGAGTATCTGCAGAACTATTGGCTAGAAAAATTCTGTAGGTCACAGACATACTTTTTCTTAGAACTGCTCATTTCCTGTTGAGTAGAGTTGGCTCAATGGGTGTGTATCTGTTTGCATGTCTGTGGTCTATAGATTTATCTTGGCTTCTCCTGCTAGCATGTAAACATCTGCAGTGATTTATATAGCTACCTTTGAAGGAAATGATGGCACTTGGTGACAGATGTCAGTGATAGTCTTGTCATATTAGAAACTTAGTCACACATATAAAACACATTTATGATTCATATGCCATTGTTGGTGTCTAATTGAAGATTATAGTGCTATAAAAAGTCTCTTTATGGTTCCATCAGCATGCTTAGCTCAGAATGCATGCTGTTCAAGAGTGTGAATGCCATAGCTATGTAACTGATTGGATTTTTGCAAGTATTCTTAAAAAAAAGAAAGTATTCTTAGTTTATTTATTCTGTTTTCCTTCACTGGAAAAACGTTCCCTTCCTGTGGACACAGAAGCTTTGAATTCTGTTTTAGGAGCCATTGCTGAAGACTACGTAGCACACGCCCAGCTATGTAGGAATGGCTGCTTTCTTTAGACTTAAAAGTAGTCGCTTTGTCCTGAGTAGTCAGGAAAGTACGGCTGGCCTTGTTTGGCTCTACCTCCATAGCCAAAACCAGGACAGAGCAAGCAGCGGGGAGCATGTTGGTTCAGAAGCATTCTACACAAACAGCCGTTCTCTTACGGTACCCTTCTCTGTGAGACTGGTCAGAACTCACCCACGTTGGAGTTAGTGGGCCCTTAAGGTCATGTAACGTAGTGATGCAGTCACGTGGCTAGTCAGGGTCCCTAATCAGTTAACCAGCATTTCAGTGTCACTGATTTAGATGGAACCTGGAGGTTCCACCACACCTGGCAAAACCCCTTCACCCTGGTGCCGATATCAGTGGTAGAGGCCTTCTTACCTGCCGCTTTGGAGCACTCAGTATGCATATGATTTCCTAGTATCTGTATTGACCACAAAAGTGAAAAATTTCACGAGAGTAGGGACCATGCCAGTATGTTTTTACTAACGTGTTGCCTAGAACATAGTTGGTGTGCACTAAATATTTGTTGACTACGTGAATGAACAGTGAACTAATCAATGACTCATCGTCTCCTCTGGGGAATTACGCTTTAAGACTGGGCAGTTCAGTGGTTACATGCGAGATTTCCTAAGCCGGAAGGTACCAAGCAAGAAGGAACAGGGAAGCCTTGTATCTTGTGTAAGAGAAAAGCTTACCTTGTAAGAGAAAAACGCACCTGCCTGGCTCACCTTTAGGTGTCATTAGGTATTTTTGGTGGTAAGGTGTCAGGGCACCAATTCCAACGTAGTATTTTTTAAAATTCAGCATGGATTCATTGAGTGCCCATCGTAACATTTGACCTAGGGTTTACATTAACTGCCAAGGGAGGTAACTTGAGAGATGCTGGGCTGCATTATCTCCTGCCAGTGATTTTGAGAATAAGAACAAAAATCTCCCATCGGTCACATACTAATTTTGTCTTTGAGAAACTCACATAGTCTTTTGGTTTTGGTCTTATTTCCATTTTTGTAGATTGGATTATACCTTCCTCGTATAGCCTAGTATTGTTATGAGTCTCCTTTGAGTAAGTGTGTGGAAGTCATTTGCAAACAATAAAGTGCTATAAAACATTAGACATTATTTTAGAGGGCCGGGGATTTAGCTCAGTAGCATAAGTGCCTGCCTGGCAGCTGTAAGGCCGTGAGTTCAATTCCCAGTCCCCCCCAAACAAAAACGAAAAACAGAAAAAATAGGTGTTATTTTAGAGCAACTTGTTGACACTGTGAGGATGGTGATTCTTTGCTGTGTGGGCATTACAGGAGGTTTGGTAGTATCCCTGGCCTCTACCCACTAGATCCAGTAGCTCCTCTCCCTTCTATGACAACCAAGACTGTCTCCATCTCGATAGCAGAAAAGCAGGGACTTGTGGGGAGCTTGATGGTACAGCTCCTGCCTACTATATTTGAAGCCCTGAGTTCAGAGCCCAGCACTGAAACAGACAAACGAACGAACAAATCAGTTTGTTTGTTTCAGGCAAAGGATCTGAATAGGTGTTTCTCAAAAGAAGAGACATTAATGGCCAACAGATACGTGAAAAATGCTACCCAACTCTAATTACCAGGGAAATGCAAATTAAAACTGTAATCAGAAGCTACTTTGCACCTTTTAGAATGCCTACTGTAAAAAAGACAAATTACAACAAGTTTTGGCAAAGATTGGGGAAAAAGGAACCCTCATCCGCTGTTAGTGGGGATGTAAATGAGTAGAACCATTTTAGAAAGTCATATGGAACATCCTCAGAAATTTGAAAGCAGTTCAGGATGCAGCAGAGAGGTAGAGCTTTGTATGAAGTTCTGGGTTCAGTTCCCAGCAATGAAAATGAAAGTCACATTTTACCCCATAAATATGTGAAATTTTTATTTGTCAATTAAAAATAGATATTTTTTGTTCTGATAGTACCAAGTGTTTTCTGGAGAGTGAAACTGCCCCCTGACTGAAGGCTATTTACATTAGACTTGGTGAAGAGTTTAGAAGAGATTCAAGAGTTAGGGACTAAGCATTCTCTTATCAGTCCCTTTTTAAATCCGTTTTATTAACTTCTCTCTCTATTCCATGATGGAGGGAAAAAGCATTTAAGAACTTGCCAACTGAAAAGCCCATTACACCGCTGTGTTTTACTTTGAGCCCGTTAGTTCTGCATTGTCAGTTTGTTTTGCAAATTAACTGTTTCTTTCATGGTGTTGCTTTTTAGATTTTTCATTATCAGTCTTTCCAGTACCCAACCACGGCAGGCACGTTTCGGAATCGGATTTCCTGGGCTGGAGATGTGTACAGAGGCGACGCCTCCATAAGCATAAGCAACCCCACCCTGAAGGACAACGGGACATTCAGCTGTTCTGTGAAGAATCCCCCAGATGTGCACCATAATATTCCCCTCACAGAGCTCACAGTCACAGAAAGAGGTAAGTGGATCGCCACCTTCTTCCGCAGTGCTGGGTCACCACTCTGGTGTTTTCTGGAGTCCTCATTTTAAGTGAAGTCATTTCTTTGGGTAAGCCACTTGGGGCACTGGATCATTGTTTCAAAGTGGCCTTTTTGTTTTTTTGCTATCCCTGTATGTCTGTTAAATTGAACTTTTGATCTTTACTTATTTACTTAAGGTATCGGGAGTTGAACTCAGGACCTTGTGCTTGCCAGGCAGGCGCTTGGGCCACTCAGCTGTATCCCCGGTCCCTTTGATCTTTATTTTGAAATAAAGATGATGGTTTCCCCATCATCTCTCTTTCATTTGGCCTTCAGGTGGCCAAAGGCCTTGCGTGATGTATGGAGTTACTACCTCTGTGAAGTAAGGTGGCCCCGGTTTCCCTAACGTATTTGTACTCCCGGTAATGAGCCAGCATTTTCGCCTGTGTCGAAAGGGCGGTCCCTGTAATGACATGAGGTGGTGTGTTTCTTTCATGCCTCAAAGAATAGCAGCTTCCTGTTGGCTTGAACAAGTGGAGAGGATTAAGCACTGACCTTGTTTTCTGTGTTTTCCCTGGTGACTGTTCAGTGGTCATTCCAGTTCTGAACTGGATTTGCACCAGAGACTTAGGGATAAACCGCGATCATCATGGTTGCTGCATCATTTCTCAAGTCTTCCTTTCCTCCCTTCTTACCTTCTCTTCCTCTTTTCTTCCCTGTTTCCCTCCTCCCCTCCTTTGTTCCTTCTTCTTTCTCTCTTTTCTCCTCCTCTGTTTTTCTTTATTATCTTTGTCTCTATCTCCTTTGACAGTCACTCATAGGTTTGGAGGAACGGCACAGTCTCAGTGCTGGAAGACTAGACCTGGCGATGCTTTTCTGGAAGGCACTTGGGCAACAGAGATCCCTTAGAGTGTGTCCTTTGGTCCTGTCGTTGTAAAATTTTATCTTAAGGAAGTAGAGCTAAACATGAAGATTTATATATAAGCTTGGTTATCCTAATGTGACCTACAGATTCAAAGAATTTGAAATAACTCGAATGTCCAGCATTAGAGAGTTGATTCAATAAGTTATTCAGTGTGGAGTAATATCACACTTTAAACCTCACATCCAGAAAGAAATTTTTTTTTTTTTTGTCTTTTTGCTTTTTATCGGTACCGGGGATCGAAATCACGACTGCCTGCTTATAAAGCAGGCGCTTATGCCGCTGAGCTAAATCCCCAGCCCCCCAGAAGGAATTTTTTTTAATTACACGAAAACATTTATCAGTGGATGTTGTGACACAGGCCTGTAATCCCAGTGCTTTGGGAGGCTAAGGCAAAAATATCAAAAGTTTGATTTATTTTTTGAGAGAGGGTTTCACTATGTAGCCGAGGCTGGCTTTGAACTCAGCAGTCCTCTTGCCTCAGCCTCCTGAGTGCCAGGATTATAGGCATGTGCCAACAGGCCTCAAAAATGCTTGAGTCTCATAGCCTGGTGTGGTAGCACACACCTGTAGTCCCCGACCTCGGGGATTGACATAGAAGATCACTGCGGGTTCAGGGCCAGCCCGAACTACTTAGCAAGACTTTGTCTCAAACAAACAAACAAACAAACAAAAAACCAAAAACAAACAAACAAACAAAAAAACAAATAAAAAGATAGAGTTTTACCATGGTAACTTAGACTCTGCTTCAAAATAAAAAATAAGCAATGAGCCGGGTATGTAGCTCAATGTGAAGATCCTAGGTTTAATTCCCAGTACCACAAAAACAAAACAAAAATATATTTACCATATATTATGTAAAATGTATTAAAATACTATGTAAAATACGATTTGTACTTCCAAGAATACACAGCCCACTCGCATGCGGACCCTCGTACGTATACCATGCACCTTGCCGAAAGGTTGAAGAGCCACATCCCAGTGTGTTTTCCTGGGTAGTAGAGTTATGGGTCCCTTTTTAGTCTTCAGCTTACTTTTGTGTGTTTTGTGTCTTTTCCATAATGAATTTATCGCTTCATAAGCAGAAGTCCTTGAGCGAAAGCAGAGCCTAGCTCCGGTCACCAGCACCCCAGACACCTGCTTCTCTCCCCGCAGGTTTCGGCACCATGCTGTCCTCGGTGACCCTGCTTTCCGTCCTTGTCTTCATCCCGTCCGCCGTGGTGGTGGCCGTGCTGCTGCTGAGAATGGGGCGGAAGGCGGCGGGGCTGAAGAAGAGGAGCAAGTGTGGCTACAAGAAATCGTCTATCGAGGTTTCAGACGAGTATGTGCCCTGCAGCGCGCGGCTGCCCGGGTCCTCCTCAGCCCCGCTTTGAGGCTGGCTTCGCTCTGGGTGGAAACTTCATTTTGGACAGAGTGTTCCACGAGGAGTCCTGGGAGGAGGGCCCGCAGTTTCTCTTCCCCTTCTCCTTCTCCTGGCAGGACTGGGGTCTCTCCTGCTGGGCCCCATCTCCAGCGCTTTAGCTGTCATTTCGAGACAGGGTCGTGCTCATTGCCCAGGCCAGGCTCGGACTTGAGAGCCTTTGCCTCAGCCTCCCGGGAAGCTGTGGTAACAGGTGTGTCCCACCGAGCCTGGCTTCCCTGATGCCGTTTTTACCCTTCTTGGTCAGCAGATGCCCTGAAGCAGCTAGTGTGTTAGCTGAGTGTGGCATATCTGTAATCCAGCATTCGAGGGGCACAGGCAAGGGATCTCAGCGATTTCAAGGACAGCCTGGCTTACAATGTGAGTTCAAGGGCAGCCTCAATCACATAGCAAGGTCCTGTCTCCAAAAAAAAAAAACAGAGAAAAAAAGCACTCATTACACACAGTCCATTTTCCCCTAAAATGATATCTACCTTAAAAAAAAAAAAAAAAGATTAACAAAAATCTACGTTAAAAATCCCGCAAGTTCTTTTTTTTTTCTTTTTGAGACAGGGTCTCGCTATGCAGTTTAGGCTGGCCTTGAGCTCACTTTGGAGCCCAGACTGGTCTCGAACTCGCAACGATGCCTCCTGTCTCAGCTCCAGAGTGCTGGGATTACAGGCATGAACCACCACGCCCAGCAATAAATTCTTTATTGTTTGTATCAGGGGTTCTTAAACTGAGAGAGTCTTACCTCGAAAGGGTTCAAAAACTTTGTCTATGTGTGTACATTTATTTCATGGAGAGAATGCCTTTGATGTGAGAAGAAGAACTACTGGCAAAAATATCAGTGTCTGTGTCTCCTTCCTTCCTTCTGTCCTTCCTTGCCTCCTTCCTTCTGACTAGAATTGAGCTCAGCCCCTGCCCTTGCCCGGGATCCCCGGCCCATTACCTCTAAGCGTGCTCCACAAAACCCTTCTGTCCTGACCCAGTTACGTTGTTTCTACCTTTTCTCTCGTCTGTCCCCATTTCTAGTGACAGGGACCTTATCTTCCCCACTAGCCATTGTACACTCACTGACATATTTCAGATAGCTGGAGAGATAGAGAGAGATAGGTATCTCGCCACGCCTTGCTGTTTGGCCCTGCTTCCTCTTCTCGCTTGTCTGCAGGATCAGCCCCAGCCCAGGTTCCTTTTCCTGACTTCCTGAGTCCTGAAGAGAGAATCAGTCACTGCTTCCCTTCCGCCGCGATGGCAGTTTCTTCTCGGTTCTGTCAAAACATTGATCACGTTGTGTTACAGAATGTGTGTTTAGTTTATAGCAGGCCTCTCACCCCATGAGACTCTGAGCTGTCTCCAGGACCATTTTCTTTCTTTCTTTGTCCCTAGCCCGCCAGGATGTCACAGATGGTGTAGGTGCTCAGTCTTTTTCTGAGTGAATGAATGGTCATGGCCAGCAGCTGTTTATTGAACACTTACTACGTGCTGGGCCCTGTGATGCATGCGTCACGTGTATTTGTTTTATACTCCTATCATATGCCTTAAGGGTGCAGTGATAATGCGTGTATTTTACAGATGAGGAAACAAGCTCCTGGAGGTAAATTTGTCCAGTAACTCAGGTGAATAGTGGCAGAACTGGGATCTGTAGTGGATGAGTGTGATTTTAAGACTTGAGTTTGAACTGTTCCTCTCCACCAGTGATGGCGAACCTTTTAGAGCTTTCAGTGGTAACCAGTAGCACACGGTGGCACACGTGCTATAGGTTCGTCACCACTACTCCACACTAGGGGTGGTGATGTCTGAGACTTGGTTTGTGTTCTTTCCCCAGCACTGACCAGGAGGAGAAGGACGGGTGCATGACCAGACTCTGTGTCCGCTGTGCTGAGTGTCTGGTGAGTCCCTGCCAGGCTCTGTTCACTGTTGCTCTCTCGGCTTCCTGCCTACTTCGGGGGTCTCCCGCCCTCCAGGTAGGGAGGGCTACGCAGGTAGCACCAAGGAAGGGGTCAACCAGGCTCCTTCGTTCTCTGTCTCATGGACATGCAGCAGTGTTCTTAGGCTAGGCAAGAGGGTGTGGAGAACAGGTCTTGAAGGAGCAGTATCTTTTGCCATTGAATTCAAACTAGGAGACTTGGAAGCACTGGACCCAGAACCCTGGGTTTCCTTTTTTTTTTTTTAAATCTTTTTATCGGTACCAGGGATCGAACACACAACTGCCTGCTTGTAAGGCTTATGCCACTGAGCTAAATCCCCAGTCCCATAGGTTTAATTATCTGTTGAGCCTTGTTACCTCCCAGGGGATTAAGGTTAATACCTTTTAGGTAGCTCAGTGTCATTTTTATCCCTAGGAAACACCACCCCTGAGTGCCATTTAAATTTCAAAAGACTGTCAACCCTCCTCCTTTGAGTGCTAGCTGTGACGACAGGCTTGCGGGGATCTCAGGAGCAGAGACTCTGATGCGGTGCAGTTAGGCACAAGTCAGAAGCAGCGCCGTCTAGTGTGAATCATGCCCGGCTTTGCAGGGCCTCAGCGTGAGCCCTCTTTGTACTCACTGCCAGCTTCCGTGCTGGCCAGGCAGGAGCGCTGGACTGCTCACCGCAGTGCCTTTTGTTCTCCTCCTCTTGTGCCCTTGAGGATCCAAAGTGAGAGGAGAAGACCGCAGTGCCAGTGGGGATGGAAGACCTAAAATCTCCTTGGGGTTTGAATATTTTGGTAACACAAAATTATTAATGTTCATGTGGTCATTAACCATGTTCCCATCGCAGTCCACTGTGTCCATATTTAAGTGGACACAGTGTACCGTGTGTATCACTTTAGCTACTCAGAAAACAGCTGCAAACAAAACTGACAAACATCGCTACCCTTGTGGAAGTTAATGTTCTTCATCCAAAAGCTCTCATCTTCTAAGACCCAGCGGAAATGTCACAGTTTTTTAGATTGGAGTACAAATGTTACAGGCAGCTGAGCTAGTTAGAAATACAGGCAGCTAGACAGGGCTGGGCCCTCGGAGAAGCAGGCACAGAGGACCAGATGTCTGGTGACCCTGGAGGGGACACACACCTCTTGCTGTGGGCCAGATCTCAGGACAGAGGCAAAGCATGTCACCACACCCTTAAGTATAATCCTTAGGGGTTAGATCTGGATCACCTTGAGAAGCCAGGAGTCACCATCCCAATTCCCTACAGGGGAGTCACTGATGTGACTGGCTTCCTCATTAGTCCCTGATTTGGTCAATGTTACCTGAACAATTAACCTTACTGGTTGACCATAGCTCTGTCCCACCTCCTGCCCCTCTGCCTTGTTCCCAGGTTTCCCCAAATTTAAACCTGCCTCACCGCATGGTTTTTCTCTGTGAAAGTCCTGAGAGAAAACAGAATGTTTGGTAGCCCACTCAGGACCCCTTTTGTCTCTCTCTCAGATACAAGCTTCCTTTCTGTCAATAAATATTCCTACTGTTTTTTTTTTTTTTTTTTTTTTGTCTTTTTTGAGACGGTTACAGTTCAGGCTGGCCTCCAGCTCACTTTGTAGCCCAGGCTGGTCCCACCTCAGCCTCCTGAGCGCTGGGATTACAGGCGTGAGCCACCACGCCCGGCCCCAATATTCCTACTCTTAACCTCCATTGTTCCTAAAATTTATTCTTCGATTTTAGAGAACAGGAACTTGTTCCAGATATACAGTAGGTCGGGAGTTTCATTCCCCTATATCACAAACACTGACTACATTTTTAAGAATAAATAAGACAGGGCTGGGGATTTAGCTCAGCGGCATAAGCACCTGCCTTGCAAGCAGGCAGTCGTGAGTTGGATCCCTGGTACCGATAAAAACGAAAAAGACCAAAAAAAAAAAAAAAAAAAAAAAAAAAGAGAGCTAGGATGCCTGGCTATAAAGAAGGCTGATCAGCCCGTTGGTTGCCTGTTTAGCGGGGTATGGCAAGGGATAAAGAAAGGCAAAGAGATATTTGCAGGTTTGGGGGGACGGAGAGAGCCGGGAGGTCCTCGCCTCAGACTGGGCAAAGCCTGCTTTCGGGAACCCGTGAGCAGTGTGGGGGAGGGTAGTGTACTTTTTTGGACCAGCGACTGCAGAAGAACAGGCAGCAGAGCGAGGAACAAGTTTGGCACCACAGAGGGGGCAAGTTAAGGTCTTTCCCACCCTGCGTACTTGTTTCCTTTGTTTTGTCCTCAGCAGATGCTCTCCTGCTTCAGGAGGGATTTGGGGATCACTAAGATTTCGTCTCCCGCAGCCAGGAAGCCTACAGGCTTCTTGGTGCCCACCCATCTGTCCCATTGGCTGGTCCCCAGCTGGGGGCCGGGATGTCAAATAGGATGGTTAGGGCACCCTGGGTAAGATGATATTTGAATAAATTCCTCGGAGAAGAGGGGGCAAACCAATGTGAAGAGCGTTTCAGGAGGAGGAAATTGTAGGTGCAAGGACTTGAGGAGGGTTCCGGAGTGGCACAGGGGCGGTGGGAAAAGACAGCCTGGTAGGTAGACTGGCTCTGTTTAGGTTTTTAGCTGCACGTCCCCCCAAAACCTCATGTGCTTATTATAGGCAGGGCTTTTGAAAGGTAACTGAGTCACGGGGTGCTGCAGCTAACTGTGATGACAGGAGGTGGGGCCTGGCCTGGAGAGATGGGTCGCTTGGGGTGTGACCCGGAAGGTTTTTCTCCGTCCCTAGTTCTTCCCTGTGACCCCTGCTCCCCGGCTCCCTTGATGTGAGCAGCTTCCTCCCGCCGTGCCCCTCTGCTGTACTGTTACTTCTTGGGAGCAGCTGATCCTGAATTAAGTGGGAGCTATGCGAAATCTCTCCTTCTTGGGTGTCCGGTATTTTGTCCTAGCGATGAGGAAAATAGGCAGGTACTTTTTCTTGTGTTAAGATTTAAAAAAAATTTACCAAGGAAAAGGGAACAATTAGGGCTGAAAAACAGAAATTAGCCCAGTAGTATTGAGGTCAGTGGTGTCCGTGGGAATTTAAGTTGTTGACTCCGTGGCATTTCACTGTGTCACCCTAAGCCAAGTCCCACGCAGAGTATGCAGGTGTATGTCTCTGCTTAAATTCAGAGTGTGACATTGTACTTCCCGTATGCACCACACCTACTATTCTTTTTCCTCCAGGATTCAGACTATGAGACGTACTGATGAAAGTCTGGCTGTAATGAGCAGAGTTGCCTAGTGACAGAAGACATCCCGTTCCAGGGGCGTGAGGCTGAAGCCTCTGGGGACGGAGCTGGCCTGGACAGTGGAATGGCAGATTCCGGACGTCCTCTGGCAAGACTTCAGAAAACATTTATTTATTGAAGAAATGTTCTTTTTATATTTATGAACTGTTTAGAAACTCTCCAAAGAGACTCATGACTCCCCCGCCCCCCTTTTTTTGACTTTCTCTTTTAATAAGTTATACTCTAATTGACTGAAGACATTGTTCCCTTGAACAGAAAGCTTCTTTTAGGTTAACCTTCACTCTTGAATGTATAGTGTTTTCATTTACTTATTTGAAGGAGAACCGTAAATGTTTGCCATGCTGCTGGTGCCAAAATAATATTTTTAACGAAGTGGAGCCTGACACCATTGTTTTTTGTTTTTTTTTTTTTGGTACTGGCAGTTGAACTCAGGACCTTGTGCTTGCCAGGCAGGCGCTGTGCCAGTGAGCTTCATCCCTGGCCCCTGACATCTCTTGATGATGTACTACCAGACAAAATGATTGTTTGGGATAGATGTCCTTTGTTTTGTGCTCCGTGAACATTTTCAGCTGTGAGTTAGTATAGTATCCATAAACACTCGGTTTAACAGTTCTAATCCTTAGTTGTATTTGGGTGACTTGGAGTTCATAGCACTATTTTCCTTAGAGTTGGTAGGATCAGGCATCACTGGTTTGCTTTGGTTGGTTCTTGTTTTTGTTTTTGAGATAAGGCCTCACTATGGAGCCCAGGCTGGCCTTGAACTCAGGCCACCCTCCTGCCTCAGCTTCCTGATTACCAGGATTATAGACCTATGTCGCTATACCTGCTTTGATTGGATTTTTAAAGTAATAAAATGAAGTATCTATATTTTACAATTAAGGAAAGGAATTACGAGACAGAAATTCTTTCCTTTCTCGTGCTAGGTACAATTTGGGTCAAAGAGTTTTAGTTATTTTATTTTCCTATAGCTGACTAATTTGTGGTTTCCTTCTTGATTTGTTTGTTTGTTTGAGACAGGGTGTTGCTACGTAGCCCAGGCTGGCTTTGAACTTACTATGGCGTCCAGTCTAGCCTTGAATTTGCTGTTACCCTCCTGTCTCAGGCTCCTGAGCGCTGGGATTATCCTTCTTCGTTTTCCAGAGGGAAGAAAAGCTTTCCAAAAGATTTTTATTGAGGATTTATTGCATAATTTGATAGTTGTTGACAGTCACATCTTTTATATTGTGCTTTACACCTTTTTTATTTCTAAAAGGTGCCGTTTATGAATGAATTGTGATATAGGCAAGCTGCTTTTGCACAGTATTGGAGGTGAAGAGCTGAGGTTGCGTATAACCTGTCTGTCTGCCTTCTCTGAGTAACTTTTAGCACATTCCTCCATCCTCCGTCAGTCTATTCCAAATTTTAATTTAAACAGGGTTCTCTATAAACCCTTAAGACGTGTATCTGATGTGCCAGAGTTTTCTCTGTGGGGTTCAAAGGTTGTTTTTGTGTTGTAGCATTTTATACTATACATTATAAAATCACTTGTGATTTCATTTTCTGCCAGCGTCATTCATTTTGTCTCATGGATTTGGCCTGACCTTTTGTCCAGAGATTAGAGAATCTGGATATTGTTACACATTGTGGTCATGTAAGGCCATAAAAAAGGCCAGCAGCTAGGACTGGCAACTTAAATGTCTAGTGGTTAAGCTGAATTCTTTGGGCCACTTGGTAACTATGTGGTTGTCTGCAGCTGACCTAATGAGACCATTTCTGACAACTCAACAGAGAAAATAAAACAGTTTGAGTAACGAAAGTAAATAATTTGAGTGTGTGGAGATTTAAAGACAAAGATGCAATTGTGAAGGAGACTTTTTGTGTCTCATTTTTTTCTTTTTCTTTCTTTCTTTCTTTTTTTGGTTTGTTTTTTGAGACAGGCTCTTGTTATGTAGCTCAGGCTGGCTTGAACTCACTATGTAGGCCCGGCTGGCCTCAAACTTGAGGTGATCCTCCTGCCTCAGCCTCCCAAGTGCTGGGATTATAGGCGTGTGCCTCTGCCTGGCATTATGCCATCCCTCCATTTTGTTTTTCACCCCTTATATTGAGGTCCAGGTTACAGTTCTTTTCTCCAAAGAACGCAAAGTAGTGTATGGACTCCTGCCTTCAAGGATGGAAGGAAGATAAAGTACTTTTTGTTTAATCCAATATTTTAATGTTTCCTAAGGTGCTATTCTCTTTTTTTCTTTTTGCTGTTCCAGTGCTCTCCCCACACCGCGTGGAGATCAGAAGGGGTTAGCAGCCCTTCCGAATGCTTCTTTGATGCTCAAGTCTTTTCTTGTGACCAAGTTACTTTGTAGTTTTATGCATTCCACTCCTAATTCTGTTAGAAAATGTAAACTTCTAAAGAGATTTGTGTTTCCCCTGTGACCTGTTACTTCAAGCCATTTGGGGAACACATTTTTCTAAGATGGGCACTGGTGCTTCCAAAGGGAAAGTTGTATGTGCTTACTTTATAGCAGAATTCTGGAGGCCAAATCCCCACCTTGAATAAGCCGCTCAGCTATGGTTCTAAACAGATGCTTCAGAACACCCATAAGGAGGGGCCAAGACTGTTACTAACTGCACAATTCAAACTGTGTTTCCAAACAGGCAGCCCCGTTCCTTGACTCCAGGGTTGGGCTCTTAACCTCTGCCCACCTCATTCCTTTGTGTATGTGTGTGTGTGTGTGGGGGGGGGCGTGTAGCAGGGTTTGCACTGTTCTCCATGTGTACAGACATTGTAACTCCATATGTTTACTTCATCATAGTAATAAACTTCTTTGTGTCTTCTGGTTGCCTTCTGGTGTGTCTGTGTATAAGGTGAAAGCTGTCATGTAAAGGGGAGGGAGGTTTGTGTGGAACCAGAGGCCTGTGTGAGCGAGCTGTATCCCAGCGAGAACTCGCCTAGACTATGGTGCACTGGAGCCGGTTCACACAGCCAGAGCTGACTTACATTTTAGACATGTTGTGACCCAGTTGTTTATCTGTGCATGGTTTGGAATAGGCTGAGGTGGGTGTTGTAGTCAAGGGTTCAAGGAGAACAATTACATACAGGACACAGAATTTGTGATATTATTTTATGATGGTTAACCAGAGTTAACCATGGTTAACCAGATGGTTAAATACAAGAAAGTGCAGGAAATCTGTCCACAACTCTAAAGACCTAGAAAATCCAGCCAAGGGCCTGGATCCCACAGCAATGTCCTGCATGGGTCCAGAGGAAGACCTAGAGTCTAACTGGAGGCCTAGTGCCCATGACAATGACTCATGCAAGTCTGCTTTACAGATCTGCACTGGGAAGGCCAAAGGTTGGCGGTGGAAGCTAGAAAGTCTGGGTTAGTGGGATGAAGGAGCTGTGCCAGTAGGTTGAGGGTTCTACACTGGAGCTAAGGAGCAATGCTCAAAATAGGGACCCGGCCGGGGGTTTTAGCTCAGCAGTGTAAGTGCCTGCTTGGCAAACTTGAGGTCGTGAGTTTGATCTCTGGCACCAAAAAAACAAAACAAAACAAAACAAAAAAACCTAAAATAGGGATCAGGGTTCCTCTGACAAGTACCATAGCTGTCCTTAGCAACAGTGAGATCCTGAGCTCCTCTGATAATGAGAACAGCCAACTACATATCAGGAAGCCAGCATGACAAGCTTCTCCTGGAGACTGAACAGCACACATCATCCCCTCCAGAACCAGGAAACAATGCTCAACCTAAGGATCAGAGCTCCCCCAAAGTGAACCACAGACAACCTCAGCAACGAGGTCCTGAGCTCCTCCAATGATAATGGCTGAATTCACATCAGGGAAGAAGCTCCACAAGGTCCTCCAGGAGAATCAACAGCTCCAAACAACAACGCTTAGGAGAACCCACACCGCCACACTCTTCCGCGCCACATCTTTTTATGCTGACAGCAATCCTCAGCTGGGCCATCTACACTCAGCACTGTGCCGTTCAATTCAGCTTGTGTTAAGTTGGTCACCCATTTTTAGTCCACAGCAGTGGGAATATTTATACTACAGGAATTACTGGCTAACTGGCACACCATTTCTCAAGGACCATGCAGTGCATTCCTTGAGGAGAATGATTATTCAACAGCTTTGCACGTAATACAGAAACAGGTTCCATGACAGGAGTATTCTTAGGCCCAAGTTAAGTCAGCTTAGCCCAGGTTGAAGCTCTGTTCAAAAACACTTACTTTGAAATGGTGACCTACGATAGAGATATCTTGATTTGATGAAAGTGTGGGTTCCTATCTTGGCTGTCCAAGCTACCCAAGATGTTCCCCAGGAGGATGACTGGCTGGCTGTGTACTGAAGACACTGATCTCTCATAGCCGGAGGGCACCTCCATGGCCATGGACGCTTGGAGGACTGGGAAGCATATTTTGGAAAAGAGGCTGGGTGATTTCCTGCCTATGTTGCATGTCTATATTGAGAGATCAATAACAGATTTTTGTATTTTTAACAGAGTTAAATATTTTGCGGTAATCTTAAATTTATTATATTTGTTTGTATGAAGCTGTTTTCTTTCTCAGTAAATGTCTGCCTGGTCCCACTTGTGATAGTTAACTGTGATGCTAACTTAAACAAGAAGCACCTACATTGGTTTGACTCAGTTCTGGATCTGTGTGGATGACTGAAGACCCACCTTGGGGGTGGATGGCACCAACCAATAGGCTTGTAGCCTGGCTGGAATAAAAGGGAAGAAGAAGGAAACCTTTCTTTTGCTTCTTCTGAAGAGCTCTAGTATTTGACGTCACCTTTGGATTTCTATCTCCAGGATTCCAGCACAGATCTTTTTGTTTCCTGATAGGACTTACACAACACTCTGCGTTGAGCTCCAGGCCTTCAATTTTTCACTGGTTTTTGGATCTCCAGCACGCAGACGACCTTTGGCTTTTGTCCACCTTTGACTCTGAAGCAGCCATTGTAAGCCTTACCTTGTAAATCCGTGTATATGTGTATGTGTATGTATATATATATATGTATATTGTATGTTATATCTGTTCTTCGTAACTGATGCAGATTTTTCATACCAGGAGTGGTTCTACAGAACAGAATTGTAAGGATGAATTTTCTCAGTGATTTTAGTGGTTCTTAGAGCTGCCATGATCTCTCTTTGGAGCACTGGTGTCTATGGTGTGAACTGTTTGCAGTAATATATAAGATGGATCCACTTGATTATCCTAATTTACTACTTGTAAGATGCAAAATTTAGTGAGTCTGTACATAATACTTTCAAATATCTTTGGCAGAGTTGGCTGGTTGGTCTTCGCATCTCTGGATAAACTAGTAAAGGGAAATCATGAGCTCCAAACATGCATAAAAAAATTTAAAGTCTTTTATGTGTGAAGAAAAATGAATAAAAAAAATAAGGAGCTCAAGGATAAGATTTCCAGTTCCAGACAGACATAAAGAGTCTAAAAGTTTCTGAATGTATCCTGAAAGAGAATCTTGTTTCTTTTAGCTTTGGGACAGATTACAGGAACAAACACAAGCCCTAGTAATTTGACGGACTTAAGTGCAGCATAAATTTAATGTCCAGCCTTGAAAGGTATCTGAAGCAGAAGTGAGAGCGCTGGCTGGGGAAGAATGGGGACCTGTAAAGTGGGGTGGAGATGTTTGGGCAGAATCACTGAGCTCCTCATGGTAGTATTTTGCCGGAGGAAGAGCTTTCCCCATCCACAGTGACGGCGCCATCCCCACCTCCAGCCCCTACACCTGAGGATGTGATCCTGTGCTGCCTGACGCAGTTAGCAAGCGTGACAGTGCTGACACTCTCCAGGACCCACCTTCAGCACACACTTTAGCTTTAGGAGCCACGAAGGCTCCTAAAGGCGAAGCCCACCCAGGAGACAGTGTCACCCGTGGGAGGGTCTGCTATACTCCTAAAGATCTTGAGTTTTCTAACACTTATAGGCAGAAGTTTGATGAGCAGGTAAGAGGATGGATTTTAAGAGCATGGCATAATGGTGGCAAACACATATGCCTGAATCAGGCTGAGTTTGTTGATATAGGCCAAGTAAGCAGAGAGGTCCTGAATTTAATGTTGCAGCTCATGGAGTTTTTAAAAAAAGCATTAACAGTTTATTTGACTGATTGATAGAAGCACGGGTCAAAAGATGGTCCACTGTGAATGATTTAGAGATGCTTGATATGCCTTGGTTTACTGCTGATGAAGGGATTCAAAAGCTTAGGGAAATGGGTTGGATTTGTCATGTTAAATCTAATCCGCCACACTAAGAGGCTCTAGAAATGTACCTTTTACTAATACCTTAAGAAACAGATTCCTGAGGGGGAGAACCAGCACCACTGAAGAGCCCTGTCAGTGTTCTTGTCTGTATGCCACATACGGGGACAACAGTTACTCAACTGGGAAACTTAAGGGCAATGGACTTAACTGGATGCCAGAGTGACAGGAGTCCAGTAGCAACACTCAGCCACAGAAAACATGCAGTGGGCAGCAGGAGGAGGGCAGTGACTGGAGTGGTCATGCCTTATAGACCCACGGCATGAACTGATGAACCATGGTGTTCCCAAAAGTGAAGCAGGAGACCTACTGAATTTTTCCTAGATTTATATAACTGGAAAAATATAAGGGTCAATGGACAGAAGCCCACCTCAACTCATAGTAACAGGAAGTCGTGGCCCCTCAATCAATTTTCCTGATTTGAGCCAGTTTAGAGACCCAGAGCCCCTTAAATGAAGAAGTGTCCAGGTCCCCTTGAGGAAGGACACTTGTGTACTACCAAAGACATATACTGTCAGTCTTTCTCCCACTCTTTCTCAAAGGGACCTACGGCCTTTTACGAGGGTAACTGTAGAGAGCCAGATGCAACAACTTGTCCTTCCCCTTAAAGACAATATCTCTGGATGCCTGATGCCCCTGGACTCCTAGACATTTCACTGAGGTAGAGGGACCTTGCATTTTAGTTGGATTTATTTCCCATTCCTTGGCTGACAAATGCTTCATTAACAAGTCCAGAGTGGTTGGCTCTGGAGCCACACGCTCCAGCAGATCCAAAGGTACTTGAGGCTTCGGTGACAGCTGAGGATGCTGTTTGGAGCTCTGGCAGGTGAATCACAGGATCAAGGCCCTGACATCACTTGAAGACAACTGCTTTTTCTTTGGAAATCAGCTCCTGTCGGGGATTTAGCTGTGCTCAGTGGCATGAGCACCAGCCTGGCAAGCACAAGTTGCTGAGTTGGATTCCTGATGCCAGATGGGGGTGGGGGTACTGGTGGGGGTGCACAGAAAGAAAGAAAGAAAAAAGAAAGAAAGAAAGAAAGGAAGGAAGGAAGAAAGGAAGGAAGGAAGGAAGGAAGGAAGAAAAAAAGAAAAACAAGACCTGACCTGGTACTGGGACATTGTGGAAACTGCTTGACCATGGGACAACAGGTTTATCTTGCAATCTGAACTGCCCATCATGAAACTATTTGGCTCATCAAAGTCAGAAATTGGACAAGCATAGCAACAATGGAAGTGATATATATGTGATCAAGGCCTGAGCAAGCCTGGGAGACACAAGTAAGTTACGTGAAGAAGTTGCCCAAATGCCTTCTGCTATGCAGCATGTAGCAATGGCCCCATAGAGTGTCCCATGTGATCAGCTGATAGAGGAGGAAAAGGCCAGGCCTGGTTTCCAGATGGTTCTGCATGTTACACGGGTACCACCCAAAAGTGGACAGCTGCACCACTACAGACCCTTTCCAGAGGATCTTAAAGAACAGTGGCGAAGAAAAATCTCCACAGGGGTCAGAACTTTGGGTAATACACTCGTCGTACCTTTTGTCTGGAAGAACAAATGGCCAGATGTGTGACTATATACTGATTTGTGGTCTCTGTCTAATAGTCTAGCTGAATGGACTCGGAAAGACCAAAACTGGAAAATTGGTAACAAAGATCTGTGGGGAAGTGGTATGTGGATAGAGCTCTCCTTGTGGGCCAACGATGGATGTAAAGATATTTGTGTTTCATATACTTGCTCACCAAAAAGTGACCACAGCAGAAAAGACTAAAAATCAGGTGGTGGATAGAACGACCCATTCTGTAGCTAATTTTTCTTTAGCCCTGTCATTGCCCAATGGGCTCATGAGTGAAATGACCATGGTGGCAGGGGTGGATGTGTGGGCTCAGCAATGTGGATTCCCACTCATCAAGACCAAGCTGTCTGGAGTCACTATTCAAGGACCAATATGTCAGCCTCAGAGACCAACACTGAGTCCCTGATATGGCACCATTCCCTGGGATGATCAGCTGTGACCTGACGGGAGGTTAATTATACTGGACCACTTCTATCATGGAAAGAGCAGTGCTTTGTCCTTACTGGCATAGACACTGTTTATGGGCATGGATTTGTCTTCCTTGCATATAATATAAAGCTACACTACATGGACTTACAGAATGCCTTATCCACTGTCATGGTATCCCACACAGCATTGATTCTGACCTAGGAACACATTTCACAGCTAAAGAAGTGAGGCAATCAGCTCATGCTCATGAAATTCACTAGTCTTTCCATATTCCTTGTCACCCTAAGGCAGCTGGATTGAAAGAAAGGTAGAATGGCTTTTTGAAGGTAATAGTTATAGCACCAGCTAGGTGACAATACCTTTCAGGGCTGGGGTAAGGTTCATCAAAGGCTGCATATGCTATGAATCAGCCTCTACTCTGTGGTCCACGTCTTCCATAGCCAAGGTTCGTGGGTCCATGAATCAAGGGATGGAAGTGGGAATGGTACCACTCAGTGCTACCCTAGTGACCCACTAGCAAAATTTTTGTTTCCTGTTCCTGCAGCCTTGTGTTTCGCTGGCCTTGAAGGCTTAATTTCAGAGAAGGAAAGCTAAAAAAGAGAGTTATAGTGTTGGCAGAGGTGACTGACCCAGACCATCAGGAGGAAATTAGACTTTACTCCACAATGGAGGAAAGGAAAAATATATGTGTCTCCTAGTATTATCACGCCCTGTTTTCAGGTCAAAGGGAAACTATGGTAACCCACAGGCAGGATGAAAAATGGCCCAGAACCTTCAGGAATGAAGCTATGGGTCTCACCACCAGGAAAAGAACCAGTACCTGCTGAGGTGTTTGCTGAAGACCAAGGGAGTATAGAGTGGGTATAGAAGAAGGAGGTCATAAACACCAGCCATGTGATTGTTCTTTGCTATTTTGTTAATATTCTTGTGCATATATATACACAGATATTAAGCAGGCATGTTTATTATCTTTGATAATATTGATAGACATTGTTGGTTCGTATGTATTGTTAAACCTATACATAATGTTTAAATTATGAACTGTTAGGAGTAAACATCATCAGAACAAAGGAGGGAGTCAGTGTACTTCCATATTTATGCAGGATAATCACCATGTTAGGCATGATTACGGACTTGCTATTGTATCTGTAGACTATGGTTTAAGAAAACGTGTCTGGTTGTCAAGTTGATAAGGGGTAGATTGTGATAGTTAACTGTGGTGTCAACTTGAATAAGAAATGGCTAGCAGACTGGTTTAGCATGGTTTTGGATGATGGTGTTGGAAGACCCGCCCCCTGGGTGTGGGTGGCACCAAAAAGCTTTTAGTCTGGACGATACTAAAAGGAAAAGAAGAAGGAAGCCTTACTTCTGCTTCTTTGGAAGTGCTCTGGTGTTTGCCTTTGGACATCCGATTGCCCTCAGGCTTCCTGACAGGGGATTCACATGGGATTCACATGGCAGTCTGCAGTGAGCTCCAGGCCTTCAGCCTTGGACTGGATCTCCAGCTCTCCAGTGTACAGACGTCCCTTTTACATTGTTCCATACCTGACTCTACACACAGCTCTTACAAGCCCAGGACCCAAACACGTGCACACGTGCGCATACACACACACACACACACACACACACACACACACACACACACACACACATGTTCCTCTAGTGAGCTCTAACTTATCCAACCACTCTAGAGCCATCCCTCAGTCAGCTTGCAGTCTAGCAGTAGAGTTGACGACTTCAGAGGTCTAGGAACGAGGCTCACCTTGGTAAGTCAAATTCAGTACCTCTTTTAGAATGAAAATACAAACAAAAATTGGGTAATGAGCCAGATGACTGAAACGAGAACCTTGCCTTAGTGGTTCCTGTTTGTGTCTGCAGCTACTTCAGAAAGCACAAAAGCACACACGCATGTGGTTGCTTTGAGGCTGACCCAGCGCGCTGGTAGCAGATCTTCAGTTGAGTGTAGGAACGACAAACAGCGGGGAGAGCTCGGTGCCTTGCTTCTGCTGAGAGCCTTCTTCGTGGGTAAGCCATGGTTTCATACTTTGTGACTTATTATTTGAACTTTTCTTAGAAGATAGGTCCTTACTCCGAGAAGGACCAGCTTAATTGGCAACCCTTTAGAATGAGATGCTAGTGTCAGAACTTACATTTTCCGCAGGGTGACTGTTGTAAAGTAGCACAGTGAGGGGATTTTAGTTTCTGTAGTGTAATTTATGTTATGATCTTCAGAGAGAGGAGAAATAAGGCTTGTTTGTGATGAAGGAGTAAATGAGAGTTTGGGGTGTAGCTCAGTGACAGAGCCCTTGCCTAGCTCGTGCAAAGCCTGGGTTTAGGGGTCGGGGAGAAGAAAGGCAAATGAGGAAGATAATGAGGAGACTTCTGCTTTCAAGTTGGTTTTGTCTTTAGGAAGATCTGTGAGTAGCTGTCCTTGAGAGTATGGCAGGGCTCTTTCCCATATCACTTTGCTCCTTTCATTCTAGACAAGCCAGTATTTTAATCTTCTGAAGTCAGGAACTCAGACCTTCCCAGGTTTTCCCAGCTAGGCTGTGACCTTTATATCACACTTTGGTGTAGCCTTTGCCATTGGGAAGACTGATGCAGGTTGGTTTAGATGTATTTTGGACCTCAGAGGGGACTGGAGAGCACGATGATATAACTCAAGTAGAGATTTGGGTGATCTATCCTAGACTGTGTCACAGAAGCCATGGAACCTTGCAGTCTAGGTGCACAGACTCATGGGAAACATGAGGCACATTCTGAGAGGTTCATTTTGCAGAGTGGTTATGTGCACTTTTGTGCTAGGAACATCTGAGACCCGGAGCTACCTAGGAACTGGAGTGAGGCTGGGTGACAGTGTCCTGTGTGAGTAGGCGTGAGGGAGGCAAGGCTACGAGCTGCTATTTGCTCAGTAGTTGATGGCTAATTGTCCTTACCTGGGGCAAACAATTTGAGAGCACCTCTCCCTTATCGTGTCTCATAATATAATATTGTAATATTTGGGGGTCATTTTTGCATCCTGTGTGGTTGTCTCTTTAAGAATCTCTTTTCAGAAGGCTTTTTATTATATTACATCAATGATATTAATTCCCCTCGACCAGCAATGGTGAGTCTTTTAGAGCTTTCAATGATACTAACAGCTCACTCTGGCACGTTTGCCACCTCTGACCTACACTATTAATAATAGGGCATCTGTCCCCCAAGAATGATAGATTTTTGTCAACAGTTATATTGTGAAAGGGTCAAGAGCTCAGTCAAAATGTTTGGCCAATGTATGAGACAATTTGCTATGCAGAATTATCTCCAGAATATCTGATGAGGAAAAAGGAAAAAGAATATCTGCTAAGGATATAAATCAGTATTTGGAAAGAAAAGGAAGAGGGTAGAGGTGAGAGTTTAAATGATGTCTGTTACCTAAGTGCTTAAGGGGCCTTTTTCAGTGTTAAATTTATTGATACCAGTTAAATACACATAATTCTGGCTGGGCCCTGCCCAGCAACCTCCAGGTAGCTGGGAGCTGCCACATGTGAGCTGAAGCCCAACTCAGCGACCCCTGCCTAGCTATGCAGTGCGGGTCTTTGCTCGGAACCTGATAGGGCCCCACCAGAGACCCCAAGAAGCCGAGGAACCTTGGTGAGTCATGTGAGGAAGGCTGAAGGTCCACCCAGTGCACCCCCCCATCTGGGGAGCCTTTGAGTGCCACTAGGGACCGGGGCAATACAGGAAAATGACAAAATGAAAGAGCAAAATGCAATCTCAAACCTCCAGTTCATCTCAAACAAGCCTAGGAGACATGGACATAGAAGAAAGTGTAAGCCATACACCTGAAGCTTGTGAAGGGATAGCACTTGAGGTAAAGAAACAACTCCATGAAGCTGTAAAGGAACTCAGATCAGAAATAATCCCCTCCCCCCAAAAAAGAAATAATCTTCCAGGTTAAAGAGGAAACGATAAAGGTAATAAAAGAAATGCTGAACACATCTAAAGAAGACATGGTTAAAAAAGTGAGGAGCACTGCAAAAAGATGGAAACCTTGCACGGACAATATAAGAAAGAAATAGAATGCACGGAACAGATTTGAGATATCCAGGAGATCAAGAATTCCATCGGAAGCCGGCAAAACTGCCTGAATGAATGTGAAGGCAGACTTTCGGACCTAGAACACAGATTGCAGCTAGTGAACAAGAAAGGAAAGATCTTTTAAAAATAACGAGGCAATAACAATTCAACAGTTGGAAGATGAAGCAAAGAAAAATAACATAAGGTTGATAGGTGTAAATGAAAAAGAACACAAATGATGTCAAAAGACTATTTACTGAAATAATAGCAGAAAATTTCCCAAACATGGGAAAGGAAACTCATATACAGATAAGTGAAGCGTATAGAATTCCAATTAGCCATAACCAAAATATACACAATGATCGTGTTCATCCCAGCGAATTTGTATCTGTATGTAATATATCTTGATTCCTCTTTCCCCCATTCCTCTACCCACCCTTGAACCCCTCTTCCCCTCCTTATTTATAAAGCTTTGTTTCCATTTTATCCTACTTTTATCATTTTTTCTTTTCCCTTCTTTCCTTTCTTCTTCACCCTCTCTAGTTCTCCTTTCTTTTGAAAAATTTCTTCCTATTTCACAATATCTATTATACACTTTGGTCCTTCTTTACACTTTTGATTTCTCACACTAAAATACTGCATTATTTACACACATGCGTCCCATTTATTTCACTTAAGACTATGATCTCAAGAAACATCCATTTACCTAGAAATGCCTTAGGCTGATCCTTCCTTATGGCTGAGTAGTACAGTATTATATTAAAAAAAACCACATTTTAAAATTCATTTCTTGGCTGATGAGAATTTGGGTTGTTTCCAAGATTTACTTTTTACAAACTGTGCTGCTATAAACATGAGTGCATGTATCTTGCAATATGATGTTTGTGATTCTTCCAGGAAGATATCCAGAAGAATAGCTAAGTCAAATGGGACCTCTATTCTCAGTTTTTTGAGTTTTCACACTGATTTCCACAGTGGTAGCTTCAGTCTACTCTTCAACCAATCACAGAGAAGACTTTCTGTTTTCCTACAGACCCTCTAGAATTTGTTATTGGTTGATTTCTTGGTCATAGCCATTCTATCTAGGGTGAGATGGAATTTCAGTGTTTTAATTTGCATCTCTTGAATGATCAATGATGTTGAACATTTTTTCATGTATTTATTTGCCTTTTGTATTTCTTCCTCTGAAAGTGTATATTTATCTCATATGCCCATTTTAGATTGGGCCTTTAAAATTGGAGGATCTGATATTTTTCAGTTCTTTATATATTCTAGATATTAGTCCTTTGTCTCAGGGACAATTGCCTAAAAGTTTTTTCCACTCTGTGGGTTGTCTTTTCACTCTACTGGCAATTTTTTTTTCCTGTGCAAAAGCTTTTTAATTGGATGAGATCCTGAGATCCTGATTGTAGATTCTGTGTAGTATTTCCAATGTGGTGGGAGTCTTGTTCATAAAATCTTTTCCTGTGCTTATGTCTTCAAGAGTCCTATCCGGTCTTCTTCCAGCAGATTTAGTGTTTCTGTTTTAATATTTAGATCTTTGATCCATTTCAATTTTAGTTTAGTGTTTGGTGAGAGACATGGGTGTAGTTTTAGTCTTTGGCATGTGGAATGCCAATTTTTCCAGCATAAGATTTTTTTGAATGTTTTGATATTTAAAAGCTGAGATTCACTTTATATATACATATATATATGTATATGTAATTCAGAATTTTAGAATTCAGTATACATTTAGTATGTTATAAATTCAGAATGAAGCATACATAGTCATATACCAAATACCATTTCCATCAGCACTGTGTGTGACAGTGGTTCCAGAAGCTTTTATCACCCAGTGATGTCACAGCCATCAGTAAGGACATACTATTATATCTGCACAATGATGAAATCATTTAATGATACATGTCTTAGAGTGTGACATCACAAGTGACTCTATATATGTATGGGTATGTATAAAATCTATTTCTCAACTAGGAAGTTTGAACTTGACGCAAGTGTCCTTGGCAAGAGCCTGGCTGACAAGTGGTTGCTGAGTGTTTCTCTGCACTTTGCACGGTGCTGGTGCAGGAGGTGCGGTGGGACGTAGACACTGCTTCTGGCCTCGTGGAGCTACCTGTCTTGGGGGATGTGCTACGCAGCAGGATTTTAATCATGTGCGCACCCAAATAAGTAGATAATTAGAAATTGTGACAAACGACCTAAAAGAAAGATAAATAGTGATTAAGGAGAGATTTCCCCAAGGAAGTGACCCTAAACCTGCCACCTGGACGAAGCCCAGGAGATAATGGAGACAGCGTGGCGCAGACAGCAGGAATATATTACTCTTGTTTGGACAAAGTCTAAAGTATTGATTACTTTCACAAACACGGAGAAGCTGTGCAGTGTGACAGTCACACAGGCTCAGCTCTAGACTGCCTGTCTTCAAATCCTGGTTCTGCCACTTGTTCTCCTCAAGTCCCTTCACCAGCCTGTGTGTCAGTCTCCGCATGTGCAGCACCTTTCAGGGTTGTGGCATGGATTAAATGAGTTCAGGTATAAATCATTCAGGCGGTGCTGGGCACTCAGACTTCTCAGGCTTCTCGGGTGTTAATGCTCGATTTCTAGTATGGTGCTCAAGGAAGCAGAAAAGCCCGATCCTTTAACCTTAACGTGAAGCCCAAAGAGATGGAGTTTCCTAAAGATCAAAGAATTAGCTAGTGGAAGGCCTGATCCTGGAATAGAATTTTTAAAAAAATTCCAATTCAGTGCTGTTTCTGCTAAAATTATTGCTTCTCTATTCATACAGAGCCTTAGAGATGCATTTGAGTGTTTAGCGCTAAAAATACCCATTTCTATCCATCAAATCGTTTGCATCTTTCCCGGAATTTGTTTGAAAGTGGTTGGATGTGGCTATGAGGAAGTTGGGTTTGGTGGGCTTGGCGACTAGATTCGGTTACTTCTGAGTCATTGCCTTTCTTTTGAGGTTGCAGGATGCTTCGAAGCTGATTTCACTCTAATAAGAGTGTTGACAGCTGTGAGCATCTCTCCAGCATGTGCCAGGCGCTTTGTAGGTCCTAGAGCACAGGAATGGGCACAGATATAAACAAGCAGCTCTGATTCTGCCCTTCCTAATACACAGGCCGCAGTAGGAGTTGGCGAGAGACATGTCCACCGACCTTGACGCTTCTGTGTAAATGGTGTGCTTGGGGGGAATGTTGGGGTAGTGAGCACTGTTTGCTCAGCAGAAGAGGCAGCACAACCAACTCCTTGGGGAAGAGATTCTTCCTGATGGTGAACTAAAGTTAGGGGATGATAAAAAGGCATCCCTTGATGGTCCATATCCATGGACGTGTGGGTGCAGCTGGTCTGTGGAGTAGGAACTGGGTTTCAGCCAGCGTGAGAAATCAGTGTTTTCATGAGAGGTAGTTCTATTTGGGGAACTCCTGGTTTGTCTGGGTCAGCTTAACTATAATCTACATTGTTAAGGTGAGTTTCAAAATGGAAATTTAAGCTTCCAGTTCATTCTGATTCATCATTCGCCCTCACAGGAAGGTTAAACTCAGCCTCCGAAATCTTTCTAAGGTTACCAACTGTTTACTTTCAGATTCCTAGGTTAAAGAAAATAAAGTCTTCTATGGTAATACTTTCTATATTTCCAAAGCACTGTTACCTACATTTCCAGATTTGAGCCTTGTGTTGGTGCTGTGTTCCAGGAAAGAGAACTGAGGTTCAGTCAGGATCTGAGGAAGGAAATTCCTTCAACAGTTTGACCTGATTTTCCAGGTGGAGGAAAGGAACCTCTTAGGTAACTGCTTTTTACAAATAAAAACAGCCACCATGTGTGACCGGTGTCCCGGCAGAGCCAGGTGAAGTACTGTAACTTGCTTCTTACTCAAAGAGCGAGGAGGACTTCCCCGTTAGATTCGGAAGTGGATTTCCTCTGGCAGCAGCGTGGTAGCAATACAGGATGGCTGAGGCCAGGCACAGTAGTAGGTAGGAACAGAGCAGGCGGGTTGAATTGTGACTCCATGGTGTCAAGATTCCACTGTTCGGCAGAGGAAACTTGGGGGCCTGGGGTAGAGCAATGGGTCCCTTTTTAGGAGCTGATGAACGCGGTGAAATTAATACCATGAGACAACAGAAACATTAGAGAAAGACGGGCCATGCACAGTCCGATTCTCAATTCTGCCCACACTTCTTTGCCTTGACGAAGTGGAAAAAAAAATCACCATAAGCCTTTCATTCGACTTCTTTTTGTCCTAAGTGTGGTTGATACTTGAGTTTAAAATCTCTCCCTATTTATTTATTTTATTTTATTTTATTTGGTACCGGTTTGGTACCGGCTTTGAACTCACAGCCTCGCGTTTGCCAAGCAGGCACTTACGCCTGCTGAGCTAAATCCTCAGCCTGCCCTATTTTTAAATCTCTTCTCCCACAGGGGCTGGACATTCTTCCTATGTTTCGAAATAGTGTTTCTGATTTAGTTGGAGTAGCAGGTGAAAATGTCAGGCTGGGTAACCTCTAAAACTTCATGTTTGTGTGAAGCACTCAAGTTAGGGAATCTCTATGGTTGTCATCCTAAGGGCATCCTTCAATCCTCCCTTTTTTTTTCTCTTGAAAAGCAACTTTCATGCAATCTGCCCCACTTAGAGAAGACCCCAAGTGACTCCGCAAACATCACTGTGTTTTGTTTCTTCACAGTACTCATCTGTATCTGATATTTCCTCATTCATTTTGCCTACCTTTCCAAACACGCACCCTGTGGTGGAGCTGGGACCTTGTCCTTTGTGGTCAGTGCTGTGTGCCTGCACCTTGGACAGGCTGACCGTACCCCCCACTGACATGTTAAATTAATGCACCCCTATTTATGTGACTTTCTGATTTTTTCCCTTTTAGGGTTGAAAACTTGTGAGCAGCATGTTTTACCCTCTGAAGCTCATCCTGCTGCCAGTGTTCCTGGGTAAGTGGGAGCTTCGGCTTGGACAGTGGTATTTGATCTCTTGATTTCTCACGAGTCTCATGCATTTATAAAAGCCAGCTTTAAGGATTTTCAGTTCCCTTTGGTTTGTGGAGGATGCAAGCATAAGCTGGAACCTGATGGTTTTGCTAAAACAGCTGTTTCAGAAACAGATGCCCACTTTCTTGGGGAGGGGAAACTTTCTCTGTTTCTCGGACACAGAATGTCTTCAGGTCCTTACTGTGTACTCCACAACCTGCTTCTGTGACACAAAGAGAGTTTCTCTGTGGCACTTGAAGATGTGGCATAGCTGGTCTCAGATCTGGAGCTAGGTCTCCAAAGACAGGCCCTGAATCCCTTTCTGGTTTTCACGCTAGGTCTCTTGAGGTTCCTCAAATGAACTGAGCTCTTCCCCAATTTGTAGTGGCTTCCTTTGCTGGAACTTTTTCTCCCTGATTCCCTTCAGTCCCTCACTTTCCCCCCCGGGGTTTCCTCTGAGGCTCTGCATCCTTTGCTGGAGTCCATTCTGGTCTGCTCAGGCCAGGGTGGAGTCTCCTGCTCAGATCTTGCTCAAGGGCCCAGGGCTACTTTCTGCTGCCATTCATTTCTTCTTTCTGATTTTTTTTTTTTTTTTTTGTCTTTTGAAACAGGGTCTCTCTATGCAGTTCAGGCTGGCCTTGAGCTCACTTTGTAGCTGAGGCTAGTCTCAAACTCACAACGATCCTCCTGCCTCAGCCTCCCGAGTGCTGGGATTACAGGCATGAGCCACCACATCCAGCTTCTTCTTTCTAATTTTGAAAACTCCTCTTTTCCCCCTGTCTTTCTCCTTACTCCATGGACACAGCTATGCAGAAGAAGAAATTAATTGGGTACTTTGTTCTCACAGCTTTTTATTTTTCTCTATTATTTTTGGGACCTTGTACAATGAATTGAACACTGACTCTGTACATTTGTGTACACTCTGTATTGCTAAAGCTCACAAAAATATTGCCACTGCTTGAAGTTCAGTAATATGGAGTGTGCACAAATATACACACACACACAAATGTTTCTCTCAGAAGCAGGGCTATAGTTATCTCAGAGGGAGTATAAATATTCCCATAGAAGCCAGGTGTTGTGGCGCACACCTGCCATCCAGCACTTGGGAGGCTGAGGCAGGAGGATTGTTGCATGTTTGAGAACAGCCTGGGCCACAAAGTGAGCTCAAGGTCAGCCTGAGCTACATAGTGAGACCCTGTCTCAAAAAGACCAGAAAAAAAAAAATCCCCTAGAGATCTGTGAAGCAGCCTGCAGAATTTTGCCCCATCCATCCAGGGAGTTTCCAGTCGAGCATCTCATAGGAAAATTCCAAATAGTTGTTGGAGCTAATTTTGATTTCTTTCAAAATAACTCCCTCCGAAGGGTTTGGAGTTCATGTTTTCTTTTCTGTCCTCCCTACTGGGTGAACCTGCTGTTGGCAGGAAGTTAGCTCCCTTCTCTCAGGGAAACAGCTTGGATGAAAAACTGGCCCAATTTCTGATCATTCCCATATGTGTTCTCTGGCCCTTCTTTGATATGAACTGGGCAGCATCTAAATTTGTCTCTCTTGGTTTTGTTTTCTCTGCATGGAGCACATCTTCTGAAAACAGAAATATCTCCATGATGGTTTGGGGTTTTAGTGCTTTCTTGAAATTCCCTGAGCAACATTCAGATAATGGGAGGAGGATTGTCCATGGCATATTTGGGGAGGGGATGAGGCAGGGGAGCGACAGGGGAAGCCTGTGCTCTGCTTTGGCCTAATTACAAGCACCTGCACTATGGCCAGAACCAGCCAGCAAATGCAGACATAAGCTTTTGTGAAGGAGCTAAAGAAAGGGAGAAGAGGAAGAAAACTAAAAATACTGATGAGCTGGTCATTCAGATAGGAAACCAGTGGGAAATTTAAGAATAGGAAACATTCCATTTCATGTTTATGGTAAGTGGATATGGGTGTCTAAGTTGACAGAAAAGAGGACTTCAGAATTTCCTCTTTCTTTAGAAAAGTTGGAAGGAGGAACTCTAGGAGCTTTAGGAAAGGGAAAGCAACTCTTTAAGAGAAAGGAACAAAGGCAACAGATAGCACTTATTATAGTATAAAGATTGCAGAAGGCTTCAAACTTGAGCTGTGCAGATAACCAGAGAGTATTTCTCCTGCCCTTGCTGATGCCCTGGTGGCTATAGTGAAGGCCCCCTCAGGACTTGGTCATGTTGGATCATCAGCGGGAGGTGTCCAGTACTCAGTGACTTTTGTAGCTGAGGGTATTTGTCTAAATGATGTATCTTCTTGCCTTCGATTTCTTTAGATTACTCCTTGGGCCTTCAGACTCTCTCCCCTTTGCTCACAGTCCATGTGGGCGACTCAGCTCTGATAGGATGTGTTATCCAGAACACTGGAGGAAGAAGTGTGACCAAGGTGGACTGGATGCACTCTCCAGGACAGCACGGCAAGGTAACCAGAAGGACATTTCACTGCGTAGTACAAGTCCTGGCTGATGGTGTCAGAGTTGGGTGGGGAGCGGGTGAATCTGTCGTCAGGTACCATGAGATGGTTTTGCAAGAGGCTGGGTTGTAGAGGGCATAATACCTGGACCTCCTTCCTCCTGCTGGAACAGCTGCTTGGCTGTGTGATCAGCAGAGATCACCCAACTTTGCTGAGTACCAACTTCTTGATCAGCGAAGAGAAAGGTAATTATAATTAAGGGACAACAAGAGGTGTGAACATGAAGTTCTTTCCGTTTCCTCCCCCTTGTCTCCTGCCCTTTGCAGAACAGAGAAGGTGGGTGACAGGGTGATTTCTGTGGTCTAGACGGAAGAGTAATGAGCCTGCAGAGCAGTGACACCGTTATCTGTGTGCTGGGGGAAGGGCAGCAGATTCGCTCAGCATGCCACCCTTCTGGGAATCACCTTCTCCTCTGCACCTGCTTGGAATGTTGAGATTAACAGGTGTCGCATGGCTGGGCCAGGGTCTGTCACGGAGCTGTTGGGAGTAAGAGCTTGGAGTAATAAGTCTTACCAAAGACTCACTTGTGAAATTAGTTTATGAAATATGTCCCAGGCAATTCGCTATGAGTGATAAAATCCCAACATTTATAAATAAAATATCGTTTCTGTAGCTCTGAGCATAGTTAGTGTTATTTTCATAATGCTAGTATCAGTCCAAATTTTATTGCTATTTATTTTAGATGAGGGGTAGAGCTACGGTGTAAGCTCACCACCAGCCTGTCACCATTTCCTGTCTGTGACATCTTCTTTTGTGCTGTGCTGTGCTAGCTGGAGGAGGGCAGGACAGAGAAGGAGTGGCGCCAGGCATTCCGGGAACGCCGGCCCAGCACGCCAGAGGGATTAGATCATGCATTTGGGTGCCATCTAATCTGGCAGCCCTGGCAAGAAACAGGGTGAAACTGAGATATGATGTCTACAAACTGTGATTTCGAATCCCCAGAGTGATCTTCAGAATGGGGGTGACAGTTTTCCTGAAGTTATAAGAAATGGAAATGCATGCACCTGATTTCCCCACTTGTGTTTGCAGAAAATGAGCCACAGCACCTTGTGCAAGCCAGATAGCTGCCTGGCACTTAGTTATTATTAATTTTTTGGTGGTGGGGATGGGGATGGCTAGGCTGCCTCCACTCACCTGGGCCTTCTGAGTCCAGACTCTTGGCTGGCTCTTTAATTTTCTCCTGTCGTGCTCCCTCCAGGATGAATACGTGCTGTTCTATTACTCCAACTTGACAGTGCCTACCGGGCGCTTTCAGAACCGTTCGCGTCTGGTCGGCGATGTCTCCCAGAATGACGGTTCTCTACTGCTCCAAGATGTGCAAGAGGCTGACGAGGGGACCTACACCTGTGAAATCCACCTCGAAAACGAGAGCAGGGTGTTTAAAAAAGCGATGGGGCTGCGGGTGCTGCCAGAAGACCCTAAAGGTAGGGGATGAACGGAGGGGCAAGGGATTCAGTGTGCGAGAGGGGAAACTGAGTGTGTGAGCAAATCGGCCTCTGGCCTAAGTCCTCACCACAGAGAGAGTCTTCAGTAAACGATGATTGCTTTATTAAATAAGAATTATTATAATTATCATTACAAATATGCTTCTCTCAAAAAAAAAAAAGCCTGTGAAAGGTACCCCATTTTCCCCCTTTTCAGAGGAAGGTACCTGAGCCTTAGAGAGGCTAAGTTACCTGTTTATCAGTGGCCCAGCAGTACTGGGGCTTGGTACTTCGGATAAATTCTGGGTTCTTCTTTTACTGTACACCAATATTCCCATCAGGATTCACACTGGTCCGTGTATATGTATTGTAGGCGCGTATGGTCGGTGGTCTCGGGGTTATAAAAGAAGTCAAAAGATCTTTCTCATTTCTTTGCACCTCGTTTCCTATCTGTAAGCGGAGGAATTGGCTTCAATACATCTGAGGCTTTCAAATAGCCCCTTTTAAGAAACCTTAAGCTCCAAGAATCTCGAGCAGCTTAAAAACTCCAACAGAGTAGGGGTCTGTAGGAGACCTACTCTGATAGGACCCCAGCCTTCAACCACCACTGCAACCAGAGTCCTTTGCTTTTTCCTGTTTTTTCTTTTAAATTAGGCTCCTACTTCAGGTTTTGTTTAGCAAAAGATTCTTCTGCTTTAAAACAAACTGAAACTGAGAGTGTGAGCCGGGCGGCCTGAGTCACGGCAAGACAGCCACTTGGAGGGTTCCGTGCCCTTTCACCAAGTAGTAGTTGAAAATGATGTAGCTGAACTTGTCACTGAAAGGAAGCATCATGCTTCCAGAAAAACCTCAGGGGTGGGAACGTAGCTCAGAGGCAGAGCACATGGCTGCAGAAAAACCTCAAGACAAGTAATGCAGACAACAGAGGTAGCTGTCCGATTGGTCTCTGAAACAGAGCGGAGAGAGTAAACCAATAGGAGGAAGGTTGGTAATAAATCCTTTCCCTAAAGCAGTGGTGGTGAACGATGGCACTATGCTATTGTGTTTTTCTTTTAAGATAAAAGATATTCAAGCACAAGGTCATGAGTTCAATCCTGGTACCAAAAAAATATTAATGTATGCTTTTTTTGTTTTTTTTCTAAACTCAAACCTTAGTATTCAGCAATTAAATGCTGTGTTGGCACTTTGTGATAAATCAGTGGGTTTGGGGTTACAGTTTGGCATTTGATCTCCGAAAGGTTCGCCATCACTGTCCTAGAACATGAAGCTTTAGTTAACAAAGATCTTTTCTTATTCAGAGATGGTGAAATTCTAGCAGGAATGAAATGCATCACTGCACACATGGGCTCACTCGATGTTACTTAGTCCACTAATGTTCGGAACTCTTGCATCCTATAAAAAATTTCCACACCTATCTGTTATAGGAAGCTAATGATATCCAAACTACTGATATCAGGGTGTCTAAAAGTTTGCTATGTTGATGCAAGTATTTCCAAACAAAAATACATAGATAAAAAGTATTTGAAAGTCACAGAATTAGACGCATTCTCTAGTCTCTGTCTCAGAAGGGAGCTGGAATGTGGGACCCTCTCCCCAGACCCAGTGTCGTCCTCAGGCACTCAGCTCTGCGGATGGACGATCTCCTCTGCAGCACCTGCCTCCCTCCACAACCACGGTCCACCCCTTCAGCTGTGCCTCCTACTTGCTTGGGTCTGTGTGCTTTGTCCCTGATCAGCTCTGGGCATAGTACCCGGTACAGAGTAAGTAATCAATATAACTAGTGATGAATGAAGCTTTTTAGTTAGTGATCTTCACTTGCATCTGATTTCTAAGAAATGAAGTTGTAGCAGGAGGCCTCTGGCACCTCTCCTCATTCCCCTGATTTCTTCTCTTTGTCTTTTTCTCCTAAGTCCAAAGTTGTGGTTCCCACGAGAGGAAGCAACTCAGATGCCTGTATTTCCCAAAGATTCTCTTTTTGCTTTCATCTGTTTATTTATTTATTTACTTTTTGTCTTATTGAGTCAGGGTCTGGCTATGCAGTTCAGGCTTGCCTTGAGCTTACTTTGTAGCCCAGGTTGGTCTCAAACTTGCAATGATCCTCCTGCCTCAGCCTCCCAAGAGTGCTGGGATTATGGGCATGCACCACCATGCCTGGCTTCCTTTTTCTGTCTTTGTTCCCTAATGCCATGGCTGAGAACTCATCTGCCCAACCACAGACTACAAAGTGAGTCCCCCTCAAATGGTGCACCCTCTTGCTTCGCAGAGGCATAGAGAACCAATGGGAAACAAGGTCAAGAGCTAAGAAACCTTGGAAATAGGCTAGAGTAACACTACCTGTTAGGGAACTTGTGTTCATTTATTTTTCCCTTCTTGGCAGAATGGGAGCAGATTCAGCCCCTAGCAGTTTTGTGTAGTGACCCAGTGGAAAGCTATCTAATTGCTTTTGGAAGTTTTTCTCCCCAGGTGGAGATTCCATTTTAAAAGTCATTTATAATTTTCTTAGCAAAGTTCGCCGTTCAGTTACCTATTTTTCTATGATTCTACTACTCAATTTTTAAAACAATTATGTTAAACAGTATAAGTTGAGAACTAATATTGGCTTCCTGTTCTTATGCTCTATTTCAACTTACTTTATTACTAGTATTTATTTTTTCATTACTGGAGATTGGATCCAGGGCTTTCATACTGGGTCACATCCCAATTCTTTTTGTTGTTATTATTCATATTCTTTTATTGATTTATTTGTTTTTGAGCCAGGGACTCACTAAGTGGCTCAATTCCCCAGGCTGGGCTTAAATTTTCAAACCTCCTGCCTCCGTCTCCCAGACTGCTAGAATTACAGGCATGTGCTCCGTGGCTGGCTCACTCTTCTGTTTGTGTGAAATGGTACAGTGTGATTCAGGCTTTGTTTGCACTCGGGCCTAGGGTTATATGCTAGTTCTGCTTTCACTGGCTACGAGGCTTTGGACTCTTCTACAAAATACATTGGCAATACAGGATGCTACCACAAAGTGATGTAATGGCTAGGCAGGCATGCAGCTCAGGGACAGAGCTGACTGGGTGAGGTCCGGGTTCACTTGACACCAAATTATGTATATACATAGATAATAAAATAATGTATACTGTACATATAGTTAATATGCACATATGTAAGCATATAAATATGTATTAATGAGTAATTAACAAACTATTTCTGAGGTGTTTAACACATACTTGGAACAGTAAAAGGACTCAGAATACTGTTATTATTATTGCATTTAAAAATACAGTTCAGGGGCTGGAGATTTAGCTCAGCAGCTTAAGCCCCTGCCTGGCAAATGTGAAATCATGAGTTTGACCCCTGGTCCAAAAAAATAAAAATAAAAATAAAATAGTGATACAGTCCAGTTCTCCATGTCCTGATGGACTCAGATGGAGGTTCTCTCTCTACTGATATTCTTAAAGTGAATTTTCATTGCTTTTAAAATAACTCCCTCCACATTAGAGTTCATAATATTTTTTGGATTCTTTCCTTTGCTGGGAGGAAGCTCGTGTTTTCCCAGGGAAAGGGTTTGATGACGGGTTGCTTTATGCACTGCACTGAAGGAACTCTGTCCAGTTAAGGCTCGGGCTGTGTTTCCCTGTGTACCACCCTCCTATCTTTCCATTTCCTATTAACTTTGTGACTGATTTGTATAGGACAATATGAAAAAATGTACTTGTTCTTTGGACTTTTGCAGTAAACATGGTGAGGGCAGCTGCTTATACAAACAAGCAGAGGGGACCTAGGAGTCCAAGGGCCAGGAGAAAGGGACGGGAGCCCCGTGGGGGGGGGGCAGCAGGAAAACAGTAGAGGAGTCCAGGAGAAAGCTGCCTATTGTCTGAGGCTAATTAGCAAGAAGTCCTATGACCTGCACCGAAGCCAGAAGGAGATCTTAAGCTATCGGGTTCTGTCCCAGATCCCCGACCTCCCAAACTGGTGTGCAGCGGAGGTGCAATCAAAACGGACACATTGTATGATTTGTAGGGCTCTGGGAGGGTCAAGACTCTTTAGTTAAGCTCGAGGCTTCGAGGGTAAACACAAAGGATTCTCTGGGTCAGTCCACTTATATTAGGCCAAGGACAAAGGGCGGGGAAACTGAGGAAAGTGCAGGCAACGAGCAGGACCTTGGGAGCCACTTCAAGGGTGTCTCCGAGTAATGAATCAAGTCAACTCATTAGCACTGTCTTATCATGAAGACGTGGTAGAAGTGAGACTGTAGGAGTAATCTTCGCAGCTGCTGTCTCTACCTTGTTAATTGGAGTTGGAGCCAGAGTGTCCGCAGCTGTGGCCTGATCTTGTCCTTTGAGGTTATCTCTGGCCTCACAGGCCACTACAGGCCTGAGCTAGGACCACTCATAGAGGTTCACTTACTGTGAATCAGCTCCCATCGCCAGGCCATGGGCCTAGGCCTAGGACAGACTCACAGGTAAACGTAGAAAGCCTATTAGTAAAATTTAAATCCTGCTCAGAGCCGCTGCGTAGTGGTCTCCAACATTAAACAAGGCTAAAGCAACATGTAAAAAGAATCAAATAATTTGGAGAAAGTCACCCACGATTCATGTTTTCAGTTGGGAGAAGCTGTGGGTTAAACATAAGAATGAGAGCTTTAGACCTCGCCACTTCCTGTTTATGCGATGCAGACGGTGGTTACCAAGGTGGGTGAGCAGAGCAGGGGCTTCAAAATTTCCCGTATTTTCTGTGATTCAGACTCAGGGTGGGGGCCAGAGTCATGGGAAACATTCTGGGAAGAGGGGAAAAAGCAAATAACTAAAGAGGAGTTTATTGCAGGCTGAAGACAGCAGTCTTCACACGTGGTATCTGGGCCTGCAGGTATCTCTTGGCTTTTGGATGCTGTGTTGGTTTAAGTGAAGAGCCTCTAAGGACTTCATTCACACCGAATCGTCTGGATCTTCTGTTTGGGAATTGTGTACCGTGCTCGGCAGGGCCAGTGATTTTTGCTCCTGAAGCATAATGGCTGGTCTTCTAGAAATTCTTTCGCTTCTGTAGATTTCGCTTTGGTCTAACTTGGTTTGCCATTCTGTCCCCAGAGCTCACGGTCCGTGCGGGTGACTCAGTACTGCTTGAGTGTCACTTCCAGAGCACAGAAGAGCAACGTGTGACCAAGGTGGACTGGGTGTTCTCTTCGGGACAGCAAGCCAAGGTGATGAGCAGGACACCTCACTGTGTGGTGGCAGCACAGGGGCAGAAGAGGGAGAGTCGATCGCCAGCTAGCAAAAGGCAAACAGTTTTGCAAGAGCACGGGCTTGTGAGCCTGGCAGATGTGACCTTAGGGCTCAAGCACTTGGTGGTGACTCTGGCTTCCCAGCGGGTACACGGGAACAATGGAGAAGAGAAAGGAGGGCGAGAAGGGGCTTAACAGTTAGGATTGTCAAGACGCTGGTCTAGAGTCATCCTCATAAAGCTTTTTGTACGTGATGGATCTGCTGCATTTGAGTTTCCTTCTTATTTCTCCTCTAGACCATGAGAAAATAGGAGGGGAGAATTTGGGGGGCCCAGCGAGGAAGGCTATGGTGAAGCATAAGAATGTGGTTACATTTCGACGGATCAGGGTGGAATATTTCACGAGCACTCTGGAAAGCGGTTGGCAGCGTGTTAGCCTACTAGACTAATAGCTCTCAGCCACCATGAGGGGATGTTTATGGCTCGAGGTGTGTTGTGAGCGATGCTCTAGGTACTTTATTAGTAATGAAAGTTAAGGTGCGAAGTCCATAAAAGATTGCATGCTTAGCCAGGCGTGGTGGCTCATGCCTGTAATCCCAGCACTCAGGAGGCTGAGGCAGGAGGATCGTTGCAAGTTCGAGACCAGCCTGGGCTACAAAGTGAGCTCAAGGCCAGCCTGAACTGCATAGTGAGACCCTGCTCCCTCCCCCCAAATATTTCATTCTTATGAAGTAAAATATATTCCAAGTCATAGTTCTAAAAAAAAAGAAAAGAGAAAGAGAAAGGAAATCATTTGCTCTGAGCTCTGTATACTGCTTCGGTGGGTCAGAGAGGGTGGTATCATGGTTGAATATGGAGAATTATACGTGAGCCTAAGGGTACTGAGATTGTCTTGTTTGCATGTTTGTTTGTTACTAGGGATTGGATCTCCAGCCTTCATACTGAGCTATACCCACAGCCCTTTTTAATATATTTTTAAAATCTTGACACAGGGTTTTGGTTAAGTCACCAGGTTCCCCAGGAGAGTCTGAACCTGTGCTCTTCCTGTCTCAGCCTCCCAGGATGCTGGGATTGCGTGTGTAGGTCCAGCTCTTGTTATGCATTTAAATGTCATCCATCAAGTGATCCACAGCAGAGACCAGAGGTTAGGTCTCTCTGTTTGCGTTTGTGTCTGTTTATCCATTACCTTTTCTTAAAAGTGTTTAAAAAAACCCCTACATACCTTCATAAAAAATTCTGGCATTTATTCACTTAGCAAGTATTTTTAAAAGCATGGGCTATGTGATGAACAGTCACAGCCCCTGTCCTGATAGAGGATTTAAACCAAGATGGAGGGCAGAAACAATCAAATAACGAAGAAATAAATGACATATTATGATATGTCAGACAGCAGCAAGAGTTATAGAGAACCACAGAGCAGAATTTTGTGCAGGTAGTCAGAGAGGGCTTATCAAGGTGACATCTGGAGCAGCAGTCTATGGAAGTGACAGGAGGGAACAGCATGTGTGTCTGAGGAAGGAGGAGAATATTCTAGTCAGAAGGGTGCAGCAAGTACAAAGGCCCTGAGGCCAGGACTTAAGAAGCAGCACGGAAGTCATGTGACTGGGGCTGGTGAGGGAGGTCAAGTAAAGACAGAAGAGGGGGCCAGGGCGCCTCATGCAGAACCCTGTGATTCCCGTGCATATGGGAAGCCATTGAGAAGTTAGTTGTAAGCAGAAGAGTGATGTAAAGGTGTGTGCTGAGCATAGATTATAGTGAAAAGTAAGCAGGGAGAGGAGTCAGGAGCCCCCGGGATCCAGGGGAGAGGTGAGGCGGTGGTTTGAGCCAGGGGAGAAGTGGCTTCAGGGTGTGGTTTGAAGGTAGCTGGGATGGAGTTAAGAGTTGCTCAAGAAAGAGAATTAGGAGCCACTGGAACGGGTTTAGGGGAGTAAGTAGGAGTGCACGTTTGGACAGGTTTTGGGTGCTCACTTGAAATCTAGCTGGACTGGAGAAACGGGGGTATGTGCTCTGCCATGGAGCTGTGTCCCAGGCCCTTTTAAAATGTTCATTTCATTTTGAGACAGTGTCTCACTAAGGTGCCTGAAGAGCCTCCTGCCTCAGCCTCCCAAGGAACTATGCTACCACTCCTGGCTAAAGTCCTTTATTCTCAATTTAAAACGAAATCCCTACCTTCTGCTGGGACAGTTGTTCCTGGTTTAGGGCTAGCCTTTGCAGACATGCAAACGTATACATACGTTTGTTATCCATGATTCTCTCTCTGTTTTCATCTAACAGGGTCTTGTGAATCCTGGGATTGTTCCCGCCTCCTCTCCTCCCCACCAGTCCTAGAGATCTCATGCTTCTTGCCTTTCTCTTCTAGGAGGAGACTGTCTTACACTACTCCCTGAACAAGCCTGTGGGCTACCCCCAGTACCAGGGCCGCTTCCAGCACCGCGTGAAGCTAGTGGGGAAGGTTGTTCACAATGACGGTGCCATCATGCTCCAGAAAGTGGAGGAGTCCGACGAAGGACTCTACACCTGCAGTATCTACCTGGGGAGCCTCATGTTCAGGAAAACCCTCGTGCTCCACGTGGAAGAGCCTCAAAGTATTTAGCATTTGGTTGGGAAGGGCAGAGGAGGGTCTGCGGCAGGCAGCCGGGCTGGCCCCAGAGCCAGTCTGGAAGGGCTCTTGGGTGGCTCAGTGGCAGGAGGCATTGCTCCCGGGTGCCGGGGTTGGGCCGGCAGCACCCTAAGAATGATGCGTCCTTTAGCCTGGCTCTTCAGCTGCCTGGCTTGCTCCCTGCTTCTGGGCGAGGGAAGGGGAGTTACTGTTTGATGACTGCCAGCCTTCTGTGACCCCACGCAGGGCCAGCGTGGGCTGCTGCCGTAATCACATAAGAGCCCAGAGGTGGTCGGCTCAGAGTCCAAAGCCATTTTTACTTGGCATCATGGCAGTCATTGGGGACTCCGTCCTGGAAGGGAAAATGGGCCTGAGCAGGTGAGGGACAGCAAGGAGCAGAAAGAAGACAGAACAGTACCAGAACCCACAATGAGGGAGTTTTCTGATTTCAAGTTCTGTATTCCGGCAAACAATGGACACCAAAGTCAGTGGCCTGGGGGGGAATAAAGAATCACTTGTGTTGATGGAGAGCTGTTGACAGTGAGGGGTTAAAATGAAACCCTCGAGCAGCTAGCAGTCAGGATGTGGCCTGTGGACTTTGCCTGTCTTCCTTGGCCTTCAGCAGTTGGCTGTGGTTAGCTGGGGGAGGTGGGGATGGAGGTGGGGGGCCACCTCACTACCTCAGGCCAGAGTTTGTTCCGAGTGGACACTTTTGATAATAAAGGAGCCCAGCCGAGAGGGGAAGTGGACTGAGGGTTTCTTAGACAACCGCAGTCTGTGTGCTTCTCCCTGCAGAGTCTTGACTCTACTTCACAGAAAAAACCCACTGTGGGGGTTCACTGACTTCTGAGCCTTCCCCACCCACAGATCCCCATTCTTATCGCCAGCTGCCATCTTGAGGCTGCCAGGCTCCCTTCCGGCCTGCTTTTATCTGGCACCTTGTGCTATAGTGTCCTGGCTGTCCTGCTCCTCAGAAACCCCCCAACATAGCTCTTCAGGCTCTCACTTTCTGTTGGTTTTTACCATGCAACAAGCCTGGTCATTTTTGCTGCTGACTTTGGAGGCCATTTCCCTCTAGTCCATCACCATCACCTCGGTTAACGGCGGACTGTCTTCCTCTGTCAGCCTCTCACCAGCCTCCGTTTCCATTCTTAGATCATGCTCTCTTCCTGAATCACAACAGCTTTCTAGTGTGCTGCTTCTGTTTCTCCACTGCTTACAGAAACAGGTAACCTTTGGAGCGGCCTTTTGGAGGGTGACCTTTGCAACATGATCAGATTCCTCCCAGCCTTGGATCACATTGTCTCTCCAGCCAAATCCCCAACTCACCTTTCACCACCTGCCAGGCTGCTCCTGGTTCCTGAAAGCACCCCGCCAGGGCCAGGCCTCGGACATCCCCCCTGACTTTCCCCATATTGTCCCCATACTGACTCAGATTAAACTTTGGGCGTGTTGGTGACAGATTCTCATCTTTTGCTCTGCATGGACTCAGGTGGCCTTATCGCTGTGCCCCCCTGTACCCCACATAGAGGTCTGCTGCAGCACTCATAGCAGCCAGTGGTTCCATGTTTGTCTCTCCTTAGAGGTAGGACCCTGTGTCATTTGTCTTTGTTGGCTTCCACTGTTACAGTGATGTCTGCACTGAAGGAGCGTTTCAGATACATACTTAGGGTGACTAGAGGAGGTCAGGGTGTCACGGAAAGCACTGCTGGCATCGTGAGTGTTGTAGTATGTATTCTTCTAAAAACAATCGCTTGCCCATAGAAAAATCAGCAACCTTTAAAATATCTGTTATCTCTAGGTCATTTGGTAAACCAAAATTTAAAGTAAAATTGTTGATGCAAAAAGGAATTCTAAACTGGGTGTGGTGGCACTCTCCTGTAATCCCAGCATTTGGGAGGCTGAGACAGGAGGATCATCACAAGTTCAAAATCAGCCTGGGCTACAAAGTGAGTCCAAGGCCAGTCTGAGCTGCATAGCAAGGCCCGGTCTCAAAAGACAAAAAAAAACCAACAGGAGCTCTAAAGCACTATCCTCTTCTACCACCCACTTTCACCTACATTTTAGGGCTCAGCATGGGGCTTAGACGTTGGTCCTCACTCTGATGAGGACAGTGTCCTGTGTCCCAGCATGAGGTGGAGTCTGGCCTTCTCTCTCTGCTTCCTGACCCGGCTGTTGCTTCATGGCATAGGACAGGGGTGGCTCTCAGCTCTTTTCTGGAGTCACGAGGCTCACTGTTTTCTCCTTTTCCAAACACTGGTGATTCCAGCCACCCCTGGACCCGAGATCTTGGGAGGAACCCACTTGGTGATCATCGTGGGCATTGTCTGCGCCACTCTCCTGCTGCTCACTGGTTTGATACTGGTTTTGAAGAAGACATCCAGAAACAGGAGGTACAGGCTTGGGTTGGGAAGCTGGGGGTGCAGGGCTGCCTCTAACTCAAGGCGGGAGAGAGCGAGGGGGCCCTGCCTGAGGGCATGTAAAAATGCAGTCATTTTGATTATCACACTGGATGTCACCATGGGTGGCTCTCCTTAGAGGCAGGACCCCTCTGCAGGCCCTTTGCTCATCACACCCTGAAAAGTCTTGGACAGTCCTACATGGTTTTCATTCATTTTGGTCTACTATAAACTTTACAAATGGAGGTCTAAGTGGAGCATAATTAAGAACATAAATCTTGGGGCTGGGGATTTAGCTCAGCGGCATAAGCACCTGCCTTGCAAGCAGGCAGTCATGAGTTCGATCCCTGGTACCGATAAAAAGGAAAAAGACAAAAAAAAAAAAAGAACATAAATCTTGGCTGGGGGTTTAGCTCAGCAAATTCGAGGTGGTGAGTTTGATCCCCAGCACCAAAACAAAAACAAAAACAAAAACAAAAACAAAAAACATAAACCTTATACAAGAATGGTAACTGTACCGTTCACTGCCAGAGAACTGATTTTTAAATTAGCTACACTGGCTGGGGATTTAGCTCAATAAGCACCTACCTGCAAGTGTGAGGTCATGGGTTCAATCCCCAGGACCAAAAATCAATCAGTCAATAAATAAATAAATAAATAAATAAATAAATAAATAAGCTACACTGCATGATGTATAAAGTTCAGATATTGAGAGTTGGCAGTGATTTTATTTAAAAGACTACATTCTAGTTCTGAGAGACTTTTTTTTCGAATGGACATGTTTCTAAATGAATTATTGTTGAAAAGTATTTTTAAAGACTTAATTTCATCAGTAGTTCTCACACTATCTCAAAAATACCCAGATGGGCGTGGGGTATGGTGGTGCATGCATGTAATTCTAGCACTAGGGAGGCTGAGGCAGGAGGATCAGAGGATTACCGTGAGTCAAGGCCAGCCTGGGTACATAGTGAGTTCAAGGAAAACCTAAACTACATGGTGAGACTCTATCTAAAAAACAAAAAGAAATGAGGGACCGAGGATTTAGCTCAGTGGCGTAAGTGCCTGCCTGGCAAGTGCAAGGCTGTGAGTTTGATCCCTGGTACAAAAAAAGAGAAATGCCCAGAGGCTCAATATGAAGTATGTCGGTAGGGAAAGTGAGTTCTTTTGCTGAAATTCTGTTAGTGGGAAAGGGCCCAGAGAAACTAAACAATGGGTTTTTTTTTTTGGTACTGGGAATCAAATCCAGGGCCTTGCACATGCCAGGGAAGTACTCTTCCACCTACTCATCCTGCATCTCTGACTTGGGTAACCTTCCCCAGGGGAATGTAGATTCCTTAGAAAGGGACTTATGCCTGCTAGGTTGGTACCAGTCCGCAGGCCTCTGTGATTTGACCTGAACTTGGCTGGTCTCCGTGAGGGTCTTTGCATTGGGCATGCTCAGAGCACAGACACCAGAGTTAGACAATGTGGCTTTCATCAGCAGCTGACTTTCGCTCCTCTGGGCCTTTGTTTCCTCCATAGGGATGGGTAGCATTTCCATGTCCAGTAGTTTAAAGAAATAATCAGACTGCCATGTTGAGATTTGCACATAAATACATTTACCTATATTCAGAAAGTGGAATCATTAGAGTGTCAGAAAGACCGGACTCAGTGGATAGATATTTCACTCAGTGAGACACCACTCTCTACCCAAGGGATAGTACCATGAAATATATAGTATGATCTCATTTTTAGAAAAAGTAATAATGTGATACTTACTTCATATATGCTAAACATGTCTTGTGTGAGTTTACTTAAGCTTGCATTGAGAGAGGTTCAGAAGGTTAATTCAAAATTATTAATAGTGGTATAATATTTAAGATAAGGTAGATCCTATGGGGTGAAGGGCTTACTGGGAAATTCAGCTCCCAACTGTTTGCATTTCTGTATTATTTGGTTCATTTTACAATGAGAATGTACACCTTTACAATCAGAAAGTATGATATTTCTACTTCGAGACAAAAACACATTTTCTGCTGAGCATAGTGGCGCAAACTTATAATCCTATAGTTTGGAAGGCTGAGGCAGGAGTATCATAAATTTGAGCCAAATTTAGGCAGCTTAGCCGGACTTTAAACGTAAAAAATTAAAAACTTCTGGGGGTATAACTCAGCATGAAGGTCTTGGATTCATTCTCTAGTACTAGGGAGAAAAAGTTTATTTCTAGCTGATTTTCTTCCCTCCCTTCTTTTCTAAAAAATTTTTTATATCTTTGCCTTAGGGGCTAAGACCAAAAAAAAAAAAAAAAAAAAAAAAACCCAAAAATAAAAAAACAAAAAACAAAACAAAAAAGATAAAGGAAGGAAGGAAACACATTCAGTGGCAAATGCAAAACAAGGGGTCCGAGGCAAAGGGCCCCACAGCGGGGCCAGCGCTCGATGGGTGGAGCCCTGGGGTACCTGGGTTCCCTGCAGCCTGGCAGAGCTCTTGGAACCAGTCCTGCTGCGCGTGCGCTGCCCTCGCGTGTGCTGCCCCCTGCTGGTCCAACTCATCACTTGTCCTCAGAAATGTCAAAAGGATGGAGTCAAATCTGCATTCATTCATTTAAAATTATACCTTTCACTATACACAAAGTTGTTAGCGTGATCGCGGAGAGGCCGGGCTGGGTTTCAGCATCTTGCTGTTCCTTAGAAGTGAAGCAGTTCCTCCCCGGGACTCTTCCCCAAGCCAGGCGGCTCCTATTTGGATGCATTTAAATAAACACAGCAGCCAGCTAACGTCATGTGTCTTTCATGCCTTGCAGCTCTGCAGATTCTTCAGCCTTTGTGAAAAGTCTGGAGGACACACGGAAGGCTAGTCTGGAGGTGAGAAACCCGCTCTGAGAACACTGGGCGCGGCCTTCCTTGCTCCTGGGCTCGGGGCCTCCTCTCTGGGGGTCTCAGCTCTTGCAGGTCGGTGCCTGGATTGCAGCAGGGGCTCAGGAAGCTTTTAGCACCGCCATCAGGGCCTCTGATGAGTGTGGTGGGGCCGGGAGGGCGGAGTTAGACCAGTCCCAGGCCACATCCTGGCGGTGGGCAGAGGAAAGAACGCTAGACTTGAACTTGGAAAACTCCACTGCCTCCCTGAGCCTGCTCAGCAAAACGTGGAGAAGGACGAGGATGTCTGCTCTGCTTCCCTCTCAATATTGTTACAAGGTTCAGGTGAAATGATGATAGGCAAGTGCTTCCTAACCGATGGGGCACCGAGTAAATAAATACAAGGGAGAATTCCAATGCATCGGCAGTCGAGGAGTTAATGGTTAAAATAAAGTGTCCAGGTACTTTTCCAAAGAGCTGACCAGAAGGACTTCTTCCTCCATTTGTTTGCAATGGAGTTATAAATAAGGACTGAAAAATGTAGTAATTGCCCTTCCTGTCTCTTCCTTTCCTTTTTTAACTTTTAAAAGCTCTTCTGAATAGCTAGCTTTCTATCTTTTGAACTGCTTTTGTCCCAAGAGTGAGAGTCCCACCCCCAACATCACACAGATTCCTTTAGAAGCCCCCAGATTTGTCCTGGATGATAATGCCTTCCTGAAGAGTGACAGGACTGTGGTCACAAAGTGTCACCGAGCTCACAGATGTGAGGTTCAGTGAGGGTCGTCCCTGCCATACAAATCCATGGGATCATGATTCTAATTAAAAGGAAATATCCACTGAGTACAAATAATTTAGCAGGATAAGGGTTCCCTGATGCTGACTCAAAACCCATGAAAACAAAGATGGCCAGCTTTTGATTCTTATGCTGGTGGCCTTTGCTGCTAAGTTTATTTCAGGAAAACTAAAGACTGCATTATCATTTGTGATGATAGTTCTCCTAGTGATCCTCTGAACTTTCTGGTTTTGGTGGCTGATGCTTATGAACAGGGGTAGGAGGACTTGTTCTTGGTGCATGAGATTGGCCTGACTTTTAGGAACTTTGTACCATTTTTTCCTCTCTAGACACATGTTTACTCCCCAGTAGCTACATGGACGATGACAGGAGATGAAGAAACAAGTGGAAAAGCAGAAGCCACCTACATGATCATGGTGAGGATGATTCTAGGGCCCGGCTGTGCCTCACGTGGGCCAGAAGAAGCTGGGAAGGCTTGGTGGGTGTGGCCGGCTCCGGGGAGGCTCTGTGTTGTGGGCTGAAGTTTTCCTCAGTGGGAGGAGAGTTGGAGAACTAAGCTTTGCTCGAAGTACATCACCAAACTTGTCTTCACAACCAGGTTTGAGGATTAAAATCATCACTAAAGAGAAAGAAGATGAAAAGTGGGCTTCCCTAGGAGCAGGTTAGCAAAGAGCATGTGAGATCTTGCACTGCAAAGGGCTATTTTTTGGTTCTATTAAAAGGTCAAACTGGGTTTCCTTTCCACTCGTAAGCTTTTTAATTCTTAATTAACTTTTAATTCTGTCTTAGTTACTTTTTCTTGTTGTTGAGACAAAATTTCTGGCACCCAAAGTGAAAGAGGAAAGGGTTTGTTTAGCTCACAGTTTGCGGAGGTTTCAATCCATCGTCGGCTGCTTCCAAGGCAGGATGACACAGGGCAGAGGGACAGCGGTTCATGGCAGCAGGAGGTAGCAAAAGCAACAAGAGAACATGAGACAAGCCTTTCTCTGTCCCTGACGTTGTATTCAGTCTACTACGATTAGGGTGGTCCCAGTCCAATCAGTGGACCCGCCCTTAATCCCAACACTCTTAATCCCAGCATTGCGCCCTGAGTCAATCACACTCTCTAGATTCAGCCATCTCCGAAAAAACTTTATGGCCTCATGAGGCTTTGGGGGGACATCTAACAGTGCCCCATAAAACCATAACTGTGCCTTATTAATTCTTGCACATATTCTAACTGCATGCAGGCAGAAAGGCACAGAGTCTGACTCTCTCTCTTAGCTCACACTTCTGTGGTTTGCCAGGGAAGTACACCACCAAGAAAAGGACCTGAGAACATGGCGAGTGGGGTAGGGACAAAAGGGGTTGGTTTGCAATACTCACTGCTCCTTGTAGACTAGGTATAGGCACCCAGCCCATGAAGAGGCAGTATTTTTCTAGGTCCAGGAAGGCTGGCCCCTGTGCTTACGGAATGATGGGCTGTGAGTGGCGGACACATGACTCCCAGCTGACCGTAGCAGGGAAAGCTCTGCCAGGAGAGTGTGAGATCAGACATCTGGCCTCGTTTCACCAGGAGAAAATCAGCCCTGCTCGGAAGTGCTGGTTACGTGGAGTGCTTTTTCCCTGCATTCTCTTCCCCATTACTGCCACTTAGTGCTCCAGTAAACTCCAGCCTCAGCCTGGCCCTTGCAGAGATGGTGGCTCCCTACTGAGTGGATGAGTGACAGTGACACCCACAGCTTGTCTCCCCACATGCCATGCCAGGTGCTTGTGATGACCAGCACCTCTGTCCCTTTGAAACAGCCACCCTGAGAGGCCTATGCCGCATACTCAGGCCAGTAGGGCTGATCAACATCTTTAAACAGACAAACCAACAAACCACTCTGGGCCAGTTTAAATAAGGGTAAATCCTGGACTGTGGGCCACCTGTTTGAGACCTCAGTTACAGAGGTGATCTCTGATGGATGGAGGGGTGAGGGTAAAGAACCTTTGATTTTTGTTGTTGTTGTTGACTATCAAATTTACTTAAATGCATAATTGGGCTTCATATCCAGCTTTTCTGTGTCTATGGATTTAGCCAACCACAGATTGAAAATATTTGGAGAAATAGTTCACCTATAAAGAACATACAGACTTGTTTCCCCTTGTCATAGTCCCTAGATAATCTGGATAACACCATTTGCATAGCATTCATGTTGCGTGAGGTGTTACCAGCACTCCGGAGGTGATTTCGAGTATACAGGAGGATGTGTGCAGGTTTTGTGCACCTGCTATACCGTTTATCTAAGGGACTTTAGTATCCACAGGTGTTGGTATGTACAGGGCTCCTGGAGCCAGTCTTCTGTGGATACCAAGGGGTAGCATGAGGTTGAGTCCTCTTTCTAAAATCTGTGCACATGGTTTTTAAGATCACAGGCTCTGGAGTAGGACCTGGGTCCAGATTCTGATGTTGTGACCTAATGGCTAGATTTTAATTTAGAGATAGATAACTTAGCCTCTCTGTGCCTCCACTTCTTTATCTTTAAAATAACAATACCTGTCTCCCCCGTGTGAAATTCAGTATTGGGTCAGGCACAGGAACAGTCAGTGACAGCTGATGTTGAACTTCCTTTTCTCTTTTTTGGTGCTGGAGACTGAATCCGGAGCCTTGCATGTGCTAGGCAACGCTTTACCCCTGAGCCACATCTTCTGCCCAACCCTGTTTCTTACAAGTATACTTTGTGTCTTTTTTTTTTTTCCTTCACAGCATCCAGCTCAACCCTCTCCGGGGTCAGATCCAAATAACCTACTTGGAAAAAAGACAGTTTTGGGGATTCCCAGATCAGAGCAAGCTTTTTGAGAAGAAAGAAGAGATCTCTTCATCTTATGGTGGCGGGGACTCTGTCCTGTGTGTCCTGAGCCACTGTACCAGTTACTTCCGATGCCTACCTCGCAGCTGTCCTCAGCTTCCGCTAAGGGGCTGAAGGGGGAGGGTTGGAGCCTGGCTGTGGAGGACCAGGCCAAATAAAAAAGGAAGCCCGTGGACTTGGCCCCTTGGAGTGTGGCCACGGCCCCAGGCAAGCTGGCTGAGCCACCGCAGTGGCCTCAAACACTCCTTAGCCCAGACCCTCATGTGGACACTTGTTTGTGGATGAGTTCCTGAAAAGAACCACAGAAATTTAAACCAAGCCAAATGATCCTTCTGGTTTTTTTTTCCATTTCATTTCAAGAAGAAAAAGAAGCAAAAAAAAAGGAAATAAACAAAAAAACCCCAAATGATTCTTCTGATAAGTTATCCCTAAGTAAATATGATTTTTGGAAATTGTCTGTTTTTATGCCCTGGCTGTGGGGCAAGTGGGGTTTGCAGTGTGGAGCTCCTGGGGGAGCTGAGGTTCCTGGGGGATAAGCTGTACACTGACCCAACATGCTGGGACTGCTTTCGATGCTGGGAAATATTTGGGGGACGAGCTTATTTAAAGTGGGGTCTGAGCTGAGTTGAACCCTGTGTTTCTTCCTTCCAGCTGGGTATTGGCCACACTGGTGACTCCTTGCTGGCTGATTTGAAATTCCTGGAAAAGCTTCCATGTCTGTCTTTTTCAAAAATATGCTCATAAGTTGCCAAAGTGGACAGCCACTGATTTAACTTTTGGTCTGAACCATCGTAAGACTTGCTAATGTTGATCCTGAAGATCCTTTGGTCCTGAATTCTGTCTTCCAGGTCTAGGGATCAGCCTGGTTCAGCCGTCGTTCCCTTTCCTTAAGGCCCAAGTCTTTCTCATCCTCTGCATCCCTTTCTTCCCATGTTACCATTCAGGGCCTGAGAAAGATCTTTTCTGGGTCTCTGATTTGTTTTCTAGTCTAAAGCTCATTGTTGAATGATTCCCAAGCTTTCCAAATGTCATGGCCCTCTCTTAACACGCGTGTGATTGATGAGTTCTCTCATCAACCACTCTTGTGTAGCCATGGAGAATAACTTTTTTTTGGTACCGGGGATCAAACTCACGACCTTGAGCTTGCGAGGCAGGTGCTTATGACACTGATCTAAATCTCCAGCCAAGAATAACTCTTGAATAACTCTTGAATATTTCCTTTTTGTTCTTGGTTAGCCATAGAACATCTGCGATTACTAAATAAGGAATATGTCAGTATGCATACTGAAAATATTCTGTCCACCAGGTCATACCAGGGGCACAGTTGGCATGGGAGGGGGAGGGGGAAGGATTCTTCAGAGCTGATGTATTTATAGGCAGGAAGTGGTTTCATTCCTGGGCTATGATGTGACATTTCCCCTGAGCTAAGGGGCCCCGTTCCACTTCCTCAAATATTGCACGCATCGGAGGATAGCCTTTCAAATACGGAATTCGGTGAGAGGTGATGCTTTTACATCCATTGGCCTGGGTCTAAGAGACTAGGGTAAGAGCTGGAGTGTTGGCTGGCAGCTGGTTCACATACTCCTCGCAGGGCACTGTGACGTGGGGAGTGTAGATGTGCCCAGATTTAAATTCGCTTGGTTCAGAGCCTGACTTCCATTCTGGGTTCAGCATAGGGACTGAGGAGGAGGAGGAGGGCAGGTCTAGCTCCGTCTCCCAAACTTGCTCCCCCACAACCTTTCCTCTCCTGTGTAGTCATGAAACCAAAGTTGCCTAAAATCAAAACATCCCTGCAGGGGACCCTAAGAAAGATCCACTTTCTCTCTCACACTCTCCTTGAGAGGCTCATCTTCTAAAGCCAGTGACAGGAAGATGCATAGAGTAGGGAACAGGCTTCAAGGTCAGATGACTTGGTTCAAATCCTGGCTCTGCCTCTTACCCCTCAAACTTCACGTAGGTTATTTGAGCCTGTTTTCCCTACACAATGCTCGTCAAGTTGGGCGGGGTCTGTCCTGAAAAGATCCTTAAGCTGGAAGTGAAATACACCAACAGAACTGCACAGCCTGGTGCTGATTGTTTATTCTGGTGATTGTTGGGCTGACCGGAAACTGCAGCTCACTGCCCCTGCCCAGCACTGTGGGAAAGACTCTTACTAGAAATCACTAGCTGGGAAAAGACCAAACATTCAAAACTCAAAATACGGTTTCTGCCAAACGCCTGTCACTTTCACACCATCATGAAGTATAGAAATTATAAGTCAAACCATCTGAAATCAGGGACTGTGTCTACATAAAATAAAAATTCATAAGGTTTTCTTTTGCAATGACTAAAAGAAGCTCGGGGGCTGGGAGTTTAGCTCAGCAGCACAAGCACCTGCTTGGCAAGCATGAGGTCATGAGCTCGATCCCCAGTACTACCAAAAAAAAAAAAAAAAAGTATAAAAGAAGCTTGGGGCTACTCTCTTGTATGTGGCAAAGAAAAAGAAAAAAAAGAATCCAGGGATGGTGTGTGCCTGTGATTTTAGCACGCGAGGCTGAGGCAGGAGGACCACTGCAAGTTCAAGGCCAACCTGAGCTACATAGCAAGATCTGTCTCAAGTAAATAAATAAATACGTGACTAAAAGCCAGCTTAGGCATCGGACCTAGACTGAGCCTCTAATGCCTTGGGGTGTGTTTTCCTAGTGCCATTGGCTTCTCAGCTCTTGCCATTTAGAAAATGGGCTTTTATCTTTGATGTGATAGTGCGTCTGTGCCATTCAGTATGGATGACAGTATCTTCTGTTGGCTCCTCACCATCTCTTACTGAGTTTGATTCCTTTTTTCTTTCTTTCTTTCTTTCTTTCTTTCTTTCTTTCTTTCTTTCTTTCTTTCTTTCTTTCTTTCTTTCTTTCTTTCTTTCTTTCTGCTATGTATCTGGGCCTGGCCTTGAACTCACTTGTACCCAGGCTGGCATCCAACTCCTAGTGACCAGCAATCCTCCTGGCTCAGTCTCCCAAGTGCTGGAACTACAGGCATACACCACCAGACCTGACCTTAACTTTGATTTCTATAGGCAGAAAACCCTTTAAAGAAAGGATTTAAATCTCTCTGCCCATCCAAATAAAGAGAGAGGAAACAGCTTGGGCCAGGACCCTCTGAGGGGTGACCTTCGGAAGGGCAGGAAGTCTGCTGGAGACAGAGCAACCTGAATCTCTTGTTGAGATTCTTTAGCAAGCAGTTTTCTTACTTGAATTTGCAGTGTTTTGATTTCTAGAACCCCAGAGGCCCCTATGTCCATAAGCATGCAGGTTTTCCAAGAGAAGGGAGGGACTGGGCCACCCATGAATAATGGAGGGTGTGACACCTCAGAATTTGACCTCTGGAATTGGAAATGGCCATCCTGTCTACTGGGGGCAATAGATAAGCCTTCCTTAAACACTTTCAGCCCTTTGGTCTTTTGCTGGTCTTTGCAACTCCACACACACACACACACACACACACACACACACACACACACACACATACACACACACACACACACTTCAGAGTCCTTATAGGTCTACACTGAAAATTTTCTTTGATAAAATGCTACCTTGCTCTTTCTGGGTGGTTGGAGGTAGCTGGGTGGTCACTATGGCACTGAATTACTAAGCATAATGAAGGTTTCATCCGACAAACTGGTTTGCAGATGTGGTCTAGGCTTCTTTGAGGGAGGCCAGGCAATCCACGATCATTTCATTAAAATCCAACTCTCACATCCCTTTACCAAAGAGTCGAACCCATAAACTGAAGAGGTTCATTTCACCTGGGGGAAGGTCCTGGGGATCTACCCATCCTGGAACTGTCAGAGGCTGCCCTGCATGATGTGCTCTGGTGCTGATGTGTTCTGGTGCTGCCTTGGTGCCCATCTGTATCTCCTGTTGTTTTTATAACAGGAGCCATCTGCCCACGGGAGACCAAGCCTAGAGACACGGGAAGACGGGAGAGCTGGTTCACTCGATGGGATTTAAACTGGGTGTTAAAGGAAGGCTGTTTTGTGTAGATGAGAAGGGAGAGGCATCCCAGATAAAAAACGCACCAAGAGAGAGACTCCAAAGCAGGACAAAAGATTGATACATGGGCGGACTACTCATCTGAGTGAACTAGGTCCGCCGTCTTCCTAGACTTGACCAGAGTTTTTATCTTCTGTTGTCCTGATTGCTCATGGGGAGACATGGTCTCTTCGTTTAGCACTTCAGTGCTTTTCTGTGACCCTTGCAGCCTCTGACCCAGCTGAGACAGTCCCTTGTGGGGCGGGGCAGAGCGGCCTGTCCAGGGAGCCCCAAGAGTGGATGACTCCAGCAGAGCTTTGCAAAGAACTGAGACTTGCGAAGTCTACAAGAAAGGCAGGGCCTTCCCAGAAAAGGAAACCACAAAGCGAGAGAGTTAAGAGAAACCTCGTTTATCCTGGGGTAGCTCAGTGAGGGTGGAAAAGATGGAGAAGACAGAAGAGCAAAAGGAACCCCACCTTGTAACCCACCAGCAGGCTGCCATGTACTCTGCAGATTGGCCAGCGCTGGCATAAGCAAATACTCCATTACTGAGTCACATTCCAGGCTCAGGGGCGATGGTGCAGATGAGGGTTCTTCCTGCTAAACATTCCTCTCTCTCCAAACCCCATTACCTGGCTTCCCAATGTCCCTTGCAAAGTTTTAAACATTGATGGAAGACAGTGCTTATCAAACTTTAATATGCTCAAGGATCACTTTGCAGGTCTCGTTAAAATGCAGATTCTGATTCTTTGGGTCTGGGGAAGAGCCTGTGACTCTGGATTTCATTCTTTCCTTCTTCTTCTTCTTCTTTTGTTTTTGTTTTTTTGAGACAGGGTCTCGCTATGCAGTTCAGGCTGGCCTTAAGCTCACTTTGGAGCCCAGGTTGATCTTGAACTCACAACGATCCTCCTGCCTCAGCCTCCCGAGTGCTGGGATTACAGGCATGAGCCACCACGCCCAGCTTGTTCTTGTTTTTTTGAGACAAGGTCTGCCATGTAGCTCAGGCTGGCCTTGAACTCATGGTGATCCTCCTGCCTCAGCCTCCTAAGTGCTGGGATTACAGACATGTGCCACCACGCCCAGCTGGATTTCTAACAAATTCCCAGGTAATACTGCTGATGCTGGTCTGGGAATCACACTTTCAGAAATTGCAGGGTGGGGGGTGGGAGTGGGTGGATGAGTGTGGAGCTCAAGAGCCATTGTTAACTTGAAAGCTCTCGTAGCCTTCACAACGCATACTAAAGGCAAAAGGAGACTGCTTCTTTTGGGTTATTTACAACACTGCTTTTCCCATTGTCCAACAAAATGGTAGTGATCAATAGCACTGGGCAGAAATGCCAAAACCATGGGGCTTCGCTCCTAAAAAAGCCTACCTTCGATATGGGTGTTTTCATTCTACAAAACAGCTCTCTGAGTTTCTGCTGCCCAGGCTTTTTATTGGATCCCAGGGAAGATTTACCCCTTTGCAGCACAGGGGTACCAAAGGCGCAGGGGGCCGGGGGCTTCTGTAGCACCTCTGCTGGCCCCAACATACCAGTTCCCTCAGCTCTGCTCCGGCTCTACCTGACCTTGGTTCTGCTGGACTGAGTTGGACCAAAGTTATTCTAAGTCTTGATATTTAATCTCTCAGCCAAATTCTGCAAAAAAGCATATGAACTTTGAAGTTCTTTTATATTTTTGGAGGCAGGGTCTTGTTCTGTAGTACAGGCCAGCTTTAGTTTCCTGTGTAGCTCAGGTGGCTTTGCACACTTGACTCTGCTGCTGCCTCCACCTCCTAAGTGTTAGAATTACAGCCCCGGGCGCTACACCCAGCCAAACTCATTTTTTGCCTCAGTTGCCCCCAGAATGGAAGGTTCTGGACCTAGTGCTGCCATCAAGTGAAGCAGAGAAGCTGCTTCCTTCAGTTTCTGGGCCTTCCAGGCACTCTTGGCTGCGAGAAGAAAAAGAAGGAGGCCGGCTACATCAAACCAAAAATCTCTGGCTGCAGGGCTGGGCTGAAAAGTGTCTGTAGCAGCTCAGAGGCTGGTGCTGCGGACTGGGACTCAGTGGGAAGGGACTGAGCTGGAGCGGGGTCCTGTGTGTGCGAGCCCATCCATCCTGGCACACCTGTGACCTGCGGACCGTGCAGGAGCCCTGAGGTCAGAGGGCGGTAGGGTTAGGGCCTCGGGGCAGCACCAGAGATGCTTTCTTCCCCAGGCTAACCTTTTCTTCCCTGAGATTCCTTCTCCTGGACCACCCCTCTGGACCAGACCCACGAAGTGACTGAGGATCCCGGGGACAGTCGTGTGTGATCCTGGCAGGCGCACAGAGGGCATCGAGCCATCTGCTCCTCTGCCTTTAGCAACTGCCTCTGAGCCCTGGCTCCCTTTCCCCTTCTCTAGGGATCCTGGCTAGATTTCACTTCCTCCCCACAGCTGATTTCTCTCCAAATTCAGCATCCTGGGCAGCCTGGTGCAGTCGGTGGCCACCTGTTATTGTCTGCTCTGCCAGGCACCGTGCTGGACTCCTGTTCTGCTCCTCCACATTCTGCCTCTGCATCTTCAGAAGACATCCACAGATGCTAACAGCTTCATCCCTCCTCCTACTTTTTTCTTCCTTCTAAACAACCTCAGGACTGGTACCCTGGGTCCAGTCCTGGGTAATAAGCAACACGGAGTAGTGGAAATACCCAGTGCTTCCCACAAGCTTTGGTTTAAATCCTGGCCCCTAAATGCCAAGTGTAAATGGGTGAGTTAAGTCCTAGGGGCCACTTCTTTCTCATTTACAACTAAAGGGGCAGTACCAGAAAGAAAAAAGAAAGAAGGCCATACGCAGGGTTAAGATTAAATGAGATACTATGTATCAAGTACTAGGCACAGTTGGCAAACCCCCCCCCCCAAAACATGCATTTCTCCCTCTGTGACACATGGATGGCCCTTCAGGAAAGCACGGGAATCCTACAAGAGAACCTGTATTCCACTGGCCTTCCACCGTGCTATGCTCCCACTTATGACATGAAGTTTATTATTTCCTTCCCTTTTCAAAAGAAATGTTTTGAACATACACAAAAAGAAGAGGGAACTGGGTGCTGAGCACTGTACCATCACCAGTGGGTCTGGACCGTCGAGCCGTTTGCTCTCATGACACCCAGTTCTCCTACCTCTTTTTTATATTTTTTTTCCTGGTATATTTTTAAAGCTAATTCTTATCATTGTATCATTTCACCTATGCGTGCTCCAGTGCATATATTTAACCAATAAAGACACTGAGGAACATTACAATATATTTTTAATCGCATTGCACAAAATTAAGAATTATGCACTAATATAATCTAATACCCAGGCCATATTTACTGCCCCCCCCCCATTGCCTAAAAAGTGCTTTTCTTGCTGGTGTGTTTATTACATTTGACTGTGTGTTTGCACAAGCTTCTTTGCACACTCTGTTGTCCATGGAAACACTAGAATAAGCAGGAAGTCATCACTTCCTGAAATTCTGACTCACTTGCCTGAACCCTTTCCAAATAACACAAAAACAAATACTGTCTTTTGGGGGTTTTTGGGGGGATGTTTTTAAATTGAAAAAAAGCCTCTCCCCTTATCGCAGCTTTGAAATAAATGAATTCCTCTAAAAGCTTTCAAAATCCAAAAATCGTTCCCAGTGAAGCAGTGTTTGCAGCGTGTGCTTAGGTTCTTGCTTCAGAGGGCAAAAAAGCCTGGCAACTTTGTGCTTTGCAGAAAGACTTTCTCTGCCCTCCCACCTGCTTTTGCAAATCCACCAACCATAGTATTTACTCTATCCCCCTTTTTCTCTCTCGCTCTGCTTTACACACTCCCCCTCTTTTCAGCAGCCACATACAGGTCGGCCATATTAGAGCGATGGAAATAAAGCTTCCTTGATGTTGTACAAGTCTTTGAAGTACATCCGTGCATTTTCTTTTTTAGCATTTAACCATTCCTCTCCTGCAGCCCTCGGCCCCTCAAAGCACCCTCTCCCCCCAGCCCACCCGCCTGACATCTCAGTCCGGGAAAATGCCTCGCCCAGCCTTCAGTCTCACGGGGCTCAGTCTCTTTTTCACTTTGGGTAAGTTAGACCCACATCTGCATGCTCCGAGGGTTCCAGGCGCAACACCTGGACGAGGAGGGGGCAGGGGGCAGAAGGAGGAGGGACAGGGTTAGGGCTTCCCCCGTGTCCTTGGGAGGAGGCGGAGGGGCTGGAGCCATATCGCCCAGGCTGCAGACTGCTGGGCGTGCTTGGGTCGGGGGTCTGAGTGTGGCCGAGGGTGAAAACTGGCCAGGGAGGTGATTTTTGGTTGGGTTTTCCTAAGTGGACCCTGTGGGGGGCGGGGCAGGAGTAGGTTGATATGCAGAGTCCTTGTGGATGTTTTAAATTTTAATTGTTTTGCTGCTGCGGATGGAGGGAGGGTCCTGGGACTTCCCGGTGCTTTGCAGGATTTCTGTTGTGAATCCGGATCCTTGAAATCTAGTGGATTTTAGGGTACTGAAAAAAAGTGGGAGAGTTGGGGGCAGAAAGTTGAGTCTGGGTCTGGCGTGCTGGAAGTGTTCCCCTGATTTGGGGGACCCTGTGAGGAGGGCCGGGAAGCAGGCTCGAGGCGCAATCCCTGAGTGGGAGGAGGGTGGGTGAGCCAGCACGGAAGCCAGAGGCACCTCTGGCTGGGGCCAGATGGAAGGCAAGAGGGACAGGTGAAGAGACTCAGAGATTCGGGGGAAGAAGGGGACCCAGGGGCTGTGTGAGGCCAGCGTCAAAGCAATCTCACAGCTGTCCAGCTCCCTGTGCCTGCGGTCCTGTCAAGGGCCCCAAAATCCAATTTCGTGGGTGACCATTCATAGACTTCCTGACAGGCTGGTATTTGGAAGCTGTTTTATAGATGGCTTCGTTCTTTTATAGATGCTCCTAAGCACCTTACTCATTGCTTGCCGAGGGTCAAATCCAAGGATTGCCAGTGGGAATGTTCCCTGTCACAAAGCGTCTCTTAATCTGTGGCATGATGTGCTGGGCACCGGGCAGGAGGACTAACCAGAGTCACGCAGAGGCCCCTGCTCCATTTCTGTCAACTTAGCTTTGCTGAGTTAGTCGGCATATTCACAACACTGCAGAAAGGTTGTACAAGTCCGGCATTTAACCGGGGTTTAAAACCACCTTTACTATTGCTTAATAACCACAGGCGAGTTACTCAGCTCCTGTGAGCCTCAGGTCCCTCATGGGTAAGCTGGACAGTGCCTGCTGCTGGAGTGTTTGTGACCTGCACATCGCAGGGCCAGCTGTGGTTAACCTTGCTGCAGGGATGCTAGGGTTGGTGAATTTCCAAAGCAGGTGGGCGGGCTTTTCATAAGCCAGGCACAGGGCCGATATTTAGTGCTCACAGAAATTGTTGGACAAAGATACTGTTATTATATGCATACCTCAAGGAGAAAAAGAGGCACAGACAATTACTTGTCTGTAAGGTCACATGACCAGCATAAAGTGGACCTGAGATTTGAACTCCTGTGTGTCTGGCTTTAGCAAATGCTGGGCTCTACTGCCCCCAATAGTCAAGAAGTGGTACTGCCATGTTTACAGTAATGGACCGGAGAATCCCACTTGGGGCAGGCCAGGAGCAGTTGAAGGACAGGCCTGGAGCTGAAGGATAGGCACCTTCTTCCAGGAGGTCAGAAGAGCTTTCTGTGAGAAGGCAGATGACTGGTCACAGTCATATCTGAGTGAAGAAAGCAAAGGACTTGATGGCCATTTCTAAGTGAAGAAAGCCAGGCCCGGGAACTCTGAACTGAGGAGGAGATGGAGCCCGGGGTAGAGATTTGGATGCAGAGACTGTGAAGAGGGGAGAGGGAGCTGAACCCTCACCCGACCTGGAGAAGGCGGAAATGGGAGACCTTGAACGTGAACTCCACGGCCTCTTGCGCTCCAAGGCTTGGGCAGCATGGACCATGGAGCCTTGGTGGTTGTAGCATCATTGGTCACTGGGACGGGGGACACCATGGCTGTTGAGGGAGGGGACGGCAGGGGTCAGGCTTGTGGCGATAGGTGTAGAGCTGTGGAAGAGAAGGAGCGGACTGGGCGGCTGGCTGTAGCCATGGCACAAGCGCAGGAGTCTAATCGTAGTGAGAACCTTTCTCAATGGTTGGGTTCCCTGGAGTTTTTCTCAAGACCATCAATTCTGCAGCTATGGTTCTGGCTTTCAAGGTCCAGGCTATGGGAGGGGAGGCTTGCAAAGCGGAGTCTGGTCCTCATTTAAGCCCACTGCACATGCCTGCTCATAGGGAGAGACAGCTTGGCATAGGGGGGAAGATGTTTTCTTTTTTGTCAACAACAACAAAAAATTTTTTAGAGATAGTCTCCTTACGTAGTTCAGGGTGGCCGTAACTCACTGTATAGCCCAGGCTGGCCTTGAACTTGCAGGGATCCTCTTGCCTCAGCCTCCTGAGTGTTGTGCCACCATGCCTGGCTTTCAACAAAATTTTATGGAGTACTTACTGTAAGTCAGGGGGCCAGGAGAACACTCAGTGATGTCTTCAAAGCCTCTTAAGGGACCTAAGCACAAGAAGGAGTCATAGAAACAACATTTCAAGCAAGATAACAATATTAGCAACAAGGTTAATAAGAGCAACTACCTTTTGTCAAAGGCTATGTTAGGTCCTTTAGGATTGTTAAATCTTGACAACGTCCCCTGGAGGTAGGTCCTGTATCTGTTACATGACAGATGAGGAAAGGACTTGTTGGAAAATTAGCTACGTTGCCCAAGGTCAGATGGAGCCCCTGACCTGGCCAGTACACCGTTCTGCCTCCAAGTGAGGAACAGGCTGCAGAGGGAGCAGGACTCGGGGAAGCTGACACCCAGGCTGGCTTCATAAGCTGGCACCTAACGGATATGAGGGAGGAAACCCCAGGCAGAGGGTGAACGAGCTCCCATCCTGAAACAAAATCACATGCAGAGACCAGGAGGGGCCAACAGGGCAGTGTTTGCAGACAGAGTCAGAGCGCTGGGTCTCTGAAGGGGAAGGATGGAGGGATGGGAGCTGGCAGAAGGTGAGAGTGGGCACAGGTCGGTTTCAGGTGGCAAAGGGCTTGGGAGCTGTGCCAGCTCTGTGCCAAAGTCTCGACTTGCTCCTGAAAGCAGTGAGGCTCCTTTGGAGGGGAAGGGCTGAGGCCCAGCTGCTCCTGGTTATGTGGGGGGTGGGGATGGGGAGACCCGGGGGAGGGAGGGTCCAGATGCTAAGGCCAAGCAGATGAGGAATGGCCTGGATGTCATACTTGCCTGGGAGGTGAGGGCGGCCCCAGGAGACAATTTCTCTGCTTGGATATATTTTTTTAAAACAAGAATAAAATAAACCTACCTCATCAATTGCTGGAGGTTGGAAAGAGGGGTAGAGGGAACTGTCAGCCTCTGAAACAGTGGCAGACAAGCAGATTTGCATGATCTCAGGCAGAACAATGGGTGACATGTGTACCCTGCCAGATGTACCTCGGAGAGGGTACCCAGTACTGGTGATGTCTTGGAGCTAAGACCAGAAGTCACATTCATACTGCATCCCTGTTGTTTGATTTCCTTTTGGTGAGCAAGGAATCAGGAGACTCAGGCCCTAGGCCTTGACCCCAAGGGATTGCAGGAAAATGCTGACTCCTTTTTGGGGAGTTTCGTGTGGGTAGAAACGTTCCCTGCTGGTCGACCTGCCAGGAGCCGGGGACAGGAATTTATAAGTTTGGGCTCGTCCTATAGATTGCAGGAGACTTGTCCCCCAGGATGCTTTGGAATGACAGTCACATCCCCATGCAGAGTCAACCCCTCTTCCGTGTGTAGAGCCAGGCAGCATGGATTCACATTTTAGCTCTGTCATGTGCAAGCTGTGAATCTGGGTTATTCATTTAACAGCTCTATGCTCTGTTTTGTTACCTGGAAAGTGGGGGAAACAATAGGGTGTCTGTGGGTATAGACAGGGTAGTATACACTGCGTGCTGAAGCATCCAGGTTTTCATTAAGGCCTCTCTGTGCGTCTGGATCTGCTGCCTTCCTGAGGCAGCAGAATTAATCCAGAGACCGGGGTGCTGTTCACAGCCCTGACCCTGAGCAGGGGTTTCCTGGTCTTTCGTGTAGTCTTAGGCTGGTGGAAGACCTGAGGCCCCTCATCCCATACCTCTGGAATTCTGATGAGAGCCCATCTGCGTCTTGGACTAGCAGGAACCCTGATTCAGGCCTCGGCCTGTTCCTATTCCCTGCGTCTCTTCCTTGGCCCCTCTTTCTTCTGAGCTAAAATCACAGCATCAGATCTACAAACGCGAGGGTTCGCCCAGCTCTGGCATCCTCTGGTTTGGCGACTCCTTCCTTTCTGCGGATGGGACTCGATGCTTGACCTCTGTGACCGCTAGAGGGCACACGTTTCCAGCCTGGCGTCTCTGGCGCGGAGGACGAGCAGGACCCCGCATTGCACCTCTCTCTGCCCCACAGCCAGCTAGGAAAGGCCTCCGGGGGCTCTGCCCTCTTCTGCAGCGGTGGGGTGCTGGTCCCTTACAAATGGAGGCAGCCGTTGAGCAGGGTTCAAGTTTGAATCTAGAGTGCTGCCTGGGGTTGCTGCAGTTGGACCTAGTGGGAGAAGGGTGGAACCCAAAAGGTCAGCCAGCCAGACGTTCAGAGGACTTCCTTTTCGTTGGGGGGTGGGAGCCCCGGGAAGGCGGCGGTCCTTCCGAGGGAAGGGGCTAAAGAGGCAGGGCATTCCTGGGACAGAAGGTAAACTCAGGACAAGCCTCCATCTTCTGCGGATTTCTCAGCCTCTGCAGAGCGGGGGCGGTGTTGGTATTTTCTGTGCACCTCCTCCTTGCCTGGTACCGGGCCAGACACTTTCCGGTGGATCTGAAAGTGCAGGGATGGAAACTGGGCTTTGTTTCTCCCGTGGGGCCCACTCAGCCTCCCTAGTTGCTGCTCCCCTAATGAGCACTTAGTGAGTACCTGCTGTCCTTGCTCTGAGTGAGGACCACTTCTGCTGCCTGTTCTTCATCCGAGGCTTGGTGGAGGGGCGAGCGGCTCAGAGCATCTCCTGCCCTTGAATCTGCAACTGGGCCCTTGCCCCCGGAGACAGGCTGAGCAGAAGGATGCCCTGGACCAGCTTTGATTTCCCAGCTCCCAGGCTGCAGGGCTGCCACTTGGGCGGAAGGGTGCAGAAGGTTCATGCAGCCAGTTAGAAGACTGGGGGCCCTACAGCCCGGCCCCTTTGTCAGAGCTGGGGGAATCACAAGGGGCTAGCTTTAGGGATTGTCTCCAATGTGTCCTGGGGCCCCGACTCCACACCCCTCCAAAGCCCTTTCTGTGCATGAGGTAGAACTTGAGGAGGATACAAGGTAATACCAGCCATCCTTTTTGGGGCAATTCCTGTTGCTTTAGTTATCATAACGACCCCAAGAAGGGCATCACTGGTGCGTTTTATGGAGAGGAGCTGAGGCACAGAGCTGGAGGAGCGCATGCACGTTTCTGCCAGCAGATGGCGGCAGAGCTGGGCTAGAATCCAAATCCGATCGATCCCTGTCTATGTTGTCCGCATATCCAAGGGCTGTAATTCCAGCCGGGCACCCTGCCCCCAACCCACCCTTGAGCCCACTAGCGGCTTCCTGTTACACTGAGAAGCCTGCATCCCTTTTGTGGCCCAGTCCTGGCCTCGTGCTCTGACTTTGGGTCTCTCCATCGGCCCCTCCATCCCTCTGCTCTGCCTCAGATGCATGAAGGTAGCTCCAGCCGCTGGAACTTTGCCCTCAGTGCGTTCCTTGCTGTGGTCCTCGATTCCCTCAGGACTTGAAACGGTTCCTTCCCTTACTGCAGGTGGACACTGCTGGACATCACCCTCTCCCACTAGCCTTCCCAGATCACCTTGAATAAAACCATTCCTGCCTGCCCGTCTTGGTCCTCAGAGCCCATGCCATGGATCACTCCTAAATCACATTATCTTTTCCTTGTTACTGTTTGTCCCCTCACCAAAATACAAGTAGTGTCTGCTTCATAGTAATCCCATGGCCTTTCGAATCCCCTGCCGTGTGCATGCTAGGTAAACACTTTACCACTGAGCCTTGCTACAGCTAAGTCAGTCTTGTGGGATGAGGCTTTGATAACATCAGCAGAGAATCCTGGAACCAGGATCAGGGTAGGAGGAGTGAGTGGGTTGCCTGAGTGTGTGCAGGAGGTATTTTTCTGACCCTGAAAGTGGACGCCTCCTTGACTGTTAGGTCCCATGAACATCACTTGCCTCCCGTAGGCCCTGTACTGCTTGATGCCAGAGTGACTTGGTGCCTCTCCCTGGACTCTGTGGTTACCTGCCATCCTTGCTGTGGCATTTCCACGACTGTCACCTCCACAATGGACTCCTGTTCTAAGGGCCCCTCAGCTGGTCCTTAGAACAGTGCCTCTTCCGGGACACCTCTCTCGTCCCCAGGCACCTCTGCCCTCTTTTTTGCCTGTTAGAGTCTGGGGACCTTGAGGGGCTGTGCTGTGCTAGGGAACACTTACTCCATCTCTGGGCGTAGAAAGTGAATCCTGAGTCCCGGCTTCCCCAGCTGCCTGTGCCACGTGCAGGGCCCCTGTTCCTCAGGGGCACCTGAGCCTCACCGTGGCCTAACAGTGATGGTTAGGAAGAAAAGGAAACAAAGGGGGAAACTGAGGCAAGTGTGGTGCGATTTCCTGTTCTGCTGGCAAATGAACTGGGTCAGGTAGAGAGTGCCCAGAAGTGGTCTTGGAAAAGGCTGGGGGCCACCTGTCTGTCCCTGGCCTGAGAGGCCATTTGGCCACTCTTCACTCATGAGTGCTCTGTGCCCCTGACCCCAGGGACCGCGCGGGGCACTCTGGTGGCTTTGCCTTTCTAACCTCACCTCCTGCCTAAAGGCAGCAGAAAGGGCCTGGCTGGCGGCTATCTGCCTCACCCCGAGGCTTGCCCTTCCCCGACCCTGGCCCAGAATCCTCACCAGCTCCTGGCTTTGTCTGCAGTGCCATCAGGGCGGGGCATGGAGGTCACAGTCCCTACCACCCTCAGGATCCTCAACGGCTCCGATGCCCGCCTGTCCTGCACCTTCAACTCCTGCTACACCGTGAACCACAAGCAGTTTTCCCTGAACTGGACGTACCAGGAATGCAGTAACTGCTCTGAGGAGATGGTGAGTGCCAGGGGCCGGGGAGGCGGGGCCCCGAGGCGTGAGGCCACCCTCTCCATCTCTGAGGCCACCCTCTCCATCGCTGAGGCCACCCTCTCCATCTCTGCTCCTACCCGGAGCAGGGCTCCAGAGGACTTGGGCGGGTTGTCTGTTGCAGCGGGCTTTGACACCAAGCATGCACCGTGTCTCGGTGGCCCTTCTGGGGTAACATCCTGTCCTCCCAGGTAAAGGGTTACACGGGAGGAGGTGGTTTCCCCTCCCTAGCTTAGCTCCCTTAGTTCCTTACACGTCCAGCTACCCACCCCGTGCCCCGCTCCGTCCTCCAGTTCCTCCAGTTCCGCATGAAGATCATCAACTTGAAGCTGGACCGGTTCCGAGACCGTGTGGAGTTCTCTGGGAACCCAAGCAAGTACGACGTGTCAGTAACACTGAGGAGCGTGCAGCTGGAGGATGAGGGGATCTACAACTGCTATGTCACCAACCCGCCCGACCGCCACCGGGGCCATGGCAAGATCTACCTGCAGGTCCTCCTGGAAGGTGAGGAAGGGGTGGGCTCTGATCCTCTCCAGAGTCAGCTCGGGGTGCGTGGGAGGCTGCCCACCCCCGAGGACAGAGGCACAGCTTGTGCTGAGTGGAAGGCACCCACTTTCTTCCTGCTGGACCTGGAGGAAACAGGTCACAGAGCCCTTAGAATGATACTGATCTCGATCACAACTTGAAAAGTAATAGTAGCTGTCGTTTATTGGACACTTACGATGTCTCAGTCTAAACTAAACTCTCGGCTGTATTTCATCTCATCCTCCTAACAACCTCACAAGGAGGAACAATTAGTATCCCCATTTCTTCTTTTTTTTTTTTTTTTTTTTTTTTATCTTGTGCTCTGATGTCAAGTATCTCCATTTCACAGATGGGGAAACTGAGGTTAGAAAGTTACCCAGGGTCACGCAGTTCATAAATCATACAATCTGGAGTCAAACTTAGGTCTCACTAATCTTAAAGTACAGCTCTTAAATACTTCATTCTAGTGACTCCTCTGAAGACTTTGTGGTGCCCTGGAATTTGGCCATGGGCATACTTAGTGGTCAGTTGCTCGAGTTGGTATTAAGCTTTGGCTAAAGTCTCCCTCCTACACTCACGTTCTATAGGGGAGCAGGGGTTGTGAAGGGGACCCTTCTTTGAGCCTCTGCTCAGTGAGTCTGCTTTCTTTGCCTCTCCAGAACCCCCCGAGCGGGACTCCACGGTGGCGGTCATTGTGGGTGCCTCCGTGGGGGGTTTCCTAGCTGTGGTCATCTTGGTGTTGATGGTGGTCAAGTGCGTGAGGAGGAAAAAGGAGCAGAAGCTGAGCACGGATGACCTGAAGACCGAGGAGGAGGGCAAGACAGATGGCGAGGGCAATGTGGACGACAGTGCCAAGTAACGGGGCCACCTGCAGCCCCCGTGTCCTGCCTCCTCCCTCTCTGCCCTATGCGTGTGACCCTGCCTGCCCTCTCTTGGTGTGCTTCTCCTGAGCAGGACCCCAGGGCACCCGGCCCTCCTGCACCCCTCACTCCCTACCCCACGCCCTGCACCGAGAGCGACACACTTCTCCCCCGGCGTCCTACCACGGCGTCCAGGATGTGTAGGCCCTGGGGAGAGGAGAAAAGGGGCTCCACCCTGCCAGGCCCTGAGAGGAGGCAGGAGGCATGTCTGGGGGTCCCCGAAAGAGGGTGGCGAGGGTGGGCAGTGGTAGAGGAAGTCAGCTGTCCCACACTTACGCACGGGCCCGGCAGTGGCTTCAGGGAGGACCTGGTGTGTGGAGGGAGGGCTCTGCTGTGCCGGCCCAGGCTCCCTGGAGAAGACCTTGGCTGTGGCCCTGCTGTGCCCCTTGGGCTCCTCCCAGCCAGAGCAGCCTTTCAGGGCTTCCACAGTGGGGTGCATGTTAAAGGGAGGATGTGCAATGCTATGATGTTACAGAAAAGCTAAGGCTGCACAAACCTTGGCCCGGGAGCTCTGCTTGGACCCTCATTTCCACTGTTAGCTGCTCTGCTGGAGGCTCTGTTTGCTGTCGGCTGCTGACCTCTTGGGGCTGTTGCTGAGGACGGTTCTAGAGAAGCAGCTCCAGGTGGGGCCCACGGACCCAGAGACCCGAGTCAGAGCTGGCTGAGGGCCTGGGGAGTGGGGCTCTGTCACTAAGAGGGTTGGCTTCAGGCTGCCTTCTCTGCCAGGGCCACCGCCCTTGCCTGGGCCAAGAGAAGCCCAGATTCGGGCCTTGGGTTCAGGCTTTTCCAGTGGCTCTCAGGAGGGCTTGCATCTGGCTTCGGCAAGAGGGAGGATGAGAAGGCTGGAGGGAAGTGTGAGAGGGGCCAGGGGGTCCCGAGCCCTGGGCCAGCTGTGGCCCCCTGGAGCCTGTCACTCGCTTCATTGCCTCTCTGTTCTGGCAGCTGTCTGTGTGGGAAGAAGGTAGCCCTTGTGGGAGTCGACTTTGACTGCCATTTTGCTCACGTTAAAATGGAATTGTTCAAGCCTGGACAGAGGGCGAGAGATTGGGTCAGGTACTGTGAGAACCTTCACAGGCTGGTCAAGTCTCCTACGACATGGATGTCCCCTGTGATGGAGACCGAGGGTCTGGCCTCCTTCTCCAGCACCTGGACCTCCATTCTGAATCAATAGAGCCATAATTTTCCTGGTGGGCGGCCTCTAGGGTCTGGTAGATGAGGGAGGTGGGGTGTGGGTGCTCCCCTAGCCCTGCCCCTCTCCCAGGAGCCCAGCCCCTGTCAGCTCAGGGAGTTAGGTGTCCAGAGTCTGGGAACAGAGGATGGAGACAGCAAGGGATGGTGACAGTCTCAGGGACAGTCCTGCCTCTGCCTATCAGATGGCCAATTTGGGGTGAGGGCAATATTATTGTACGAAGGATTCGGCTTAATTCATTTCAGTTCAACAACCATTTATTGAGCACCTTCTCTGTGTCAGGCACTGTGCTGGGTGCCAGGGACACAAAAAGCCATAACAGAATTGGAGACTCCCAGGTCAGCACTGTAGGATCAACATTAATTTTTTTTTTTTTGGGTGCATTTACTTTTGCCTTTATAACCATTGCTTCTAGGATGAAAGGTGAGAGGAAGAGACTCTAGAATGAGGGCCTTGGAAAGAGGGGGCCAGGTACAAGCGCAAACAGGGCTGCAGACGCCAGGCAGAGTGGGCATGGAGTCAGGGACAGGCGACCTGACAGAGACATCCGGGGTGAGGCGAGTTGGGCCCCAGGGAACCCTCAGCTCATCAGTTCAGTACCTAACTGCCAATCAACACACTGCCAATGGGGGTGGGCTGAGCCACAGATGCCTGGAGCAGGCGGGTGCTGCCTGTCCTTCAAGCCAACCAGCCGGGACCAGAGAGGTGGGTGGCAGGCACCTGGAGCCAGCTGAGAGCCAGGATGGTGGCATATGCTGCTGCAGCTGCCGGATTTTATTATTTAGGCACCTTGGACGTGTCCTCCTTTCCTAGGTAACCGCAGATCTGCACTGCTGTTGGGGAGTTTTCTTTTTCTAAGATTGTAAGATTTAGAGGTAGTATTTATGAGATTCCCTAGGTTCATTCTAAAAAGTTCTAACTCTCTTTCAAGACTGCTGAGTCGTGGCCTTCTCTTCCTGCCCCGAGCAGGTGGGGCCCAGAAAGGCCATGCCGCCCGTGTGTGGTCCCCAGGGGCCCGAGCTGTTCTTGTTCCAGGCACGTGGCCTCACATGTGGTTTCTTCCTAAGTCCCTTAGGCCCTTCCCTGGAAGTCTCAGAGCTGTGTCCCCCAGGGAACCGAGGTTGGGAGCAAAATGGGGCGTCTGTGAGCTGAGGTGGGAAGCCGGTGAGATGTTTGCACAGCTTTGCCCGCTTTGAGCTTATGCCAGCATGGGTGGCATAAGGGTGCCCTGCAGGGTGGGGTTCAAGCCCACTTCCAGCTGCCTGCGGCCATCCCTGCGCTCTGCTGGTTTCAGTCCGCTGGCTTCCTCCACCACCTGCGCCTCTCCTCCCTTAGACCCTTCTCTTCCCCATCTGTCTCTTTCTCCTAATTAAGGGCCACTGCAAAGAGAGATGGACTGGCTTACTCTTGGGGTTTAGCTTACAAGAACAAAGCACAATTTTTCAGGACTGAAATGCCTTGGGTGCCTTGGAACTGGCTTTGGAAATAGCTACCTGCCCCTTAGCTATGGACCCATCACAGTTTTCCCCACTTTATAAAAAGGGAAAGCTGATTGGATTCATATTTCTCTTCATGAGCCTCCTTGGAGACGTCAGGCTGGTAACTATTTACAAGGCTAGGTTAAGCATAAGCAGGTAGACAAGTGGAAATCCTGGCCATGTTCAAAAAGGTGGTCCCAGGCCACAGGAAGGGATGATAAATTGAGGAACTTTTCCTTGTACTCATGTCTTAAGGATAGACAGCCTGTGTCCCCTGCTGTACCTCCTGCTGGTGTCTTCCTCTACCGAAGCTTGCTGATGCATTTGCACTAGCCTCTCTGGATAGGTATAGATATATTATATACGCAAATAGAAAACATCTCACTGCGCCCGCCCTGAAGTTACACTGTGTGGGGAGGGGCAATCACTTCTCAATGCTTTGAGTTGATTCACCAAAGGCGAATTGTGGAATGTTTGTGTTGCTTTTTGTGCACTTGGAGGGGAAAATCCAGCTGTATAAGAAAAATTTATGCACATCTAGGTTTTACATCTGTGTAGTGGTTGGGAGGGGTGTCTGGAGAGGGGAGAAGCTCACAGGGTCCTTTGTGACCCAGCTGCTGGCTGGGATGTATCTGCTTCTCAGAGTGGACTGAGTTTCTTCCGTAGTTTGCGTGATTGCTTGTGTCTGTTGACTACAATAAACACACTGTCTCCCCCGAACATCTCTGGAGTGTGGCTTTTTTTCAGGAATGCAGAGGAGGGTATGTTGAAGCTTTGCCAGGAGCCCGACAGAGATCCGTGGGGCTCCTTTTCCAGATACAGAGATCCCTCATCTAAAGACTTCAAAGGGTAACCTACTCAGTTACACATGTTCCATCCATCACCTTCCCAGCACCTTGGTGGACTCTACCTGCCACGGGAAGCCCCCAGAACAGGGTGGCCTAAGTCCCACTTCTGGGAGGACTCTCAATTATTTCTGGGATGAAGACACCCCTTAAGTGCCCAAGCCTGACTGTTTGGGAGATGTTGCCTCCTCTTTCCATGGACAGATGGGCTGTTCTTCTGACTAGCGTCTGACTAGGCAGTCAGGCTTGTGCGGGCTCTGGGCTCCAGAAAAACAGGTAACAGCTGCTCGGTCTGCCCTCGAACAGCTCCACGGGGGAAAGTGGCTGGGGCGGGGGGAGTCAGGTGACATCCACATATGTGCTTCTGTACCCTATTTACATAGTGCTGGGTCAGCTTTGAGAAGACCAAGATGAAAGCCAACCCACTGGCTAGAGGCTCCCCATCCCAGAACACGCTCACACATGCACACGCACGCATGCACACACACATATACATACACACGTATGCACACACACCTTTGCTTAGGAGGCTGGACGGATAAGGAAGACTTCAAATGGCTGAATGGTAAGGAAATACTGGGCTGTTTCTCTCCTCTCTGCCTGCTCCCTGATGACCCAGAGGCCCTTACCTGTGGCCCGTGATCAGGAACACCAGGAATCCAAGAGGACCGCAGAACTAAAACCTAAAGCTACTACGGTTGCTTCCCGAGCAGATGCCAGAAAAGTGGCAGCAGCATTAAGCAAAAGCAGCTGGAACTTAGCAGGACCAATGGACCTCGGTGTAGAAAGATGTCTGGTCCCTGGAGCCCAGAGCAGTTCCAAGGATGGGATGTCCGGGAGGGTGTTTCGGTATCCAACAGATACCAAGAGTGAGGGAGGCAAGGGACATGGGCCAAGCTCTGGGGAGTCTGTTTGGTTCCTTCCAGGGTGAACACAGGACTCTAAAATTCAGCCAGGCAGCAGCATCTCCCTCACCTGGCTTTCCCCCAAGGATTTGAGGGGGCCGTAGAGAGGCAGGGTCTGGCTTCTGGGAAGCTGGGCTTGGTTCAAGTACTTCCCTAAACTAATTTGCTTTGGTCGGCTTGGGCTCTGGGTCAGGGTTAGTTTTGATCGCATCGTATGCTGACTTTGGAGGACAGACAACTCTTTCCCTGGTACTCAGAATTGGCCCCTGGCTTCAGTGTGCCTCAGCTAAGGCGGGAACAATCTCCACTGCCTCTTCACTAACCGATGGCATAGCCACAGTGAGATAGGGATCTGGGCTGGAAGGAGTTGGGAAGAGCTCCACGGAATACCTGATCCCATCACTGTCCTGAAGGAGAAACTGAGGACTAGAACTTGCCACATGCTGCGTGACACAGAAAGGCAGGATCTCGCATCACCATCACGTCTGTTGCTTTTCCAACAGTCCACACCTAGTGCTGGTCTAGCACACAGCACAGCGGAGCACAGCGGTACAGCCCAGCCCGGGCTCCTGCCTTCCCCTTCCCTGCTGTCCTGAGCTGAGCTAACAGAGGCCTTCCCTCACCTTTCCTTAAGGGCTCTGCTTTTTCAGAGAGGGAAAGCAATTTGCCTAAAGTCCCACAGCTGGCTAACAACCGGAACCAAGTCTCTTCCCTGGATGAAGACCTCCCTTGGCCCTCCTGCTGTCCATGGGGAGAAAGACACGCGTCTTTAGCCCCACTTTGTGGTTGCACGGGTACAGTGTTAATATGACTTCCGCATGTTGATTTGCATACAGGTCCCCACCCATGCCTCTCCCTCTCATCTTTCAGGGGTGGAGGTGCTGTCCAAATAGTTCAGATGAGAGAAGCAGGCAGCGTCTGCTGGGATGCAGCTTTGTCAGGACAGGAGGACAAGCCCACCAGGTCTCCTGGCCTTCTCAGTTGGTACCTGCTGGCAAGCTCTGTAGAGAGCCCTGGGAGCCTGCCTCCACTCTACAGAGTCATCCTCTGATGCTCGCCAGGTTCCAGTCATCCTTGGATTCCTGCTACCGTCCTAGTGCCAGGGTACTAAAAGCCTCCCAGGAGAGGATCCAGCTGCCAGGGGATGAGAGTCCCGGGGGCCTGGCCTAGGGATGCCCAACTGAGATTCATATCGTTCACCTGACAAGCACATAGATTTGGTGGAGAAGGTCCCCATGGGGTCTCGCCTAGAACTCCATTCCCCTGGAGGACGGGGGGTACCTCTGGCAAAAAAGGGGAGAAAGGGTGGAGGTGGTGGACAGATGAGCTGAAGCAGGACAGTAGAGGCGCTTGAAGTGGGGGACTGGGTGGCCTTTTCTCTGATAATAGGAACATTGGTGTACAGGAGGGAAAGGGGAAGGGACCCTGGACACTCAGCCAGGCTGCTTGGGATTCCACAGGACGGGCTCTCCCTTACAGCACAGGCAGGGTCACCTTTATCCCAGCCACAGCTGCCTCTGCTGCTCAGCTGGGACGTGTCCTGGGAAACAGACGGCCAAGGGATTAGGACCGAGGGGACCAGATTCTGCTTGCCTCACAGGTCGAGAGTCCTTCCTGAGGGCAAAAGGAAGGGAAAGAGAGCATGTTCAGTGGAAGGGGAAGTGGAGGTCACGGCGTTGGCCTGGGCTGTGTCAAAGGGGACAAGGACCAGACCTGTTCTGTTCTACTCCAAAGACTGTCTGGCTGAGGCAGCTATCGATCCAGTGTAAGCCAGAGCCGAGCAGGGTGGAGGGCTGAGTCTCTGGAGAAGAGAAAAGGCTTCTCTGCCTCCCCACCCAGCAGACACACTGTGTGGTCTCCCACTGGGCCAATCCTGTTGGTGGTTTTCACGTCCCTCCTTAAAGGGCTGGAGCATGATAGTTGGCTAGACCAACAGTAATAACCTTTTTAAAATTGGGGACCTATCCTGTGCCTGGCACTAAGTTAGGTATTTTATGTCCATCAGCCGACCTGACATTTCAGACAAGCCTGAAATGTGCCTTCCTTTCTCTTTCTAACAGGAGCAAACTGAGGTTCTGCTGTACTAAATACACATACCAATCAGGCAGCGTGGCCGAGAAATTGCCAAGGTCAACCCACATGCAGGGGTGCATGAATCCAGGCATCACACCCTACCAGGAGCAGGGACTGTGGCCTGGCTCGGCATCCAGAGACTGAGGGGCGGCGGGGAGCAAAGGCAGCTTAAGCCACCTTCATCCAACAAGACCGTGTCTGGGAGCAGGGGCCAAGCTTCCCACCCCTTCCTGACCTGTCCTTTGACTAGACTCCGTGCAGATAGCTGGGTCTCTGCAGCCGCTCTTTCCACTTGGCTTGTGGTTTCTTTCTTTTCTTACAGAAAGCCCGGGAATCTTCTTCACCTCTGGCTGGTTCTCTTTTGTCCCCACCTCTTCCCCTGGGCCTGAGCCACACTCTGACTTCTTCCCAGAAGTTTCTTCCCTGCTCCCAGGCCTTTCCCTTCCTCTCCTCTCCTAACCCACAATCTCCCCTTCCTAACTTTTAAAAGCTCACTCCTCCTGCACTAAAATATTCACAGGGGACAACTGGGACCCGAACGGTTAGGGAGTCCTGCCTGCCGCTCACACCACTCCGTGCTTCTGGCCATCGGTGGATGTGCTGGTCCCATGGGCAGTAGCTACAATGAATGGAAACCTCCCCAGTGCCTCCAGCCTCCACCTCCTGAGCCCCACTTCTCTACTGATAAGGAGTAGAGGGACAAGGACCCACGAAGCAGAGAGGTGAATAAAGCTTTGGGGTGCCAGGTAAGGTGGCTGAGACTCTACCCCAAGGGGCTTCAAACCCCACCCCAACGTGTCCCAAAATAAAGAGATGCCCAGGACTCACCCTGTCTCTGAGATGCACAAGCAAATCACATGCCTGCTCCTGGAAGTGGGCACACGCCCCTCTCCAGCTTGGGACTGTCCAGGGAGCATCTCTCTGGTCGGATGTTTAGCTCCCTCCTCCCTCAGCTCTCTTTCTTCCAATGAGCTCATCTGTCTGGGACTCCCCATCCCCCCTGGCCTGAGAGGTTGTTTGGATAGAACCTGGCAGGAAGCAGGAAAAGCAGAAGGGAAGGATGCAGAAGGTGGCTGCCTACCTGTCTGTGACCAGAGCCCTTAGGGAGTGGACATGAGTGGGAAGAAATGAAGACATTCCCGGGAGGTGGATTCAGAGAGAGTTTATCTGTACTCTAACTGGGCAGTGCCAGAGGGACGCTGGGAGCCAGCGCAGGCTGAAGGAGCCCTGCAGCAGAGTTCCTGGCCGCCCGCTGAGCCACGTGGCTGCGGGGTGGTTTGGTGCATGCTGTTCTGTTAACCCCCTCCGCACCTGCCAAACTTCAGTGGATGTGGAGACTTTGGCTCGGGCCAGAGGACACTCTGAGATGGAGGAGGGGACCAGGAGGGCCAGAGGACAGACCTCGGTGCGCTAGCTTGAGGCCCCCAAACATTGGTCCAGGTAATATCTGTGCAGCCCTGACCCAAGTGGCAGAATGATTTGTGGGCATTCAGCGCGGAGAATGTGCCTGCAGCTCCGTCCTGCAAGCCCAGGGTAGCAGGGTAGGTGAGGCGCAGAGGCGGCTCTTGGTGTTGATCTGGGGCCAGAGAGGAGCTGAGAGATGAGGGTATGGGGTGCGCTCCCTGCAAAGCCTACATATTCTGGCTCCAGGAACCAAGTCAGCGCTCTGCTCCGAGCTGCCTGGTTACCTGCAATGCCCCCATCGCAGCGCGAGGGTTTCTGGGGGAGGAGGCGGGGAGTGAGGCGGCAGGCAAGGGTGGCAGGGGAGTCAAAGGGGGCAGAGGCTCCCTGCCAGGCTCCTGCTACTTAGGAAGAACTCTTCTCAAAATAGCTCAGAGACCTGTCCATCTGGCATCTCCGTTTCCCTTCCTCGCTGCACCGGGTCTTGGGTGCGCGCTGGGCACTGCCCGGGAAGCTGTCGCCCATCCCCTCGCCCTGGTCACCTGAAGAAGGTGACCCTGCCCTGCGCTCTGTGAGGCTGCCGGGTTCGGCCCGTGACTGCCAGCAAACCTCCCCCTTCCACCGGTCCTTCCCTCGGCAGCCCCGGCAGCCCCGCCTGCAAAGAGACCTGCTTTCCTTCCTCAATCCAGTCCAGCCCCTTGGAGCAGCCCAAGGCGGGAGGCGACCTGCTGAGAGGGTTGCCAGCTTAGGAGTAGTTGTGGTAACTGCTTCAAAGAACCCCATGAAAGCATTGGATCTCCATGAAAGCCTTCTCTTCCCTCTGAAATCCAATCCTGTCTCTGCCTGCCTGAGAACCGACAGTTTTCTGGTGCTCCTCGGCATGGGCTCAGTCTATTTCTGCATCCTGAAAGCTTGCTTTTGGGGTGTTTCTGAGTCAGGGCACCCAGATCTGAGTGCATGACTGTATCCTTAGGAATCTGACCTGCCAGGCCACAGCAGGCAGACTCGTCCCCAGATCGCACAACCACCCTTCCTGGAGGGATTTTCAGCAGACATAGGGAAAAAGAGCCAAGCTAGGGGGACCCTTTCATATCCCCCACTGGCTAGGGCTCCTGAGCTGGGCAGAAGGGACTGAATCCACGAGGGTTTCCCTAAGGTGAGAGAGAAGGGACTCTGATTTTTGTCACCCTCTTTCCTGGTGTCCTCTGGAGGAGCCTCTCAGCTAGATCAATGGGCCAGGTTTCCGAGAATTTTTGAGAAAAGTGCTCCATAAATGTAAAAATCCTCTAGCCACTAATGCATTTCCCAAGCGCTTTTTCTGTCTAGTGGTGGCAGAGTCCTCCTGGTGCTCTTTAGAGGAAAACCGAATGTGTGGGATGGGAAAGCCAAATATGGGAAAGATTCCACCTCGGCCTTTACTGGTGACTTTCTAGGTGACCTTGGGCCACATACTGATTCTACCCCTCTGGGCCCATCTCTTCTTCTGAGACATGTGGACACTAAGGACGTTCCTAGGGACACTTCCAGCTCTGAGGAGCCTTGGAGCAGTGAGACCGGAGGGGAGAGGGCACCAGAGGAAACGCCCCCCCTTTCCTGTACCCAGCTCTAAAGATATCCCGAGCTCTGTTCCCTGCTTCTCCCCTTTCTGGTAGGGGTCACTTTCCTTACCTTTGGCTCACCTCCTTGCTCACCGCTGTCAGCCTACTCCTCTGAGAAACATGACCCTGTTGTAAAAATAAAGCAGGCGCTCAGGAAGCCAGCCCGGATAGTGTAGTGCAGGGACCTCCTGGGGGAAGGAGAGGGCGAGCCTGCAGCGCTGGACACAGGGTCAGGACTTGGGAGGCCACAGACTTCTTTGTGCTCAAATATACTGTGCTCATCCTGTGCCTTCACTTTGCTAAGCACTTCTCCTTGCAACAGCATCTCATCCAGCCTTCACAGCCAGCTCTGTCTCTGATGTTTGTGAAGTCGGGGGAAGCAGTATACATGAAAATGGCCAGTAGTCTAAATATGTTATAAACTGGGATGATTGTTTAGGAGACCTTCCATCCTCACCTTTCGTTCATATTTTCCTTTGTGATGACCTGGAAGACAAGATCTAAATTAGGACTTTTTAGACTACTCCTTGGTCTGTTCTCTTTGGTCCTGCAGCAACAGGGCTCTCATGCAATCTGGGAATGCTCCATCTGCACGGCAAGTTCTGTCCTTTCCCCATCACCTGCATGCAGCTGGGCCTTGGTGCATGCCTGATGTGGTCAGCGTTCACAGGGTGGATCTGGAAAAAGGCTGGCGCAGGGTTTTGGGAACAGAACAGGGAATTCCAGGGTCCCAGGTCTCGGGTACAGTCTACAGGGGGAGGAGTTGCACACCCTACCTGGTCCTTTGGATTTATTGTCCAAGGAGGAGGAGCATGGCCAGAGGAGGGTGAGCAAGAGAACCTCTAAACTCCAAAGGTCAAAGCTGAGGGTAATACACACAATATGATAAAAAAAAACCCCCTATGTTGAATGTTTAAATTTTTAAAGTATAGTAAAAGAGACATTGCCATTGATGCTCTTGAAATACATCCCCGTTTGGGCTGAAATTATAGCTCAGTGGCACAGCACCTGCCTGGTAAATGTGGGATCCTGAGTTGATTCCTGATACAAAAAAACCCAAAACAAACAAAAAAATCCCTGTTGCTTCAAATGCACTTATCCAGTTGTTCTGTGCCACTTTCTGAAGCAGTTCTGAAAGCATCTTGTAAGCATCTTTAGTTGGCTGTAGTGGCTGTCTCAATGCCCCAAACAAATTCAAAACACTTGCCTTTCTCAGTCATTTTGACCTTAAGGAAGAAAGAGAAGTCTCATGATGCCAGACTCAGTTGCTAAAGTGGATGAAGATATATTGTAATTTTTTTTTTCGTAGCTGCCTTTCCATTGGGTGAGACTTGGCAGCAATATTCACAGTATTTTATCAGACTTAGTAATGACACTCATGAAAAAGCACTTGCAGAGCTGCTTCAGAAAGTTGCAAAAGCAATGGGATACGTATTGAAGTGGAGAGGACTGCTTGAGGTGATTAATGGCAATGCATCTTTTACTGTAACACACTTTTATTTAAACATATACTATTTTTTTGATCATCCCTCACGATAATTAAGTGATTGTGTCAGTTTGAGTAAGAAACACCCAACTAGACAGGATCAGCATGGTTCTGAGTGTGAGTGAGATTTCCGGAAGACAGAAGACCCCCTCCATGGCTGCTTGTTGCTGAATGCTATAAAGGAGATCTGAAGAAGGAAAGATTCTTTCTGCTTCTTTGGAGCAGCTCCTGTCTTCACCCTTACCTTGGACATCATCTTCGCCTTCTGGCACAGACCCTTTGGCTTCCTGGCACAGACTCACATGGGACATTTCGGGTCTCCAATGTGCAGACAGACTATTTTCGTGCTTCCACATCTGACTGCTAAAAGTCAATCTTATAAATTTTATATGTTTGTTATATCTTGCATTAGTTTGTTACCTTGGTGAGCACTGACTAATACATCGCTTATATTGCTTTTGACAGTCCTAGAAGGTGGATATTGAATTGTCCACCACCTAGCGGGTGAAAAGCAAAGACTTCTCAAGAAGGTTGTGTGACCTGCCCAGGGTTCTACATTTACTACAAATAACGGGGTCACCAGAGCCACCCTACAGCTCTAACATGGATACAGGAGAAGGTGGTAAAGCCTTCATCTCCAGGGTCCTGGAGGGCTCAACCCCAGGGACCCACGCTGAGAAGGTGGGTGGCCAGTGTGTGGCCTGCCTCCAGTGGGCTGGACCAGGAAGCAGGGGCGATTTCTAAGCTGGGGCAGTTCTCCGGACACCAAAGAGGACCTGTACTGGAGGGAGGCCTGGATGCTGGGCAAGGGTGCTGAGGAGGACACCCATGGTTTTAACTGAAACCCCCTTTTAAGGTGTTCTCTGAGGTGGTCCTTCTAACTCAGGGCTGTCTGGGAAAAGACTCCTTGGTTCCAAGTGTCACCTCAGCCCTCTGACTTGGTTATGACTCTGGGTTCCTTCATAATGTTTTAAAAGAAGAATTTCTGCCAGTGGGTTCTAAGTTTCTGTGCGGGGGGGGGGGTGGAGTACGTGACTGTGGGGGATGGCTTAGGTGGGGAGGAGGAAGGAGGGGAGAACTTTGGGGGTGTGTGAAATGGGGCGCAGGCCACATACCGCCAAACGCAGATGGGTTAGCACTTAATCAGCTCTTACACCAAGAAGAGAGTAGGTGAAGCAGTCCTGGAGCTTGGTGGGCTACGGGCAGCGGCAATACGTCTTGGGAAGCTCCATTCTCCGTGCCCAAAGCAACCTGCAGGGCTGATGAGCCGCGCGGCCAAAGGCGGGGCGCGGGTCCCCGGCTGCAGGCGCCCCGCCCGCGGGTGGCGGGCACACGCCCACCGGCCGCGGTGGAGCCGCTGTGGACTCGTCCCTGAGGACGGAGTAGCGACGGCCAGTGTTTCCCAAGCAAAACAAGTCTTCCCACGTCCAAAAAAGCCCCACCTCTACTCCGCGCTAACTGCGCTCCTAATTGGCCGCTGGGCGGAGCCTGGGCTGCTGCAGGAGGCCGAGGGCCAGCCCCGCGGTGCGGAACCGCTGCAGCCCAGCCCGACTGGAGAGGCAGCGAGGTGCCCATGCCGAACCCCGGGCTCCGGGACCGCGAGGCGGGGCGCGCGGCGCAGGGAGCCCAGGGACCAGGCGGTGGCAGTCGCCCCTCTGGCGGCTGCAGCGCTTCCAGGGCAGAGGCGCAGCCCGGCTGGAGGCCCCGCCCCTCCTCCCGGCGCGGCCCCGCCCCTCCTCCCGGCGCGGCCCCGCCCCTCCTCCCGGCTCCCGGCTCGCGGCTCCGCCCCCTCCCCCCTCCAGCCCCGCTCCCTCCCCTCGCCCTCCGCCCGCTCTCCGCGCTAACTTTCCGGAGCCCCGAACGGCGGTGCAGAGCTCCCGGCAGCTGCGGGCCCGATTCCCGGCCTCTGGCGGGGAGAGCGGCGGTGCCCAGTACCCCATCCCCGCGCTCTGCAGAGAACAGGACGATGTCCAGGACTAGGGACCGAGGCAAAGCCCTGGCGAGATGGCTGGGCACTGGGCTTTTGGGTAAGACGGCCCCAGCTTGGTGCTTTCTCTCGCCTCTTCCTCCCCCTTCTTCCCCCAGAGGGGGGGCACTTGCGAAGAGGGGTGCCGCGGACCGGGTGGGTGTTGGAGTACTGCACGGAGAGGGCACGGTGCCCACTGTCTTCCTTTCGGACGCCGGGCTCCTCTAAGGCTGTGTTGCCCGGGGACCATGCGTGCCCCCTCACACCGTCAGCCAGTCTTGAGATGAGTTTTTTTTTCTCCTTTTTTTGCAGTCTCTGGCGCCTCGAGCTTCAGACGTTTGAAGCTGCAGTGGAGGTCTCCCCAGTTGCTAGTTGCGAGGCTCAGGCATGCTGGGGGAGGAGGGCTGTGCCTCGGGTTTAGGGGATACCGGGGGCTTGCACGTGACTGTTAGGATGGTGGATTCCACCCCTGCCCAGAGTTGTTTGCAAAGGCATCAGACATAAACCGGTGGGAGGACAGGGGCTCATCGTCCTCTTGGGCCCTTTTCCTGCTCGCCTTCTTAACCTTCTTCAGGGCTGCTGCCCCGTCCCTGCAGCTCCGCTCCAAACATTGGACAGACGTGGAGGACCATTGTAAAGCCAACTTTTAGGAAGGACCTTGTCTGTCTTCCTGTAGAGATCCATAGGGAAAACCTACGGGAATAAAGAGCCCCTGCTCTTCATTTTGGTGACTATGAAGACGAAGCAGATGTGTCCAAGGGACAGGAGGAAAGAGAGTATTATTAATATCTATTAATATGCACATGATAGCTCTGAGTGGTAAACTCGGAGATTAGGGAAGGATATTTATTGGTCCAGAATGTAACCTCATAAATCATAGCCAGACTTTGGTAAGCCGACTCCATCCCTGGCACCTGTGCCTCTTCCTGTTTATGTTTGTTAGATTTGGCTTTGGCAGCTTCCCCCGCTGGGCACATGGAAAGGTGTGCACAGAGGCCTTTGTGGGAAACCACTGCTGCGTCTGTACCTGTGGACTATACGCAGATCTGTCCTGCAGGTACCTGCCGGTGGAGGGGCCTGGAGCATTTCTTTACTTCTGAGCCACTTTTTAGCCCTGCCGCGAGATAGAAGACACTGTGTTTCTCCTGTCCCTTGGGCATAGATGCCCTGCAAGTTTCCCAGTGACCCTAATGAAGTTGGCCTCTTAGAGATGAGGCTGTTTTTCACGGGATGGACACAGTGCCATCCATGTGAATTCCCCATTATCGCCTCTCAGATACACCCTGGTCACTGCTGTGACCAGCCAGGTAAGGGTTCCGTGGGCACTGAAACTCATCCAGTTGGTAAACTACTCTACTGTATGCCGTGGGCTGCCTTGCCTGCTGTGCCGGCTTGGCTGTTGGGGTGCCAGGCTGTGGGCTGGTGGAATATTCATAGAACTAGGCTTCTGTGGAAGCTTGGGAACTACATGTGTGTGTGTGTGGGAGTGGGGCACACTTGGTATGTTTGTCCAGGCGCATGCCCCCACTTCCTGCAGGGATGCCCTACTGAGTAGATGGGTAGGGGCAGTCCCACTGAGGCAGGTTTGGATTACTACCTAAATTTCCCTCTGGGAGCCTAGAACAGAGCACAGTGATTAGTAGGTAGGAGGCCAGTGGTCCCCAGAACTGGGCCTGATTCCCAGCCCTTGCCCCCCAGGCAAGGACAGAAGGACAACAATCACGGCTTCCCTTAGAGCTTTGCCCAGAGAGCCCTCACAGAGGCCCCGCTCTGAGCTTGGTCCAGTAGCAGAGATGCAGAGAGGACTAGAGCTGTTCCTGGGAGCATTGGAGTGGGCAAGGGCTTTAGAACCATGAGAACCACAGAGCTCTCCTAAGAACAAGGAAGCCGTGGTCCAGACAGAGACAGTGGCTTGTCCGTGGCTACAAGGTTAACTGATGGACCAGTGGGATGGAATCCAGGCCTCTTAGGTTTTGTCTCCCAAGCTGCCTCCCAGTTTCCAGAAGTCTGGTGAGGGAAAGTCAATGGGAAATATGTTTAGGGCTGGAGGATGAGGCTCTGGGGCATGAGAGGGAAGGAAACCGTCTTTGTGGAGAGGCCCAGTGCTGCCATTTTCACAGCTGGGGAGCAGGAATTCCCAGGAGTCTTCTTCCTCTGCTGCCATATCAAACTCAGCCTGGCACACTCCAGTGATTTTTGATAACCTGACACGATGCCATTTTCATAGACCGAGAAGCAATTCCCAAGGCCATACCGGTGCAGCTGGGGTTTGTGGGGCTCCAGACTCCTCCTAAGCATGTAATGTATCTGTTGTGCCCACCCCTTCGTTGTTCCCTGATTTGCTTAATTGCTGTGATCTGTGTTTAATTACCACTTGTGAGGATGCTGTGTTGCACAACTCTCTTTCCCTTGGTATGTATTTATTAAGAGCTTGTTTAATGAGAACACAATTAAGGAGAGTATGCTCAGTCCCACTCAGAAAAAAAACATGGCAAGCGTAAGCCAGGAGTTCCTGGAAAAGTGGAGGGTACAGTGGAGTCTTGGGTTTGGGTCTGGAAAGGGTGGTTCTCGTTCTAAATCTGGAAGTGAGGCCTGCAGGGACCAAGAGAAGGCTGAGGAGTCCCGTGGCTTTTCTAGCTGGCCTGGCCAGCTCCCGGTGGGATCAGCATGACAGGTAACTAGTCTCATGACCTGTCCCCCTCCCTATCCCCCACTGTGGCTAGCTTTGGGATGGGGGATACTCATATAAGCCATGGATGGGCCAACCTAACACAGATCCTGGGCTCAGTGGCCAGTAAGAGGAGGGACAGGAACACTGAACTTGTTTGCAAAGCCGGTGTCACTGAGCACTGTCTCAGGGGCATGCTTCATCCCTGCAAAGCTCCTGGGGGTGCGCAGGAAGCAGGCAGGTTGCCTAGGGAGAGAGAGCTGAAATCTTTCCTTTGTCTCTGGGCTCAGGGGCCTTGCCCAGCCCAGCCTTGAGCCTGCCATAGCTCCCAGGGCCTCACCCCAGGAAGGGGCCCCTCCTGCTGGCCTCGGCCCACTTTCTGCTTCCCAGCGCTAACTCTGAGCATTCGAATTCCCCCAGGCCAAAGTGTCTCAGCCGAATTTCTGCTCACCAGGCCGCCATGCAGCCAGTGCTGTCAGAGCTAAACTTAGAGTGGGTGCCATCCTGCCCTCTTTCTTCCTCACGCCTCAGGGTGGGTGCAGCGGATCCCCTGATGTGGGAAAAGGTGGTGGGGTGTTGGTGCCTGCCTGGTGCTGGCCTCGGACTAAATGGTTGCTGTTAAGAGCCCTGCTAGTGTGAATATTTAATAACATTTGCAAGTGCTGATTTTGGGTGGTACTAGAGGCCTTTTCACTAAGCTGCAGCCTTAGCTTTTTAAATTTATTCCTATTTATTTTTATTTTTAGACAGGGTCTCACTAAATTGCCCAGGCTGAGGTCCAACTTTTGTTCCTCCAGCCTCAGCCTCCCAGAGGGCAGAGGGTACAGGATGTATACCGCTAGGCCCGGTGAATACTTCGACAAAACATGAGAATCCTCAGTCTACGTGTAGATGAGCCCCAGAATCCAGATGAGAGTGTCAGGGGGCTGAGACCTCAGAAGATGACACGGACATGGCTGCTGAGTGGCCAAGTGGTGCAGAAAGGCAAGGCTGTGGCTCCTGCGATCCAGCTCCGGAAGCCCATGAGAGGGTAGTGGTGGTGGTGGGCAAGGTCTTTTCATCACGTTCACAGTGCCAAAACAGGCTGGCTGGCCTTACACCAAACACACACACACACACACACACACACACACACACACACGCGCGCGCGCGCCTTGGCTGTCTAAAGAGCTGAGTTTAGGACCAAGCAAAGTCCCTTACTTCAGGGAAATAGCCCTGTGGAAATAATCCAAGATGTGGTACAGGGCCAAAGTATAGATCAATGTGTGAGTGGCCGGGAGACATATTGACTGGTGCTGGTCATTAAAGGAAGCGAGGGACGCCCTGGTTATAGTCAAGTCTGTGATGGGCACGGCCCTGTCCCCCTTTTCGAACTCCATTCTCTGCTGTGGCAGGTGCTCACTCAGACACCTGTGTTGTGTTTTACAGTCTCTGTTCTGGCTTCCCAAGGGGCTCAGGAGTAGGAAGTTTACAGCCACCCCTGTGCTGGTTTAGGCCACGTGTGCGGGATGCAGTGTCTTTGACTTGCTCAAGGTCGGGAGCAGAGTAGAGTGGGTCCTGCCTGTGCAGCTGACCAGTCCTCTCTGGATCTGGCCATCCTGCCGAGCTGCCTTCAGGGGTGCGTGGAGGGGGATCAGCTACTCTTGCGGCACAGCCTCACAGGTGAGATGGGGTGTGGAAGGCAGGCACTGGGCCTTCCTGGACTGCCCAACACCCAGCGGGGTGGGTTGTGTGCTGTAGAAACCAGGCTTGTCTATATTTTCTGATGCCTTAACCTGGGCAGGGCCCTGGACACTGAGGAAATAATTTCTGACGGTTTCTTTTATCTCCTCCAGGCTGTGGAGGAAATGACAATGTTTTGCTAGAAAGTCCTGAGTGTATTAGAGTTAAGTCATCTACATCAGGCAGAAATGCAGTGTCGTGAGCCGACCGTTAAAAAATACCATTCTCTGTCCCCCCCCCCCCCCCATTTAAAGTCTTTCCTCTTTGGTGTGATTCTTTTATTCTCTTGAATGACTTATGTGGCTGCAGTTGACTGGGGTTGGGAAGGAAAACTTGGCCCCTGAAATCTTTCTTCTCCAGGATCTTGGTTCTCTCCAGGGCCAGGGTGAAATGAACATTGGAATGGCAGCTGCTGTGCTCCCCAGATCCCTGAGGGAGCCTCTTTTCCTGAGTGCTTCCCTTCCCTTCTCCTGAACCCCAATCCATGGATCAGTCGATCAGTGGTCTGTGGGGGCTCTGGGAGGAGTCAGGATTGGAACTGGGGTCTTTCACCAGGAAGGCATCCTCTAGGGCCGTCCCCCCACGCCCCCTGCAAGGAGACTGGAATCCTGTGGCTGGCTCCTCCGGCCAGGCCCCTGGGAGAGGTGAGAACCAAGGCAGGCAAGCTAAAGGAAAGGGGGGAGTTCCGAGGAGCACTAACCCCCCCGCCCCGAACCATTCTGGAGAGGTGAAAAGCCACATCTTCCCAATGCTGTGGACACATTTCTCAGGTATGCTGTAGTAAGCTAATCTCTTTGAGGCCATTTCTTCACTTGTATATTGGAAATAAACAATAACTACTTAATTGGATTATGATGAGGGCTAAATGAGACATGAAAGTGCCTGTCCTTTATGTGGTAAACACCGTTTCCCACTGACCCCTCGGCAAGTCACTTCACCTCTCTGAGCTACAATTTTATCATCTATAAAAAGAAAAAAAATTGTACCTACCTTGTGGCATCCTATTGACAGTTGGAATGAACATGTTTGAGTCCTTTAGTACAGTGGTTCTCCAGATGTGGTCCCTGCCCACAGCTTTTCCTGAGATGCCACCTATGGGGCATCAAGGTGGACTTCCTGAATCAGTGGCTGCAGCTGCTGGGCCTGGCTACCTGCACCTGTCTTCCAGGCCATCTTATGGCCTTTCATGTTTGAAAGCCACTCACCCCGGCAGCAATTCCAAGCATGCAGGAGCTGACCAAAGAACCAGGATCAATAGTGACACTTTTTGTTTTTTGACACTGAGGTCTTGCTCTGTTGTCCAAGCTGGTCTCAGAGCCTTGGACTCAAGTGATCCTCCCATCTTAGCTTTCTGAGCGGCTGAGACCACAGGAATGGCACATGCCACCGCACACAGTTAAATGGGGACTCAGTGATTACCTTTTCAGGAGCCCTAGGGACAAAGCTAGCTATTTTGGGATATGAGGAGGTATTTTCTTGTTTTGGTACCATTGGATTCTGGAAATATCTCTCTCACAGACTTTAGGACGGTTACCTAACTTCACCTCTATTAGGGATTTAAAACGGATGTGAGGATGATGCGTGCCAGGCCTATAGTAAACTGCTCAATAAATACCAGCTATGGGGCTATTATGGACAGTGACAAGGATCATTAGCGAGTTCCAGGACCATGGGGTTGATTTCTGAGCTGCGGTGGTGGTGGTTAGGGTTAGGGTCTGCAAGGAGCACTGCATTTCACCTCCAAAATCAAAGAAGACTCCAAAAAGGCAGGAGACCTCTGCCTAGGGGCCGGGCTGCCAGTGCTCCGTGGAGCTCCTTCCCTGTCTTTCAGAAAGCTTTGCTCAGAAGCACCAAGTGTCTTCATCTCCTGTGGGTAACACAAGAGGAGACTGATGTGTGATGCAGCACGAGGGAGTTAAGTTAGACGCGGAGAGGATGGCAGAAGATGCTCTTTTCCCCTGGGGGGGGGGGAACGAGAGCTAAACGCCCTTTAGGGTCCCTCCTCCCCCCAATGACCTTGAGGCAAGGCGAGGCGAGTTTCCTTGAAGAGTGCGCAAACCAGGGTAGACCGGGAGACCGGGTGGTGCAGAGGACGGAGGAGGAGGAGGAGGGGGAGGAGGAGGGGGAAGGGAGAGGGACAGGGGGAGGAGGACAAAGGGGGCGCCAGGGGGCGCCTCGCCACGCGTGCTCTGCGGAGCGGCGCGGGAGCCGCAGGGGCGTCGCTGCGGTTCCCGGGCTGAGCGGGCGGAGTGTGGCCGAGGCCGGGCTGCTCTGGATCAGGAGCGGGCAGCGGTTGTGCACAGCTCGTTGCGAGTCCAGCTGCCCGGCGTGCCTCTGCCTTCTCCGGGACTGTGCGCGGAGCGCGGCGGCCGAGTTTCCTCCGTCTCCCCGGGGACGCCGCTCGCTCCCATCCCCCAGCCCCGAATGCGGCAGACCGGAGGAAGAGGCTGCCCACTTTAGGGGAAATTCCCACGCACGCGGAAGAGCGCCCTCCCCGCTGCTCCTGGGTGCGCTCGGGGACCCGTTCCAAGGGAGGGGGCGGGGCGGGGCTTGGAGTCTCCGCAAGGCGAGCGGAGCCTCCTTTTCTTCGGTTGGAGTGACCCCTGGTGGTCATCCGGAGCGTCACAAGGGCAAATGAAGGGTCCAGAATTCAATCCCTGGGGCGAGGAGGAGAGTTATAGGGGTGGCCCAGGGAATAGCAAGTGGAATAAAAAGAACTGTCCTGCAGCAGTGGACACCGAGGCTCACAGAGGCCTCCCTGCCTGCCAAGAGACTCCTCAGCCCGGAGATTTCCGTGGAGCTTTTTTAAGGAAAGGCCGTGCCCCTTCTACAGGTCTCCTGCTACTTCCCGTGTCCTTGTCGCTGGAGGTGTCTGTGGGGAAGGCCACCACCATCTACGCTGTCAATGGCACCGAGATCCTGCTGCCCTGCACCTTCTCCAGCTGCTTTGGCTTCGAGGACCTTCGCTTCTGGTGGTCCTACAATAGCAGTGACACTTCCAGAATTGTAAGTCGTGGCAAGACGGTCGGGGCAGCCTAGACGGCTTCTCTCTGTCCCTTTCCCGTGCATGCGTCCCACCCCAGGTGCTGGCCCTTCAGTCTCAGCCCCTTTATGATGGGCCCCAGAACCCTGCTTTTGATAGCTCTTTCCAAGTATTCCTTCCAGACAGACTGAGGTGGAGTGCTGCTTAGGCAGTGTTGCAGGACTTGCGGCTGTTGGAGTACCGGGCTGGAGTCCTCTGTCTGGCCTAAGGAAATCCCTGGAACGTTGTAATCTTAGCACTCGAGGGCCTGAGGGAGAAGCGTCGCTATGAGTCTGAGGCCAGACTGGATTGGAGAGCCAGACCCTGTCTCCACCAACCAACCATCCAACCAACCAACCCACCCACCAACCAGGAATTTGCATTATGTGAAAATTAATAGTTTAGTGGAATAAACAAGAAAGAGATCACTGGGCGGGTTGGAGACAGAGTGAGCCGGCTCTGAATGGGGGAAGGATAGGGGGATTGGACCTGGAGGGGAGGAGACAGGAAGTGGGGGAGGAGCCGAGTGGCTACAAGCACTGCCCTGGGGTAGGGAAGGGTTGGGGTGAATCAGCCAGCAATTGTGTACTGAGATCTCTGCACCCCAACAGGGGTCTGCCCTTGGGTAACACGGAGAAGCCATAAGAGCCCAAGCTCTCCTTGGAGTGGACTTAAGCACAGTGCTCTTAGGATGCCACTGGATAAAGGGGCTGGGGATTTAGCTCAGCGGCATAAGTGCCTGCCTTGCAAGCAGGCAGTCCTGAGTTTGATCCCTGGTACCGATTAAAAAAAAAAAAAAAAGAAAGAAAGAAAGAAAAGGATGCCACTGGATGGAGCTGTGGCACTGACCCGGGTCTAGGAGGGCTAGAATTTAGTCAGGAAGGGGACATGGAGTCGGAAATGCTGGGTGGGAAGTGTAGAGGGGAACCCTTGTGGTATCTGCAGGTTATTGTGTAAAAGGCTTTTATGGATAGAACAGTAAGATGCATTCTGCCTTTCAGGGGTCCTTAATGACAGGAACTCAGCAGAATTCAGATTTGACAGGTGCAGCTGTTGACATTGGCCCCCCGCCCTGCAGACTCTTCCTGGACCCAGACAGGACAGGCACCCATGGGGGGTGGAATGATGCGTAGCCATGATCCCTCTCGTCCTTTCCTCCTACCTCCCAGCTTATAGACGGGACCGTGAAGAATGAAAAGTCTGATCCCAAGTTGAAGTTAAAAGACGATGACCGAATCACTCTGGTGGGCACCACTAAGGAGAAGAAGAACAACATATCCATTCTGCTGAGGGACCTGGAGTTCAGTGACTCAGGCAAATATACCTGTCATGTGAGGAACCCCAAGGAGAAGGACCTCGAGCACCAGGCCACCATCATCCTTCAAGTTGTGGATAAATGTATGCATGGGGACCAGGAGCAGGGCAGTGGGATGGGACAGAGCTGGGGGAGCCACCTCACTGGCTTTTTCTTTTGCTTTGCACTTTCCAGAGTTATTATAATTTCACCTGGGCGTTAGAAAATTCAGTTTGAACTCTTCTGCTACTGAGTAGCCTGTGAAATATGCTTAGCCTCTCTGAGCCTTGTTTTGCAGGACAGTAAAATGGGACCGTGGTTGCATTCATGTAGGGTCATTTTAAGAGTTAGAGGAATGAGCTAGGAGCAGGTAGTAGCCAGCCAAGCCCTCTGTTTATGTACTGGTCATTGCTGCTGTTTGTGTTTATGTCTGAATGTTACAAACAAATGCTGTGGTGATGCAGTGTTCTTGTTTGAGGAATGTGCAGTTCTGGTTAGCACAGAAGACCCGCACAGTTGCCTGAAATATACCTGTGTCAGGGGCAAATGCAAAGGACGGTCCTTCCCTTCTGGGAGCTTGTCTCCTACTTGGGGGGGGGGGTTTGCAGTCTGACACAGGTGGGCCAATTAGGGTGCCTGTGATAAAGATCCAGGAGGTCACATGACCCCCAGAGAAGCAGGGGATAGACCGGAACCAAGGAGAAGGAAGGGGGCGCTGCTCAGGGGTCTGGATCCTGCTGCCTTCCGTGTGGGTGGCACAGAGTGCCTGGAGAGCAGGATCCTGGGAATTCAGTTTTGGTTGTGTTTTTGAAGGCAGGTTTTTCTGAGCCTGATGTCATCTAAGTGAGCTCTGAGTAGGGTGTCACCTCTTGCTGTCTGCTGGTTCTGGTCTTTGTCTTTTGTGCTCAGCCATTTAGAAGGAGGAGAAGGGGAGAATACGGGGTGTTTTGGGGTACTGGTGACTGAGTTAGCTGCTTTCACTCACCTTAATTCCTTTGCTCCCCATGAAGCCCCTTCAATTTCTTCTTTCCATATTTAATCAACAAATACTTACTGAGCTCCTGCAAGCAGTGGATACTGTTGTGGGTGCAAGGGTGCAAGGTGGCAGGCTTATTTCTGCCAGGGGAGAGTGCTCTCCTGCCTTGCTAGTCAGTGAGCGACACCATTCAAGAGCAAACACCTGTGATACCAGCCCGTGGGAGACTGAGGAAGGAGGAGTTTTGAAGTTGAGGCAAGCCAGGGCTACCTAATGAGCCCCTGTCTCAAAAAACCAAAAACCAGGCCTGTTGTCAGATTATAGTGTGTGAGGGAACTTGGATAGTGTTGTGGAAAAAAAATCAAGCAGCAAAGGAAGAAAGGAGTTTTTAGGGTGGCCGGGGAAGGCTTCCCCGGAACGTTTGCAGGACGTGAGACCAGAGCTCCTTTTGTGAAGATGCCTTTCACATAGGGAAAGGTAATGCAGGTTTCATGTGGCAATTTGAGGGTCAAGTTGTGACCCGAACCTGGTCACAGGTGAACTCCAACTATGAACTCCAATTCTGATTAACTCGTGCATTTCAGGGTGAGCGGGGAGCCTGTGTGCCGTGCGGGTGAGGGAACTTCCCGTGCCTTAGTTGGTGGGTGCCCTGCCTGCCAGCCCTTGTGTCGCCCTGGTGCTGGCTCCAGGTGACTTCTGCTCTTCTTTTCTTTCCCCACTCTCTCCTCCCTTCTTTGGCTGTGCAGTGGAAAAAGTGGACAATACGGTGACCCTGATCATCCTGGGCGTGGTGGGCGGGGTCATCGGACTCCTGGTCTTCATCCTGCTGCTCAAGAAGTTCATTGCCTTCGTCCTCAAGAAGACGCGTGAGAAGAAGTGAGTTGACCTCCCCCTCGCACCCCTGTGTTGCCCTGCGAGGGGCAGTGAGGGTCAGGTTCTTGTGGATGAGGAGGGAGAACCCGCTCAGCCTGCCCCCTGCAGCACCTGTGTTCTCTCGTGGGCCCGGCACTCTCCTGGGTGCTGATCCTAGCTTGTGTCTCTCTTAAGATAAGAAAAGCAGGAATAACCTCCTGGCTTTCAGTGCCCTCATCCTGCCATCGGCCTGCAGCTTCCCCTCTGTGCTCTGTCCACCCTGTCTCCTCACCCTCCTGCTGTCTGAGCTGTCCTGTAACTGTGTCCCCGTCTCTCAGTCCCTCTCCTCTCCTCTCCTCCCAGTGTGCAGCCACCGAGTGCCCTGATTTGGTTAGGAGCCTGAATACAGGTCACTTCCACCCCACCCCGCTGGCCTCTCTTTCCATTTGTCCACCAGCCCCAGCGGCCTATCAAAGTACTCTGGAAGCTGTTTTTTTTTTTTTTTCTTAAATCAGAGAAAATGTGCATTTGTGTACAGAAACTCTAAAAGGGAACCCTTCTAGGGAGATGGAAGTCTCTTACTCTGAAATTCTGAAAACTCAAGTAGGGAGATAAAGGGAAACACAGGCTGACCTGGCCTCCCATGAACCCTGGGATAAGTTCAGTGGTGAAAGCCTTGCCTGGTAGACTCAAAGATCTCTTCCAAACCCAGCACCAGTAAAGGTAAATGTCCTTATTGGAAGGAGAAGAGAGAGAGGTGGGGACGAAGAGTTCAAGCCCAGCTCCAGAGTTTCTAGAACTGTGTCAGGCAGGCTTCAAAGCAGCAGGTGGTGAATCTTGCAAAGCCAGGAAAAGACCAGAGGTGAGGAGGCTGACCTTGGAGTGCCAGGGCCATGGTGACTCAGGGATGCCAAGAGGTCTGCTCTGCTCCTGCTCTGCAGAGTCAGATGGAAAGGGCAGGACCCCCCCATGAGAAGGGAAGGACGCTGAAGACAAAGGAGGGGACCAGGGCAGGGAGCAGGAGGGCCTCAGGTCCTTGGCAGAGACTAAGAACTCCAGAGGGCAAGTCTGCCTGCCCTGTGGCCAGGGGCTATGACCATTTTGGCAGTGCTGAGAGGGACAGAGCTTGCCACACAGCTAGAAGTGATAGAGCTAGGCTTCAAGCTCTGACTTACTTGGCTTCAGCACTAAAACCATTGTTACCACGTCCTATTGACTTACTGAGCATATCTACAGTTCATTCCTTCATTCATTTGGTAGCTGTTTTTGAGGTTCTGTACGCAAGGCACTGTGCCAGGTGATGACCAGGCTTTGCTTTTAATAACCAGTCCTACTGTCCATGGTGAGCTAAGCCCGAGGCTATATCTTTCAACATACAGTTTTACATGGCCTTTGGGGCCATGGGGCGTGCTGGACTGGGGGTGTCAGGTTCATTAGCAGAGGAGTTGTCTGACATGCACCCTGGGTCCCGTTCCCAGCACCACAAAACAAAAATGCAAATCAAAGGAGATGGAAAAAGAAAAAAATGGCCTGCTCAATGTTTCCTTGCTAGGACACTGAGAGGCCAGACTCTTACAGATAGGAACTGTCATAGTTACTTTCCCTTTGCTGAGATATAGCACTTGAGACCCACAACTTAAAGGAGGAAAAAGTTTATTTTGGTACAGTTTCTGGAGGCTTCGGTCCATAGGCTGGTGACATGGCAGAGGACAAAGAGCTTATAACATGGTGGTAGGAAGAACAAAGAGATCAAGGGAGGAGGTGGGGGATCGGTCCTTCCGGGCCACACCCCCACCGCCCACCTTCTCCACCAGCCTTCACCTTCTGACCCCATATTTAGCATAAACTCCTCACTGAGCGGATCCTCTGCCCACTAGCGCGCAAAATTCTCCAAAACCTCGACCCATGAGGCGACGGGGTGACCTCGAGACCTACCAGTAACTCTTCCTGTCATTTACTGAACGCTTAGTGTGCTTCCGGAAATATTTTATACAATATTTCCATTTTTATTTTACAGTGAGACTCAGTGTGCTTGAAGGCTAGTAAATGATACAGTTCAGGATTTGAACTCTGACTGATTTGGCTTCAACCCTAAAACCACTGCCACCATATCCTGTTGACTCGCTGGACATATCTAGTAGAGTTCATTCATTCATTCACTCAGTGGCAAAGCACTACGCTAGGTGCTGTGGGGCAGTCTGGAAAGGTGTAAGATTCTGCCCTCCAGTAAAGGAGACACAATGTAAGTCCTCATCTATGTGGCACAAGGGATCAGTGCCTGCAAAGTGTAACGATAAAATGCTGCTACAGGGATCAGAAGTGGTATTGGGGTCTGCTGGGTGGATACAATTTCATCATAGTGGATGTAATTTCATCACTGAGGAGAGTGAAAAGGAGGTGTTGCTGGTGGAGGAAGCTGAGGGCGAGGCTGAGGGTCTGGGCGGGGGGGGGTCTGTGGGGAGCAAGGCCTTTTTGTAATAGTAGAGGTGCGGAGACAGGAGGAAAAAACCCTGCAAGGGGGCTGGGGACAGACCCTTGGGGAGCTGGGAGCCCAGGCTGCATGTGGCTTTCTGTCTGGCTGCAGGAAGCTGGTGAGGACTTGCAGGTCCCTGGTGTGGTCAGCAGGCCTGCCATGGGGCACAGCGCTGGGTGGGGAGAGGTGAGGTGCAGGGGACAGGCCCAGGAAGCCAGAGAGTGTCCCTTGAGCATCGTGGAAAGCCTGAATTAAAGCAAAAAGCAGGAGACCCAGCCTGGGCCCTGCTGTGGGGAGGAAAAAAGTAAACTGGAGTCCCGTCAGCTGGGGCAGTCAAGGTGAAACAGCTCTTGCGAGGTGCCTTCCTCTGTGTCTCTCGTGCCTCTGTCTCTGTCCTGGCCCACCACCCTCTGCCCGGATGTGGCACCTCGATGCCAGATTTGCCGTCTGCTCTCCCTGCGTGACCTTCACTCTCCGATCTGGTCTGCCAGGCCCTGCGGGGAGGAGCTCTGTCACCTCACTCCTTGAGGGCCTGCACCCTTTCCTGCTGGGTGGCACAGCCTGGACCTGGCTTCTGGGAACTGTGTCCAGTGCCCCTTGGCCTCTGCCATGTTGGAACAACTGGGTGCCGCTCAGCCTCAGTGAATCTCTTCTCCGTGTCTGCCCCCTTCTGCATGCCCTGACGCCTCGTGGAGACCGTGCCTTGGCTATGTCTGTTGTCCAGTTGAGGAACCTGTGGTACAGACGTATTAGATGACTTGATCTTTTGCTACCTTTGCTCTTAGAAGGCCAGGAAGTGGGGTCAGGGCTGAACTTGGGGTGACATTTCCCTCCCCAATTCGTCCCTTGCTTTCCTTACCCATGTCTTTCCGTCTCCCACTCCAGGAAAGAGTGTCTCGTGAGTTCCTCAGGAAACGACAACACGGAGAATGGCTTGCCGGGCTCCAAGGCAGAAGAGAAGCCGCCCACGAAAGTGTGAGCCCTGCTTGGGGCCAGGCGGCACGGGGAGCCTCGCTTTCTGACGACGACACTGATGCTTGAGCCCTGTCTGTAGAACCCCTGTGCCTGAGTCATCTGCTGCTTGGCTCAAACTGTAGTCTTTCTGTGCAGGGAGAAACTGGGGTCCTGTCCGGCCCGCCCCAACCCCCTCCCCAGCCAGGGCTTCACAGGGATGGGGGCTGACCAGGGATGGGGCCTGTGGGCATCAGAAAAGAAAAGGAGGGTTTGAGATGATATTGAGGGGCTGGTTCCCCAACACCTAGAGAATGGGGTTTTCTCGGGCTCCCCACCCTGAGGGCACCCACCCTTGGTTTTCTTTCTGTTTTCTCTGTAAGAGGGACATGGGGGATCAGTGGGGACTGCCCAACAAGCGGGACCCTGTAGAGGGGCAAAGGGAGAGCCTTATGTGGAGAAAGAAACTCTTGGTGGTGGAAAGTGTCCTGCAGGATTCTGGAGAAGACCGGGGGGCAGAAGCTGCTGGAGGCACAGTGAGAGGGGAGCTGGGCCTTACAGGATACCTGGTCTCCCACAGTCCTTCAAGTGGGGCGTTTCCCTCTCTGCCACGCTGGGGTGCCTCTGCCTTGTGCATCTCCCTTTCCTGCACTCCCCGCTCCGAGTTTCTAACCCCTCCTTCCCAGGTAGGCCTGGATGCCTTGGTCCGGGCCCACCTCGCCAACCCTTGTGCCCTCCAGGTTGCTGAGACGCCCCTCAAAGCTCTCTGGAGTCCTGGGGTGCTACCTATGCCTTTCCTAGGATTTTGTCTTGGGGAATGGGGCTGTAGAGGTGGGTAAGCCCATATCCTGGGCCTTTCAGTCATTGGGTGCCCACCCCAGGCCTCCAGCTTCTTGGCACTGCAGGACCATTGCCATAGAGGGCACTTCCGAGCCTGACTCCCTTGTGTTCTCTTCCCTTGGAACACCAGGGGCTGTCCCCTTGCTGGAGAGACTGCAGCCTCTTCTCTCCCTCCTCCCGCGCCCTCCCATGGCTTGCTCTTCTGGGGCCCCTCTGCCACGCCTTTGCCCCTGTGCCCGGGGTTGTGCAGCCCCCAGCCCTGGGTTTGCCTTTGCCTCAGGGACCCTCTTCCTTGGATGAGAGAGCCCTCGGGTTTTCTAGCAGCTTTCTGCTCAGCAGGCTCCCCTTGTCTTGTTCTGGGTTTTGGGAGGAGCAGGGACAAGGGACTCACACTTTTCCTCTGCTTGCTGCAGAACCGGTTTGCACACCCCTTGAGTGTGGGGCTAGACTGTGCCTTAGCTCCCCGAGTCCCGGCCCTGCCTTCCCTTCCTTCTTTCCAGCCTGTCTTCCCTGACCTAACTGCACTAGGTCGTCTCGGAGGCCATGACGGCCCCTTGGCCAGGGACTAAGACTCGGAGACACTTGTCCTCCCTGCCCAGCGGCAGCACCGTCTTCTCTGAGGATAGAATTTGGGGAAGTCTGAGGAACGGCAGCATGCGTGTTCCCCTGGCTGTGGACATGTTCCTTGCATAGGCTGGTGGGCTTGCACATCCCTACTCCGCTCCGCCTCCTCCCTTCCTGTCCCTCAACCCCAAACCCATTCTGGGCTGGGGTTCAGATCTCCCTGGCTTTGGGAGCAGAAAAACAGAGCCATTCAGCCATTCTGCAGCCATTCAGAAAACTTTTAGCTGCCTTCATGCGAAACTGCTTTCTTTCCCCTTCTCAGTGTCAACAGTTGGAGAGACAGAGTGTGCAGGGCTCCTCTTGCTCTATTGAGAGGTCCCCAAGACATGTACAAGAGAGGAAGGCTGCCACCCTCCTCTCTTTCCCAGTTTACTGATAACTTAGAGGTGGGCAGCTTTTCTGGGCTCGGCTTTTACCATCTCTCCAAAGGGTGTGATAATACTTACCTACCTCACCGGACTGTTGTGAGGCCTGGCAAGTTTTGTTTTTAATTTTGGCTTGGAAAAGCATCTGGGAAGCAGGATTTCTAATTGGAGACGTTGTTCCAAGTTGATCTCCGCCTCATCTCTGTATCTCATTCTTACAAAAACACACATGCATGCACGCACACACGCATGCACACACGCACCTGCCCCTTTGGGATTCCTGAGTCTTTACAGCGTTGAAAACCTTGACTCCAATTCATGCTTAAAGCTTCTTGTTTATGGCTCTTTTGGTGGTTTTCAAAGGAGGTGGCTGGGACTGTAGAGGGGGTATTTTTGGTTGTTACAATGTCTTTAGCATTTAGTGGGTGAGAATCAAGAATACTAAACTTGGTTCTCACAACAAAGAATGTCTTGTCCCGATGCCAGCCTCATGCCCATGCAAAACTGTTGGCATGGGTTTGCAACAGGCTGTATAATTGACAAAGCCATTTTCCCCAAGCAGATGCTTCGAGCATGCCAGTCTCTGGTGGTGGTCTCTGACCTGGCGAGGGAGTTTCCAGAGTTGCTGTGCTAAGGCCATTTCTAGAGTTAATCTCATCTCAGGAAGCTCAGGGCACATGCAGCTTCCCTGACAATGACACCAGTGAGACTAAGGGCAAAGTTCATAGCTCCTTATCTTTGACCTCAAAATAGGACATCTACATTTGAGGCTGAGTTTTTTCCTTGTGTAGGAACTGAGTGGAAGGCAGCCAGGATGAACCTGTAATGCTGGAGAAGCCTGGGAGAGGGACCGAGGGGGTGGAGACTTTCCATACATGGCCAGTTCTTGTGGATCCAGGAGTGTGCGAGGTGTGAGGAGGTGAGGTGGTGTTGCGTGGAGTGCACGTGGTCTGTGCACAGGCACGTGCGTGCCAGGTGGAGAGGTGTGGCTGTGGAATGAGGGGGCTGTGTAAGGAAGGACGATTTGTGATTGGGGAGAGTGTCCATTTCAGGAACCGTCTTCCCTGGTTTGAGCTGAGAGAGGGTAAGAGACAGAGGGGAAGACTGGCCATGCTGCAGGATTCATCTTTCTGTGACTCCATCTCACAGTGACAGACAGCTGCCACGGGAGGGCTGGGGGAAGGAAGTGCCAGGAGGGGGCACTTCTGGGGAAAGTCCCATAGCTTGCTGCACCTTAATGTGTCCCAGGTTGGAGTCCCTGCCTTCTCACCGCCCACTGATATGCAATGCTTTTGACTATCTTATATATGGTTTCTTTCTCTGGCTTGGATGACAATACACATAGTCGATTTTCCTATATAACTTTATAGATTGAATGATACAGTGATGGGCCTTAGGAGGCCTCAGGTCTGTGGGTGCCTCTGGGAGGTACAGACGGACAGTGGATGTGATCAAACTCTTTTGCCTCTACAACATGTTTTGCATTGTAGAATTGTACTTAGCTTGCTCTGGATGAAATAAAAATTATGTTTAATAATATGGGGTTTGGAGTTTCTTCTTTTGGATACGTGGGAGTTGGCTGGTAGCTGTATGGCTGGTGGGGAGTTCCTGCCAGTGACAATCGTGACAAATTTAGCTCTGTGACCCTCAGACTAACACGTTACTTGCCTAGGCCAGATACCCATGGAAAATGCCTACAAGTTTCTGGCGTACTTACAGGCATTCAGATTGTTTTAGGTTTGGTACCTTCTCTGGCGACGTTGGAAAGGTAGCTCTGTAGTACTAGAATCAATGCCAGGGTCTTCCATGTATTCATGACCCTTGGTACTGATTCCAGTACCCCAAATGCTATCCCTTCCCCTCCCCCAAGCTCTCCCCGCCTCCTTCCTTCCAAGATTAGCATTTATATCCAGGAAAAAAATCTGCTTCGAATGATTGCCTGACTCCAAAAGGGGTTTCCAGCTGCTGGGGATTCCGGGCTGGAGGGACTTGGGTAATTCAGGCTGGCTTGAATTCACCATGTAGCGCAACCTGACCTTGAATTCGCTGTGATCTCCTGCTTCAGCCTCCTGAGTGCTGGAATTGCAGGTGTATGCAAGACTGCTTTCTCGCTCTTTCTCAAATAGTAGTATTTTCAGACTCAAGGAAAATATTAATATTTTGATTTTGGGTGACTGAGACCATGGACTGCGACACCACGACGAGCGGGATGATTGTACCAGTGCATGTATGTTGTTTACATCCTTGGGCTTAATAGTACCATAATTTCTCCCCATGCTGTAGGCCTCTCTTCAATGGATTCACCTCAGACTGTGTTTCAAATGGGTCCAGACACCAAGTTCTCAAATGTTAAAAGACTCTTCTTCCTTGTGTATCAGGGACTCAGGCAGGCAGCCAGAGGGCCCTAAGGCTCTGCATCCCAGCATCTGTCCCAGTTAGCACTGATTTTTCCAGCCCTCACTGTGTCCCTGTGCCCTGAGCTCAGGCGCTGAATGGGTCCATTGCTTGGATTCTGCATGCTTCCTGCCATTATGGTTTAGGTCTAACGTTAGGAGGGTCTGGTTGGAAGGGGTGGTCACCAGGGCCGTGTGTTCTCATCCCTGGCTCCTTCCTTCTCTCTCTGCTTCTCCATGATGCTTTTTCTGCCATTCGTCCCATCATGGTGTTTGTCAGTCAGGGACTGGATCCACTAGAAAATGTGTGATGAAATAAACCTCTCCTTCTTTAGATTGTGGGTGTCAGATATTTTGTCCCAGGGACAAGAAAGTGACCAGTCCCCCTGTTTTTAGGTATTGCTTGTTGTTTGGGACCCCTGCCAGCCACCTTCCTACCTCCTACATATCTGATGGTCACAAGGGTTTCCTGGGCCGAGCCTGAGTCTGTGACACTCCTGCGATGCCAAGCCTTGAACTTGTTCTTTCCTCCAGAAGGGTCATCGAAGGCCTGGTGAGGCCCCCTCCTTGCTCTGTTTCATGCCCACCGCCTTTCTACAGCTGATAGTTCTAACTGATCGATGACCCAGTATCTGATAACAACATTAAGACTGAATTAGGTCTATGCTGGGCAAACCTGGAAACGGGGTCACCCTGTTAAGCCCCTTGCCAGCTCCATACTAACTAAACAGGACTAAAATACACATAAATTAAGTGGTTTCGTCTGAGCTGGTGGTGAGTACACAGCTCTGATGGATCTTGTAGGTCTGTAAACTTGAAAATGAGTGTAAAAGTGTAAGTGTGTGCTTAGGGGACCTTTCAGGAGGGCTTTTCTGCAAAACCTGGGACTTACCCTCCCTGTGTCTGCAGCAGTGCCCAGGAAGATGCCGGTTGTCCCTCTCTCCCCTTCGCAAGCCTGCCATCTTCCCTTTGCTGCTTCCATGACAGAGATACGGTCTTTTTGGACCCGAAAGGGCCGAAATATTTGCTTCCAAATGAACAGGAAAGATTTCTTTTGAAAGGCCCTGTGGGCTGCCTTTTCCCTCTCTGGATCCTGGCTCTAACTGGTTCCTTCAGTCACCCACGCAGAGTGGGTAAAATTGACTCCCAGTGGGGAGCAGCCCTTGCACTTTGCTCTATCGGCTTGCCAAGAGGCTGGGGGCATCTGTGCAAATGTGGCTGCTGAACACAACAGGCAATGTCCTGGCACAGCTGCTCCCAAATGGCAGGCAGTTGCCGATAAGAAGTCCGGATGCTAGAAGGAAGCCATGGGCAGGTGGGCTTATCCAGGTCCGGGGAAGGCAGGTCCCTGGGCTCTGACATTCAGCTCTAGGTTAGAGGAAGAGGAGGCCACAACAGGGCCAATGAAGAAGGGCTCAAGCAAAAGCAGAGAGAAATCTTCGAGGCTAAGGTAGCCAGGAATGTTAGGAACAGTGTGGCCATTGTTAAGTGAAGGATCAGTCATTAGCAAGGTTCTTGGTGACCCCAGTGAGCCCAGCACTTAGAATGGAATGGCCAGCTGGAGGAGATGGCAGAAGCTTCACCCCAGCACTCAGAAAGGTCAGTGGGGGAGGGGAAAGTGGCATCACACAAAAGGGACAATTTCAAGTAACTTAGCTGTGAAAGGCACTGGCCACGTTATGACGGAGAGAATGGTTTTCTTTAAAAGAACGAAAAAAAAGGTGCAGGTTAAATGTGGACGGGGAAGACAGTGGAGGGGAAGACAGGGGTTGCTGATAGAGAAGAGTCACTTGGGTGGACCCAAGTGGATGGGATCCAGAGGTCAGTTGGAATAACTGGCCTGCAGGTACACCTCTGCAGGAAACCAAGGGGCCATCAATGTGGGTAAATTTGTAAAGGGCGTTGGCCACAAGACGGAGAGGCTTTGCCCTGCTGTCTCTGGTTCATTTACACAGCAGATTTAAGGTTGAAGTCTGAGAAAACTGAAGACCCTTCCAGTTCAGAGCCCCTAAATCTCCCACTTCCCCAGGCATGTGGGCAGCACCTTCCCTGGGGTTCTGGTTGCACCCATAACCCTTGAAACAGCAAAAATATGCATGCAGCAGGAGCAGCAGGAGCAGGAGGATCTTCTCTCGTGGTTTGTCACTTAAAATCACTGAAAATGCTAGCAGGTAAGATGCAGAGTCCCCTCCCTCTGCCTCTCAGCACACATGGACTCAGAATCCATGGATCTGAGTTCAACTTCTCACTTCATTGTCAGCTACTAATGACGTCTCTTTGAGCAAAGTAGTTCTCTTCTCTGAACCTTGGATTCCTAGCCTGAAAAATGATGGCAGGGGTGCTGGTGGTGGCATGAGGGTGATGGTAGTGCCCTGGGGGTTATCCCCAATGCATGCTGCTCTTGTGAAGATTAAAGAAGGCACCAGATGTGAAATGATTTAAAAACTACAAAGGGCTCATCATATAAATATATGAATACATGAAGTTTCTGAGCCAGGTCACTGTTCTACAGTACTTGGAAAGGCCCTGCCTAAGGAAAAGCTCTCACGACGCCAAGCCCCGCTGAGGCCATCTCTGAGCTCGCACCCTGCCACTCCTGATGGGCAGGGCTTGTCAGCTGAGTATGACAGGCTAGGAGGAGAGTAGTGACTTGTGACTCCTCATTCTTACAAATCTGTTCCTCACCCATTCCTTCAAGTAAAAAAAAAAAAATTAGAATCCACTGTGACTTCCATTTTCTCTCGCATCTGAAATCTTTACATCATCAAATTCCATCAGCTTTATTCACTGTGGACTCAGCCCATCAGCCCTGCAGCCCTGGTTCAGGCCACCCTTGGTTTTAATTTTGGATCACTGCAATAGCCCTTGCTGATCTTCTTATTCTTGCCCTTGGCCACCCTTAGTCCAGTATCCAGAGTGACCCCTCTGAAGCAGAATTACCATAGGTCACACATTTCTACTTCTGGCCAAAATGGCATCACAGGGGCCATTTACCTTTTCACTTTAAATAACTAAAATTTTGAAACAAAAAAAAAAAATGCAACCATTTTTAGACATTTGATAACAGAGGGGTGGAGAATTGTGATTCTTAACAGAGAGAAACAAATGAAGTGAGCTTTTCTATTTCTTCAGATCCCCATCTTGGGGCAATTTCCAGACTGCCCTGCAAGGAAGGTGCCCCAGGCTAAGTCCAACACTCTTCCTGAGCTGAGGAGAGGCACTGCACTGGGGGAAGGACCAAAGATCTACAGAGGGCCCCACAAACCTTGAGCTGATAGTGCAGATGTATGAGGCCAGCAGAAGGACTACAAGCAAGGATTAAGTCGAGCAGTCCTGGGGCTCACGCAGCACAGCCTTTAATGTTGGACTGATCGGGCTCCATTACTCAGGCAATAGCCTTTGAATACCCTTGCTCACCCATCTCCTTTGAGTTAGGAAGTTTTGTGATTTTATTTGTTGGCAAATACATTTATTCCTTGCCCTGTGTGGGATCCAAGGATCACTCCCTGTAATCCTTTCTAGTGGTTCTCATCTTGATCAGCCTTGATCAGTAGCCAACGATTCAAGGGGACCCTTGCAGATCTCTGAAGGTTTCCATCTCTGGGAAGCGCTCTACACTTTTCCCGGTGAGCCTTATCTCCTTTGGTGTCCCTAACCTCATCCCCTTGTTCAGGGAGCTGAAAAGCTGTACCTGAGACCCTCTCCCCGGGCTGTGGCAGTTATAGAGGGCGCCCTTTGCTTATTCTCTTCTCTGTGATCATTGATTTGTGCTGTTTGGCCCCCTATGTTTAACCCAACTATCTAGTCATGCTGTCATTGTTTCAGATGAGAAAGTAAATTGTTCCCTATTTCTCCATCCTTGTCAGAGAAAATATCCATGAACATTTATGTTCATCCAAAAACCTGTACAGACACATTTATAGAGGTTTTATTGTGTCATTGCTATGACCAAGAAACAACCTAAATATCCTTTGACTGGTATGTGAATGCAATAGACTGTGTCATGTTGTTATAAAAGTATCTGAAGCTGGGTACTTTGGACAGAGATGTGTTTATTTAGCTCAGCGTTCTGGAGTCCCAGAGCATCTCACTGGCATCCGCTGGGCTCTGCCATCAGGCGAGGGCCTTCTGTGGGAAGCATCTCTG